AACATCTACTTCACTTGCCCACACAGACACCCCGTCGCGAAAAACATGTGCACGTGGTCAACTAAACCTTGTGCGCACTAGTCCTCATTCCAATGATTTCGGGGAGAATAACAGGAGTATTGACAATTTTATCTCCAGTTGTTTACAGCCATTGGCGATATCATTGATTGGAGTGTTGACGTATTCATTTATACACTCTATTTTTAGTGGAAATGAACGCAATACTTTTCTCTTTACTAAAGGGCATCACCGTTTTTCTATCAGATTCGATATTCCTTTTTTCGATTAATTGTTTATAATTATTCTCATTGCAAAAAGCAGTACCACCGATGAGAATCATATGTCCCAGTCATCAGCTGTTTAATTTTCGTATTACAAGAAAATATTTGCGCATGTGCTAATTCCTGCGCTCCCTGAATAATATTATTTATTTTTTTATTTTTTCTATTTCATTGGTTTTATCGAAGTAATTCTCGATTTGAAACCCCTCCTCTAGCCAGCCTCCCCTCCTTTCTTTTTCCTCTCATTGTTATCTGCGGTATCATGGCCATCTTACTCTTAGCTGTGCCCCATTCGAGCTAGGACTGCACAGGAAACCATGTAAACCCAGTCGCACAGCCGGCCGATTGTGCAGTGCCCTAATATATCCATCTATCACACTGACTAGATCGCTCCCTGAATAATATTTCAATCATAATTACAAGTCAATTCCTTCTAGAACACACTTTAGAGTGTGAATTTCTGGAATGCAATGTGGGTTGATATTCTGGTAAAAGTGCGTGCCCACACTGTTGTCAATTTTTAGTTAGTTCAGACGGTAATTCAATTAATCTGTTGTTCATCTCATCAATATAATTCCGTGCTTAGAATATTGTCATCTCGTGTTTTCAAGCAAATTAAAAATTAAAACTTCATTTAGAATATTGAGTCACAGCTTCTTTTTATTTATATCATAAATTTTGTATTTGGATATTAATATTGTTTGTTAAAAGTGAAAAAATCGATCATTATTTTCACTATATTGCATTCAGATTCTCCTATCGTTAACATAAAAAATGTGAGATAATCTCATTATTGTAGGTATTAATTCTAATCAACTTTGTTCGAAGAAAACCTCAATAAACGCAATATTAAGAAAATAGAATTATTCTATTTTCCTCTGACCTAACTGATTCGGACAATTACAATTCGTTTATTCATATTTCATAGAATATTATTCAATTCTCTTTTATTTAGCAGGCGGGCTACTCATGAAAACCGCCTCACTGTTTTCATTCGACTTCTCAATTTCTATTCCAGACATTGCCCACGCTTTTTTAAGAAAGAATTTCACAAAAAATATTTTACCAATAAAAACTATCAAGAATGTTAAATTCTCCACTTGCATTAATATGCCTCAGCAGACGCATCATGTGTTAACACAGTCGAGTGGCTCGACGTAACGAATAAAAAGACTGAAAAGAGATGGAATGTCACTAACGCTTAAATTCAAGAGACCCTTTCACGTTGACTTGCTGTAGACACGTGGCTAATGACCAACTGACGCACCGTGGAGATAACGCAATCGTTGCAGCGGTTTTGTGCATATGTACGTAACCTTCGTTTTGTTTCACCGGCCTCTCCGCGATTCACCGACGTGTTTATCCTTCATAAAACACGTGTCATTGCCACTCTATTTTTTTCCCCCTTCCGACATTTACCGTCTTTTATAATAACCGAAGTTGGATATAGCCGAGCTGATCAATCAACAAGTTCAGACCGATGTTCCGCCTATTAATTTTAACCAGTGTCGCGGTTGACACGTGTATCGCTTTATAAATACGTTAAACCGTTGACACACATTTGAGTTATTTTTCTTTTTTGCTCCTTGTGGGAATCCCGTAGGCCTCTTTTCAAACAATGTCCCCCACAACTTCCGAAATCACTCGTTTTATCTCTCGTTTGTCATCGCGAGGACATTGACGCACAAAATCATTCGTCGAGGGGATTTCGAAATATCTGAAACACGGAAGAGGAGAAAAATGATTGAGAAATATTTTTGAGCGGTCTTGAATTATCTACACGTACCTCCACTCCGCAGGGGAAATAAGTATTTTATTTTTTCGGGGGAATGTACAGTTTACGGGTCGCATATAGAAGACAAGTTGTTAATTGTTTTCATTCGTCGGCTCGATTAACAACGATATAGTTCAACGATAGGGCAGGTCTTATCGGACGAGCGCGCGTGGGGCGGGGGGTCGAGTGCAGTTGGTCATTGAAGTTGAGAATTTTTCGTGCACCTCTCGTCTAGAGTTTTAGCAACATGGGCTTGGAGTTTACCGTGGGTAAAGTGACATTTTACGTGAGCTCCGCGTGCGCAAAGCACATTTCGTGCGAATTGTGATGAAGGAACGTCCGACATGCGTGGGATAAGTGTACTTTGGCCAGTGGAAGGGGAGCACTCGTCTTCAGCGAGGGCTATACACCTCTCACACGTAAAAATAATACTTTCTCATCGCGGACGCCCAGAGAAATGTTTATCACATTTTAGTTCCATTGAAATTTCAAGAAATTTCATCATTAAAAAATTAGGATTTCATGGAAAAATTAATGAGAACTGTAAATTTCAGTTCAATTATTTCCTGAAAATTATCAGAAATCAGGAAAATTCCGGTAAATATATTCTTGAATTATTAATTAATTGAAAATTCATCATAGTTCGACATTAAATATTCAGGTTTTCATTGAAAATGTAAATAGTTTGAGAAATTCTCATCTCAACGCTCTGTTCAAAACTTGTCCATGAAATTTCAATTTTCTTCTAAGACTGTATGGTACAGAAAAGTCCCTCACAGCTCTTATCGAACAATATTATTATTTTTATTTCAGAAAAAAAACTTAATCGATCCGGAAGTTCATTGTATCTACCACCATAAAACAGAACTACTAAAATTAATGGTCTAGTGACATCTGTCCAGCCAAGAAACTGCCGTTATCTGAAAACTCTCGAAGTTGTAAAAACTGCAGTATCTTCCCACAAACTTTTCCTCCACGTTTTTTATTTTTTTTTAATTATTGATAAATTCCGCTAAAATTTCCGGAAATTTTCATCACATTTTAGTTCCACTGAAAATTCAAGTAATTTCATGGAAAAATCAATGAGCCCTGTCAATTTCAGTTCAATTATTTCCTGAAAGATATTCTTGATTTATTAACTAATTGAAAATTCACCCGACTTCGGCCCTCCCTTCATGTTTTCCTTGAAAATGCAAATAGTTTGAAAAATTCTCATCTCAATGCTCTTCAAAAATCCCGAATTTCCCTAAATTTTAGTAAACTCTGAAACTTCATTTTTCTCCTAACACTACATCATCCAGAAAAGTCCCCCACAGCTCTTATCAACCGCCCTTATCATCTCTATTCCCGCAAAAAAATGTAATCGATCCGGAAGTTCATTCTATCTACACCATAAAAACAGAATTACTAAAATTAACGGTTCAGTGACGTCTGTCAGTAAAAAACCTGCAATTCCCCGCACCCTGAACTTGCAAAACGAGTAGTAACTTCCCTCAAGGTTCTCCCCCCCGTATTTTTCCTTAAAAAATGCACAGACGAGAATTCCTCCACCCATAAATAAAATATTACCCCTGAAAAGAGATGATGAAACCCCAGCCGTTCGCAAATCCGTTGATTTTTCCTCCAAGCGCACGCGCTCACTCCCCTCCGACCCTCGAAATCTCCTTCCCGTTGGCTCACATAGTGGGGATACACGTGCCGCACGTTTGTAATTCGAATTATTATCATTGTTAGCNGAGAAATTCTCATCTCAACGCTCTGTTCAAAACTTGTCCATGAAATTTCAATTTTCTTCTAAGACTGTATGGTACAGAAAAGTCCCTCACAGCTCTTATCGAACAATATTATTATTTTTATTTCAGAAAAAAAACTTAATCGATCCGGAAGTTCATTGTATCTACCACCATAAAACAGAACTACTAAAATTAATGGTCTAGTGACATCTGTCCAGCCAAGAAACTGCCGTTATCTGAAAACTCTCGAAGTTGTAAAAACTGCAGTATCTTCCCACAAACTTTTCCTCCACGTTTTTTATTTTTTTTTAATTATTGATAAATTCCGCTAAAATTTCCGGAAATTTTCATCACATTTTAGTTCCACTGAAAATTCAAGTAATTTCATGGAAAAATCAATGAGCCCTGTCAATTTCAGTTCAATTATTTCCTGAAAGATATTCTTGATTTATTAACTAATTGAAAATTCACCCGACTTCGGCCCTCCCTTCATGTTTTCCTTGAAAATGCAAATAGTTTGAAAAATTCTCATCTCAATGCTCTTCAAAAATCCCGAATTTCCCTAAATTTTAGTAAACTCTGAAACTTCATTTTTCTCCTAACACTACATCATCCAGAAAAGTCCCCCACAGCTCTTATCAACCGCCCTTATCATCTCTATTCCCGCAAAAAAATGTAATCGATCCGGAAGTTCATTCTATCTACACCATAAAAACAGAATTACTAAAATTAACGGTTCAGTGACGTCTGTCAGTAAAAAACCTGCAATTCCCCGCACCCTGAACTTGCAAAACGAGTAGTAACTTCCCTCAAGGTTCTCCCCCCCGTATTTTTCCTTAAAAAATGCACAGACGAGAATTCCTCCACCCATAAATAAAATATTACCCCTGAAAAGAGATGATGAAACCCCAGCCGTTCGCAAATCCGTTGATTTTTCCTCCAAGCGCACGCGCTCACTCCCCTCCGACCCTCGAAATCTCCTTCCCGTTGGCTCACATAGTGGGGATACACGTGCCGCACGTTTGTAATTCGAATTATTATCATTGTTAGCTGCAGTGGTGTGCGATTTCGTCACACTCGTCTTGTTTTTTATCGCCCCTCTCCTCCTTCACCCGACCCCCCCCCATCCTTTTGTGTGAGTACAGCACAAGGAATACCCGAGTGCGCGCGCGTGGTATCACTCATGGTTTTCAGTCTGGTCCGCAGGTTCAGACGAGTTGGTCGTCGCCGTAGAGCCATTAAAGGATTCAAGTCAGTCACACACGATCCATTCACTACCATCAACAGGCACGTGGTAACCCCGAATTGTTTAAACATCCAGTCAAGAAAATGAAGTTAACGGTGTTGTTACACTGAGTGACACCGTCCCAGTAATTGCAAAAATTACTGAATTGACATTTTGTGAATTGTAAAACATCGGCAATTATTTTCTATCCGTATCTCCCCGGAACAAGCAGAATAATCGGAGGTGACAAGTGATTGACGGGGGAACGATAGCAATTACAGAGGAATTAGCGGAAGCGATATTTCCTTCGGTGAGGCTCGTATTTGTATACAATAATGTCACATTATCCTGTCCATCCACCCTGAATCATCACAAATGCAGAGGCAAAATGGACCCTTTGAACCTGTTTTTCAATCACTCAGAATGCGAAAATGTCAATTCTATTGGTGTCGTCAATACAGCCGACGTGAGGATTTAAAAAGGTCCATTTTACCCCGTCCGCCCCGGGTGTTGAGTCATTAGACCAATGACCTTTGTCGCCGAGAGACTTCGGGCCTCGCGCACTTGTTTCTGTTCTGTATTAGTCCCCGTGATGGCTCCTATCAGGGCTGTCGTTGATTTATTGTGAAAATTGAGTTCACCTTATTTTTTAACTACTGATTATTGTCTTCGCGGTGCGCCGCACGCGAGCCGCTCATTTCCACCCGTTGTTATCAGTAAAGAGAGCCTGAGGGATCCGCATTACACGTGCGATGAGGGCGAGAATAATGATCGGAATGTTTCAATCAGCCCGTGAACAATCGATCAAAAACATTGCCAGGGGGTGGGGTGAGGGTGCGTAACGAGAGGTGAGAAGGTGTTGTCGCATGTACGTTGGGTATATGGGTATGGGGCAATACGCGGCCAACGACCCTTCGTCAAAGGCCACGTGTACTCCCCCTCCCCCCCCCCCCCCCCCCCCCCCCCCCCCCCCCCCCCCCCCCCCCCCCCCCCCCCCCCCCCCCCCCCCCCCCCCCCCCCCCCCCCCCCCCCCCCCCCCCCCCCCCCCCCCCCCCCCCCCCCCCCNACTCCTGGCAGTACAGCCCAGTCCAGGCATTTTGGCAGATAGGCGTTTTGTGAGAGTGGGTGAAAACGTGCTGGGGCCGCGGGAGCCGATCTACACTAGTTGTGTATGTCTGCACCGGACGAGGACAGAAATCGTCTCGGAGGGAGAGCGAACTAGTCGGGGGAATGGGCCGCACGTGGCAGTCAACACGTTCAAGCCTGAATCTACGCTGTTGCGAATTTTTCCGTGAAATTTCCGGGACATTTTTGTAAGAGTTGGGTTTACGGAAATATCGAGGAAGTTCGGCATTGGACATTCGGAATTTTGGGGAGGAATTCATGAGAACTGTAAATTTCTGGTCAATTGTCACATGGAATTGATAGGAATGGGGAAACTTCCGGTAAATATATTCTTGAATTTTTAATTCCTTTCTGAAGAAGCATGGGGAATATCTGGAATTGAAAGTGAGAACTCGAACGTGGCGGATATCTCGAACGAATGGAGAAAGCAAGGCGGTTTCCATGAGTACGATCGTCTTCCGTCGAGTTTTCATGAAGCCCGCCTGCTAAATAAAAGAGAATTAAATACCATTCTATGAAACACGAATAAACGAATTATAATTGTCGAAATCATTTAGGTCAGGGGAAAATGGAATAATTCTACTTTGTTAATATTGCGTTTACTGAGGTTTTCTTCGAACAAAGTTGATTAGAATTAATAGCTAGAATTATGAGATCATCTCACATTTTTTTACGTTAAGGATAGGAGAATCTAAACGGAATATAGTGTAAATGATGATCGATTTTTTCGCTTTCAACAAATAATATTAATATCCAAACAGAAATTTTATGATATGCATAAAAAAAAGCTGTGACTCAATATTCCAAATGAAATTTTAATTTTTAACTTGGTTGAAAACACGAGGTGACAATATTCTAAGCGCGGAATTATATTGATGAGATGAACAACAGATTAATTGATTTACCGCGTGAACTAACTAAAAATTGATAACAGTGTGGGCACGCACTTTTAACAGAGTATCAACAAACATTGAATTCCAGAAATTCACACTCTAAAGTGTGTCGTAGAAGGAATTAAATTGTAATTATGATTAAAATCTTATTTAGTGAGCGTAGGAATTAGAACATGAACAAATCATTTATTGTAATATGAAAATTTAACAGCTGATAAATTGGGGCATATGATTCTCGTCGGTCGTACTGCTTTTTTCAATGAGAATGATTATAAACAATCAATTGAAAAAAGGAAGATTGCATTTAACACAAAAATGGGCTTCAACTGGGGGGCGCCTGTTATTGAAAAGTGCTTAATTTGGCACTGAATATCCATGTTAAGAGATAACAGAATGGCGCAAATTGTCCAAATTTTTGACCGAATTTCCTGTCGAAAGTTATCGATATTTTCACAAATCGAAACACATTAATCTCCAAGAGACGATTATGAAGATCAATGTGCCTTGGGTTCGAAAAATATTAATAATTGTGAACAGGAAATTTGTTTGAAAATTTTCAGGGAATGTTGTCCTTCTGTTCCCTTAAGGAGTAACAGAAAATCACTGACGATCTACCTACAAAATTTTACCTACCCGTCACTTCCCAAAATATCAGGAATAATTATCTAATATCGTCCCAAAAGCTTCATCATCGACAATTCGAATGGATCACAAATCTCATTTTATTTATTTTCAATTTTTAGCAGAAAATGCGCAAGAAACCGTGATAATCTATTTTTTTATCGCACCCCTGTGTAAACATGCTCTATTGATAAGACAACCTTTATCTCGTGTCATTATTCATAGCGCTAATATTATGTCCCGTAATATCGGCACTTTTCAGCAAACATAAATTGATTGAAATAAAAATGAGTCATCCTGAGTGTCTGCGATCGAATACTTGAATACAATAGTTTTCGATCCATTCCCCACAATGAATATTGATCGCAGAAAGATATACCGGCAACAAATACAATATAATGTTGAGATTCCCGAGTGAAACTCAACATAATCCCGATGACTGGACAAGAAATCCCTCCGACAATCTCTAGTACTTGAACCAACCGAATCCCTGCTCTGACGATAATCGTTCATATAATACACACGTGTGGCCGAAGGCTTTCTTTCACCTCGAGGCGTACGTCTCCTTCCTATCCATGTGACGACCGGGTCTTTCAAATAACGTTAGGGTCAAATGAAAAAGAGACGGATAATGTATTTTCTCAGAAGTGAAGAAGACAGGCGCGTGGCACATGTTCATACCTCTTGCAATGTATCGTAAGAGGATTCTCAATTCTCGGTTTGTATTTATGGAATTCAGTGGCACATTGCCTTTGATTCAGTTTTTCGCAATGGAGGCTCTAGCTTACAGGCCACATTATCGGGTAAATCAATTCAGTAGCGAAGTGATCAAACGGTTTAAGGGGAGACGGAACCCCTTTGTCTACATCAAATCTTAGAATTGTGTTTTCTCCTACAATTTGTAATTTCTATCTATGAAATTACTTTATCGACTCGATTATCGCATTGTTGAGTCTATGAAGTAGTTTATTGAATAAAAAATAATAATTGCAGGAGAAAACACAATTCTAAATATTCATATAAACGCAGGGGTTCCGTTTTCTCTTAAGGATGTATTACACCCTTTTCGCCAAAATTCACGTTTTTCTAAATTTTCTGGTAAATTGTTGATCGGATTCATGTGAAAAATATGCCGCTTTGTGTTTTATCATTACTTAATGGCTCACGAAATTTCATGATCGTGCAATCACTTTCCTGCGTTTTTTCTAAAACTTTTCGGAAACTCACGAAAAAACTCCATAAAGCTGTCTTTTGTCCTCTCCCTCTCTGTATTTTTTTTTTTTTTTTAAATTTTCCATGTGCATTTGATAGCGAGATTGAGAGCTTACTTCCTGACATTTCCGCCACAGTCGAGGTCACGCGGAGGTGGTTGGTCGTCACAGGAGTGGGTGAAATCAAATTACAGCGCATATGGTTAGGGGATGAAATATTATGTTCGAGGATAATAATGTCATACCTATTTCCTGCATATATATCCACAGAAAATTGAAAAAAAGCATCTGAACCTTTGATTTGTTCCAATCAATTGTAATTTTTATATCCATTGAAACATTTTCTGTAGGAATTCCGCAACATGAATTTTCCAAAAATTTTTAACTCTATTTGTCTTCTCTTTTAATTGAAAAATGACACAAAAAAATTGAAAAATAACCGACGAATTTATACAGAAAATATTTTAATAGAATAAGTCTTATTTTCTAAAGATGAAAGAAACGTGAAGTTGTTTTATATCGAAATATCTCGAAACTGCCTGACCGGTAATCCTTAATTCTGATTGGGCAATGAGTCACGTGAAGTAGTCGGTGAAAAAAATTCCCCGGTATTTTCAAATTCTTCAAATGCCGAGAACTTTTTCTGCGTCATATTTTTCATTTTTTCATGTGTGAAGTTTATTTTTATACTAAAACATATTTATTAATTGCCTAATTGTTGATCATGAGAAAGAAAAATAGTATTTCTAAATTTTTTTAACTCACAAATTATTCTTTTTTTCAAATTTTAATTTTTTCATATTTATCATACGCAAAAATGCGCACAGATCTAGTTCTATAAAAAATCCAATTCGATGGATTTTCTCTATAGGATATCTTCCATTGAAGATTTCTATTAAAGACTTCCGACCTGGCGTGACGAATTGGCGATTAGATAAAATTAGAAAACCGGAAAGGCTGAAAAATACATTATCCTAAAGATAATAATTATTCTCAACGAATTATCATAATTTTTTCCCCACGTGTGCTCGATGAATCGACTGATAATACTTGACGTAGTATTAACCATTCGTTCCCATCGTACATCTGAATTAATCACATCAGGCTTTTACCCCCACCCAGAGCTCTTCTGTGAAACACTTGTTTTTCCGCTCGTCTTCGGCTACACGTGTGCTGATACGTCACCTTCAGTTTGTTGTCCGTGAAATACTTAGAAGTTAAATAATATACTGATGAGGGACTGTGGAGGGGGCATTGGCACATGTGGCATATCCGGATTAGATACAGATATCAGATAACTAGATGAAATTAATATTTCGCCGAGTTTTTCTCTTTTCGAAAAAAGAAATTGCGTACCATGAGTCATCGGAGCGGCATCTCCGATATTTTTTATTAACATACTATTTAAATATTTGAATAAGCATTATTATTGAATGAAAAACGTTTCATTCGATATTGATTAATCGTTAGATCGGAAGTTGAAGGAATTTTTTTTGTAGAACTCATCTGGAATAAAGGATTATTCATTTGGATATTGATTTAAACATTTCAATGGCAAACTGATATTCATGAATTAAGAAAGTGTTTAAATATCCTTCTCATTAGCTGCGATTATTTTTTTAATTAATAATTTGATTAGTTAATTTTTTTTTATTTCATTTAATTTTTTTTATTAGTAATTTTCTGTTTTAGCCCTCAATTCGCTCTACGAAAAAATGTTTTAACAAATATTTTGCCATCTTCATTGGATTCCAAGATGTTTATTGAAAACTGACTAATAGTCAAAATCGACTTAAGGATATTCAAGTATCTTAAAGTTTGGTGAAGATCACATTATAGATTCAACCGTTTTTAATCATCAAATTTGTTGAAAAAATTTGAAAAAAAATAATTAATATTCTGCGTCATTCAAATGACATAATTAAATGATTCTTTAAACATTCGAAAACATTTTGTTACGCATGAAATCGATTTATGGTAAAGTTCTGAATATTAATAAATTAGTTACGATTCCAAACAAATGATTTTTATGATGACAAATTCATTGTTTATATACTATTTATAGAAACTGCTCGTAATTTTCAATCATCGCACGTTTTATTCAAGCAAAATTTAGAATTATTTCATCAATCTTCCTCCAAAAGTAGACTTTTTAATTTTTTTCAGCTCTTTAAAACATTTTCTAACGCTTCAATATCGAAATTCAAATTCATACCATCAAAGTTTAAATAATAAAATCATCAGGCTCAAATGAAAGCTGTGATGTTCAACTACAAATATAAAAAAAGCATTTCGCTGAAGACAAAATAGCCAAAGTACTTGGATATTCTCAAACCGTTTTAATCGTTAAATCACGAGTTAAAGAGAATTGTTTTTCTCTCCACCACATATGCACTAAAAAATTATCCATTTGGAAATTAATTTAAACATTCGAACAGCAAATTGATATTCACGCATCACGAAACCGACTATACATATCCTTCCCATCAGCTGCGATTTATTTTTCTCTCCACTTCAGGCAGACTAAGGGATTACACGGATATTTATTTCACCACTCAAAGGGCAAATTGGTGTTCATAAATCACGAGCCTGATCAAATATTCTTCCCTTCTATTACGATTTTCCCCTTATTACCGAGTGAAAACGTGATTTTGATTAATCGTCAGATCGGGAGTTGAGGGGGACTCTTTTTTCTCCGCGCCTCAAACGGAAAAAGGGATTATTCGTTCATACGGTGTACAATAACTGCAGTTGGCACGCACACTAACGGGTTACGAGACCGTTCCGCACGTGTACCCACAGGGTTCAAGGCCACCTGGTGTTCCACATTCAATGTTGTCCAGAGTGCAGTCATACACGAGGCATCGACAATTTCCGCGCACAACTACCACCCAAATTCATTAATTTTAGATGCGACATAACGACTGCTTTTCATTCATGAATTCCTGTTCTTTTTATAACTCGCAGTTTTTCTGGGAATATGGCACCGACAATTTGCATGGCTGATATTCCCAAGGCGGGGACCGGTGCACCTTGCGTGAGGAGGAAATATTGGCAGGAGAGAGCTATCAATAGGCACTCGAGAGTTGAATTGAAACAGATATCTGTTAAAAATGGAAATTGGGAGGCTAATTGTCAGGAGTTATCTTTACCCGAGGCGAGAATACCTGAGGAGCCTAAACAGGAACAGTTGAGGATTCTCGAGAGACGGAGAAAAGGTAATGGAAGACAGTTCTTACATAATTCGTGTCAATTGGTTGATTTTTTAAAACAAAAAACAATTCAGTAGCGAAGTGGTAAAACAAGAATGTGAATTAAGAGTGTAAAATTATATTTAAAATTTTTTTAAAAATGTTATTATGCTGGCAGGACGAGAAATTAGAACGCTATGAAATATGCTAAACTAATAACTGTTATAGGCGAGGGGCTACACCCAATATTGTTGTAATACGGGGCAGTGTAAATAATTCAATTCAGAGTTGAGCACTTTAAACAATAAAAAAAGTGGTAAAACGGTTTAAGTCGACTTATGTCTTAGTTGAGTTTTCGAAGAATATCTCCGAATCTAAAGGAGATAATGAAATTTTTGTAATTACCTTTTTTCTAGAGAAAAGTGAGTGCTACATAAAAGGTTTTGACAACAATTTAGCTATCTCCCTTAGATTCCGAGATATTGACTAAAAACTGGCCAATAGGCAAAATCGACTTAAACCGTTTTACCACTTCACGACTGAATTTAATTTAATAGATCAGAAATAGACTGTCTTATGAGTATGAAAATTTCATATGAATGAGACAATATTAAAGATTTCAATTTTTTCGATTGAAATTTCGAGAATAATTTTCTAACGGTTTAACAGGAATGTTGTCAAACATGAATAAATTCGACTTCATTTCTGTTTTTTCTTTAACAATCACGATCTAGAAAACTCTTCCCCTCTTCATATGGATTTTAAAATGCGCAACAAAAACTAATCTCGCTGTGGAATTCAGTATCGAAGCGGTAAAACTTCGTGATTCCGATTGCAAATGTCAAAAGACTCAACGGAAAATGTCGTGTGAATGGAATCACATATTCACATCACCCTTGAGCACTTCACGATTGAATAAACTCATTTTCCGCATTCCCACTTCATTATTAAACAAATCTGATCAAATCAAGAGGTGATAATACATTAAGAATAACAATCGATTTCATAGAACTGTTGGACATTGTCATCTGCACCCCGATATAAAATATTTCAACTTATTCCAGTTGAAATAGAAAAATTGTCAAACATGAATAAGTTTTCATGACTAAGACTTCAGAAATATTTTCTGCAGAATATTCCCGAGTCTAAAAGAATTAGGGGACGGTGGGGCAAAATGAAACACGGGGCAAAATGAAACAGCAAGAAAATCTTGTGATCTAAGGGAGATAGGACGATTTTCATGAAAACCTTTTTTGTAGAAAATTTTACAAGCTACAAAAAAGGTCCTCTTCAAAAATGTCCTATCTCCTTTAGATGACGAGATTTTCCCACTGTTTCATTTTGCCCCGTGTTTCATTTTGCCCCATGCTCCCCTACTACTTATAATATTTTCATGAAGACCATAAAAGTCTACTTTACAGTTCTAATTTTTCCCTAACAATCGCGATCTGGAAAACTTTTCCCCTCGTCATATGGATTCAAAGAGGCAAACCTTATGATTCCAACTCCAAATGTCAAAAGATTCAACAGAAAACATCGTGTCAACCTAATCACACATTGAAATCACCTTTGACCATTTCATGACTGAATAATCTCACTCCGCATTTCCACTTCATCATTAACCAGATTTGATCAAATCAAGCGCTGATAACACCTTGAAAATAACAACCACAAATGATTCCACAGAGTTGTTGGACATTGTCATCCGGACCCTGATCCTGGTTCGCCGCAACCACGTACTCCAAAAAAGGGTGGACGCCCTTTGCCTGGAGACCCAGCACTTCATCAGATCTCAGTTGAGAAATCGACAGCCCAAGACTGAAGTTGGTGACGCCTCGAAAGAAGCGGGCACTGTATCATCATCCACCGACGCCATGGAGGTCGACAACACGAGGCAAAGTAACAATAATGAGTCAGAAATAATGTCACCAAATCACGTGACATCCACCTGCATTTCATCGGACACCGACAGCGGTGTATCGTCCGACTGCTCCTTCTAGGATCTCAAAATGCAATTCCGCAATTCGTGGAATTAACGAAATAATGCTTTCCATGATTTACAGGGAGGGTACGATGTTCTCCTCGTACTTATACCATTTTTCATATCACTGCGTATTAGTATAACTGATATACATTAATTACGATTGGAGATTATTCTTATTCTCAACATCTCCTGATTGAGATAGTGATTAGTTTCTCCCTTACAACAAGAAAGGAACTCTCAATTCACGGAGAATCCTAGACATTGCTGATACGAGCAATTAAAACATACACTGAGAGAAAAACAACAAAGTTCTCAAACAAGTCTTACTTGCACCAAGAAAATGGTTTTTTGAAAATTATCAAAAAAGGATTTTTTGTGCAAAAAATACAGAGAGTGCGTTGGAATGAAAAATTTTTGTCGCAAAAATAGATTTAGTAGTTAAAAAAAAAATGCATTCTCTGTACACGCAAGAAATGGAATTTCTAGCATTACTCCCGAAAAATTTTGGTTTTATGCGAAACAAGGGATAGTAGTTTTTCGTTTCGGCTGTCTAATAGTCACAGACAAGAAATGAAGCCTTGAATGAAACAATAATAATGATACGATAGCAATCTTGTAACTCAGGGATAAAATATTTGTTGATAAATTTTCCTCTGTATGAGATATTTTCATCTTGAACGGACACCGTCTGGTGTGAATTATCCACCTCTTGGGCCAAACATTTCGGTGCTATCGAAAGCAGAACAATTATTCATGTTTGAGACTTTCAAATTCGAGCCAAACAAATTCTTTTTTGGCAGTTTTCAACTAGCGATTTTGTTGGCCCAAACAAGACTTGTTTGACAACGTCTTTGTTTTTCTCTCAGTGTACGATGCATATTTATATGTAGTGAGTATTAGAATTATTTTTAGACATAGCGCATAATATTGAGAATGGCAAACACAGACAATTGTGTCAGAACCTTTTCCAGATATTATTTTTCAATGGATTCATTTCAAACTACTGTTGCAAATGAACTCTGCAGTATTTAGAGGAACATGTTGTGCCTGATCACTTAGGGATTTTCGATAATCGCAGTAATGATTAATCCTTTACAATTTTGAGAAATAGATTGAGAAAACTTAAATGGAGTGAATCGTCCAGAGAAGATTGAATGAAAATTCAACCGCAGAAAAGTTTCATGATGTCCCGTGGGAGAAACAACTACATTTCACCGAGTGAACAATTGTTCAATTCTTGTTGGATCAAACAAGTTGAGAATTACAAACGTAGACAATTATGTCAGAACCTTTTCCAGATATTATTTTTCATACACAGCAATGCAATTCTTGCGAGGCGCTGATACAAATTATCTCAAAAATATTTAAAGAAACATCACGTGCCTCAAAATTCAGACATTTGCGATGATCGCAGTAATGATTAGTCTTTTACAGTTGGAGAAACGGATTGAGAAAACCTAAATGGAGCGAATCGTCCAGTTTTTAAAACTTTATGCTCATTTAAAAACAGAAAGAATATGGATCCAACCAAATCAAAAATTTAGAACTTCAGAACAAATGAATTGAGTGGTTCAACCACTGGACGATCCCCCCGACTAGAGAAATCGAATCATATTTCAGTGCCCTTCAACCTGTGTGTCTATCTGTTTTTCTAAATAGTTTTTCGGAGTAGATTTACAGGGATGATTTCCGCGCAGCTAAAGTTTCAATAGAAACATCACAATTTTGGCTTAAACAATCTAGAGTAATTAGAGATACTTAGGCTCTTGGCATATCAGTACATGACTTTTTGATATAAATCTTACAATCGTGTTGAAATTGATATCCGATAACTGCTACTTGCACGTTAGAATGAACTGAATGGTGAGAATGGATGGAAACTAAAGTGAAACATCACTCGAGTAAAATTTCGGAGACGGAAATTTTGATTTTGAAGCTTGGAAAGCGTTTACCAGAAACGATTTTATGTCGTCCGTAGACACACGTATGATACTACCAGCCACGTAGCATGTGATTTAATCTCTCGAAAAATGAAGAGAACACTGGTTCGAGGGTTACATGACTAATCAACTCATGACAACTCAACACAAAAGATTAAAAAATGATGAATATTAATTTTTGCAGCAAGTCCGAATTTTGGGTAATGGAACTCATGTTGTCGAGGTCGAGGAATCCCAATTTGTTGGGATTTTTTGTGAAAAAATAGTTTTTAGCGCAAACGATACGATTTAAGGATATCCAAATATTTTCTTCAATCATCAAATTTGTCCATTAACCCTAGATTGGTCACCCTATGAGGGAAACCCCGCTGCACGTCATTGTTCTTTAATTACAAATTGATTGGCTAACCGGAAAAATTAAAGAAAAAAACAATTGACTTTGTCAATTGAAGTGTCTAAAAAATTATGGTAGTTTTTACAACATGTTTCCCAAAAATCCTAAAGAAAACAAATTACTTCGGACAGATGAATTATTTTTTCCCATGTTCAATGAAATGCCTCATGACGCGACGTTGCCGGAAACTCGCTACCCGCGCCCGGCCAGTGTAGAGTGAATTCGGCAACGGTACAGCCTAAATAACGCGGCGGGGAATCCCCGCGGAAGTGACCAATTCGCAGGATCGCGTTTGATGGCCAGACTGGGGTTAACTTGCGGCGGAAAAATTTGAAAAAAATTATGAATATTCAGTGTCATTCAAATTACATTTTGCGCGGAATTATTATTTTGTTATGCACTCGTTGTTCATAAATGAATACTCAAATCATGTTTTATCAGCCATTATTAGCACATGCCTCAATTTCAGGAAATCCTATAGCTTTAAAAAGCAATAGATAAATAATTCCTTCTTATAATTATTCATTTATTCCTTTTTAAAGATTGAAAAAGAATAGATAAATAATTAAAATTGTTCTGGTAAATTTCTGAACATGAAAAAATTTGTTACGATTCCGACCAAATGATTTTTATGGTGAAAAATTAATTTGTTATTAATTATTTATTAAAAAACGCTTGGAATTTTCAAAAATTGTAATTTTTAAATCACTTCATCAATTTTTCGCCAAAAGTAAACTTTCCAATTTTTTTCGCATTTTCAAAATGTTCTCTAACGGTTCAATATCGTGATTTAAATCATGGGGCTGAAATTAATGTTCTGATGTTCGACTACAAAAGTAGGAAAGCATTTCTTTTCAAACCAAATGGTTCTGAATTTTCCGAAATCAAATTTGTTGATCGCGCGATATCCTCTAATTAATGGGCGTTCTAAATGAACAAATGATTTTCTACGAAAACAATAGGGGATGGAATAAAAAGTACCGAATGAAAATTATTCGTCTTTTTTTAACAACACAAGACGCAAAATCCTACATCATAGGAAAGGTTTTCTGTGTTGAGATGATGATGTGTTGAATAGTCATGCAAACGGTTCGTAAAAAATAATAATAATTAAGGTGATAGTGTGAATGGCATCACGCAGTGTTCAATGCGTAGATTAAATGATTGGATGATTTATTTATTTATTCCATGAGATGAGACAGGGAATGCCTGTCAAGTGATTGATAGACAGATTTCATCTGAAGTATTATAATGTAACCTTAATATCGAAACTGTAAAATAAATAGTCCATTATTTAAAATATCTTCGTTTTTTATTACAAACTTCAATTAACAGTTTATTTATAGATACTGGTTCTGATTAGTGAGCCTCTGGGGACTGGGAGAGGAGAACCAGGAACACCCAGAATTGGAGGAGAGCCTGGAACAGAAATTATACGTGAAGAACAATTTGTTATTGATAATTCGCGCACGAAAAATTTTCATGCAAAAACCTAGCGAATTCGACCGAAAATTTTATTCGATTTCGATTGAACTTCTATTGGGAATTCCATTAGTAGAAAATGTCCAGTGAAATTTACTTCATAGAAAAAATCTAGAATTTCATATATTTTCTATTGGAATTACTCGACAACAATTTTCAAATTTTTTTCCACAACTTTTCTTCTTTCTTCGCTAAAACGAAGAACTTCTAGGAAATATTTCAATAGAATAGGTAAGTTCTAGAATATTCCATTGAACATTTCTATTGAAAAAAAAACGCGCAGATAATGTGCGGAATTTTTCAATAGAAATCCAAAAGAATTTTCTACACAATTCGCGGGTTTTTCTATGAATTTCTCTTGTACGTGTCATGGATGTACGTACGATATAGATTATAACGAATATCCGTGCCAGTGGATATCGTCTGAGGAAGACTCCGGTTCTCACACTGATTGCATCCAATGACGAGTAAGCTCGTTTAACTTTTCGAGCCATTGTTGTATCGAATGGAGTTTCCATTAGGAATGTTGGCACTTGGGCTTTGGCGTCATCAGTATCGTTGACGTTGTATGGTTTTCTTGAATTTCCCAAGAGTTTTCTGTACTCGTGCTAAAAATAACATTCATTCACTTCACTTTCTTTCACATAATAGAGGATTAATTGAGATCGTGTGGATCAATTTCTAGAAAAACCTAGCGAATTAGATCAGGTTTTGGCTGATTATGTTAAAAAATTCTGTTCATCTGAGGAAATATTCTATAGAAAAAATCAATATATTATTGTGATTTTTCTGAACAACTTTTCTAAATTTTCCCAGTTTTTTCATTTGATTTTTGAAAAAAGAAAAAAATTGAGTAGAAAAAACTGGGAAAATTCATGTCGAGGAATTTTTTTAGGAAATGTCTCAAAAACTTGCATAAAAAGATGAATTCTACTGATTTTTTTTATAAAATATTTTCTATTAGACATTTTCCATTGAAAAAATGCGCAGTGAAGCTGGGGAATTTTTCTATAGAAATCAACAATACAATTTTTTATTAAATTGGCTAGGTTTTTCTATGAAATTTGTGCACAGTAAAATGACAAAACGTAACACGTTCATTGTTAGTTATTATTTATAATTGAGGATATACAAGTACTTTGGCTATTTTTTCTCCACTGAAAGGCTTTTCTACTCTTGTACATTTATTTTTTTCCATTCGAGCCCCATTTGATCCCAAGTTTTCGGACATTTATCAATGATTTTATTATGTAATTTTGCAGGTCTGAATTTGAATCTCAATATTAAACCGTTGGAAAATTTTTTAAAAATGTAAAAAAAATTTTGAACATGAATTATATTCTTCGGATATATTCTACAAATAATTTATAAACAATCAATTTGCCATAAAAATCTATTCATATTCACAATTTTACCAGAAATCGATGTCATGCAAAAAAAAATGTTTCCGAAAGTTTAAACAATTTCAATTACTCATTCATAAAAACCCGAATGTTTAAAAAAATAATACTCCTCAGCCAAATGTAATTTGAATGACGCCGAATAATCACGATTTTTTCAAATTTCTTTCACGCAATTTAACTAACAAATTTGATGATTGAATATAATTGAGTCAACAATGATCTGTCCCAAATTGCAAAGGATACTTGGATATCCTTAAATTCACCTCCGCCTTCTCCAACTGCAATCTCAGCGCATTCTTCTCGGTAGTCAGCCCCTCAAGTTCATTCTGTTTCGCGACAAGAGTCTGCGTCAAAGTAGCCAATCTCGTCTCAACAGCGCTGGAAGGTGTCGACACAGCAGCCAATTGCGACCGAAGCCTCGAGATTTCCGTATCCTGTTTCCTCACCTTCGTCGCCCAAATGCCAGCCTGTGAAGCCAACTCGTCCTTAACAGCCCTGACCTCCTCCATCTGCGCCCTGGCATCCTCCTCAGCCTCGACCCTCTTCCTCTTCTCCCCGGAGATAATCTCCTGCATCTCCCTGCTGGAAACCCCAAACTTCCTGCTCATCTCCTCGATTTTCAGATCAGCAGTGACAAGCTCCTCCCTTGCAATCCTCAACTGCTCGCCGACCTGTTGATTCTCGTGTCTGAGAGCATTGCACTCTTGTCTCAACTGCTTCAACTCCATGTTCGTTGCAGCATTGTCCACCCCAGCGTCTGATTTGTTCTCCCTCAGTTCAGCGATGAGTTTCTCCTTCTCCTGGAGGGTTTTGATGGCCCTCGCCCGATGCTGCTCCAGCTCCTGCCTAGTGGACAGCAAGTCCAGCCTGTTCCTCTCCAAAACCCCCTTCAGATCGCAGATCTGCTTCACATACTGACCATTCTCCACCTCCAGTTTGTCCATCTTCTCCCTCAGCACTTCAATCTCCTTCTGATTGTCAGTGTGCTGTCTGCTCAGGAACTCGTTCTGCTGCTCGAGGTTCTTTCGCCCAGACTTTGACTGCTTCCTCTCGAAACTCTTCGACATCTTCGTCAAGTGCTCGATCTGCTGTCTCTGCTGATTCATTTTGTACTCGTACTCCTGTCTCAGTGTCTCCAGTTTACCGTACATCTCACTCTGCTCACTCTCTATGGACCTCTCGACGTGCATGGACACCAGGAGTTCATTCTTCAGGCTCTCGATTTCTCTTCTCAGCAGATGATTCTCGGCCACTGGGTCTGAGGACGATGGGTCTGGATTCGGGAGGTCGATCAGGGTGTGGGAGAGATCTGGGGACGATCGCCCGCTGTGGGAATACTCTGATAATGAGTCCTTCGGGTCTGATGTCTCCACTGACAGCGACGAGGGGGTCGGCGGAGGGAGGAGCAGTGCTCCATTCGTTTGTCTCGTTGAGGCTGACGAGAGGCTGCTCAGGTATGTCGTTAGGTCCTCTTGGTTCTGGAGCTGCCGCTTTTTTGGAGTCCCTTGGGGAGTGGTGATGAAGCGAGCGAAACGAGTGGGTGTCCCTGCCTCAGGGTCGTTCGATTGGGAACTGCCAATCAATTCTTGATTAATTCGGAGCATTTCTTGAAGTGAAATGAAAAAGTCAACACCCACAAAGAAAATTAAGAGAAAAAATGAATAGAATTGGGTTTTTCTGTTTGAATTATTCTCTTTAGATATTTTCTATAGAATTTTCTCGAGTAAAATTTTTCCAGGTTTTTTTATTCTATTTTTCTTTTCTTCTCATCGAGAAAACCAAACCACAAAAATTGGAAAATTTGAACCGAGCAAATTCTGTAGAAAATGTATCAATAGAATAAGTTATAAGAAAAATAGAATTCTTTTGAATTTTTCTATAGAATGTTTGAGGTTGGCTATTTTAATAGAATCGGCCGAAAACTAATGGAAAGTTCAATGGAAATGCAATAGAATTTTCTACCAAATTCACTAGGTTTTTCTATAAATAGAATTTCAATTGATTTTTTCCATCCGTGGAATGTACGATATTTACAATTGATTTCCACTCTTGATTTATTTTTGATTATGTAGAACGCTGTGTTTGTTGTTAAGTACATTTTTTTATTTATATGTTCAAATGCCAGGACATGTTGTAGAAATAATTTTGCACTTAGTTGAATTGAAGACATTCGGCTATATGTCATACGCTCTTTTCTGTTTAAAATTTTTAAGAGCAGTCTTGACGAAGATTGTGTAACAAGTATCGAATGCGGAACTTCGAGGGAGCACATGAATTTATGTCAACATTTAACAAATGATTCCGTTTTCAGAAAACAGTTGAGGTGATAAAAATACTTGTTGACAATTACAGAGCACGAGTTAACACAATGCAAATTCCATTTAGTTATGAATAATGATGATTATGGTTGAGAAAAAATTCAAATGAAAAGTTGGCGTATTCCATTTTACGGTGCGATTTTTTTTCAGATATTGCATAGAAAAATTGTATTTATAAGAAACTTCCATAGAATTCTTTTCCGGTGGTTGATTTATTTTTATTTAATTATTTGTGATGAACAGAACAATTTTCAATAACAATTTTTCTAAATTTCAATTGAATAAACATGATTAAAAGACGATAGCTTATGAAGGTCAATAGATTCTTCGGATTCTAAAATATATATTAACTGCAAATATCATTTTATAGAATAAAAATAATAAACAAATAGTTATAAATAATTTTTTACATCAAATAATTTTATAGAAAATCATATCTTTATATCAAATCTAACGAAAAATTTAAAAAATTGTCAGTTAACTATTTCATTCACCGCTGATTTCCAAAAAATTCTAGAAAAATCTCCAGAATGATTCTCTTTTTTACATACTAATTGTCATCTAACTCTACAATTTCATCCTTTTACCTCAAGAAAAAAAAATGATGAAAAAAATTCCTACCTGTCATAAGGATCAACTGAAGTGACGTTAATCAGCTGATCCTGCTCCGGGTCATAATTATCCTTACTCAAAACAGCCGCTGTATTCTGATCAATCTTATTGAGCAAAGTTTCAGCCTTGCCAGCGAGATCAGACAACCACGCCATAGTTTATCACAATAGAGAATACTGTCAACGATTTGTAGAAAATAGAAACCTGAAAGTTGGTGAAAGCTTGACACCCTCTTCCAGACCTCGTGCAAGAACGCCGCAATCGTAAGTTAAACCCCGAATCCTCACCAATTTGTCATTAATAACAGTGATAATATCTAGTGGGAAGTTGAGTGCTGTCTCCTATTCACCATTGGCATTGTTAATATTTACAAAAGTTGGGGAGACACGTAGGTGATTCGACATGTATTTACACCACTACTGCCATTGCCATTCCTCCCACTATAGACGATCGTGTGGTGCTGTCTAGGGTCCACCAGCTGTACTACAGCTGGAGCTTCTGTCGAGCTCTACCTGTCTGGTAGCTGGTAAATCCTCGGAGGTCACTCCCCACTTCAGACATTTGAAAATAAAAATTGCAGGCGGCTGTATCGTCCACGGTCTTTCCTTCTTTCTTGAATTTCCTAGAAACTCCTTGCATTCCCTCGAATTTCCTGGAAACTCCCTGAATTTCCTCGAAATTTCTAGAAACTCCTTGAATTTTTTCGAAATTTCAAGAAACTTATCGAATTACATCGAAATGTCTAGAATTTTCTAGAACTCCGATAGATGGCGCTGCACATAAGGAGCGTTTTCCAAGATGACCCCCCATATTGAACCCATAGACGTATCTACGTCAAAAAATTGGAAATATTGCTGAAGAAAATAAATTTCTTTATTCATGACTTGTTCTTGAAAAATTATGTAAAAGAAATCTTTGACATAAATTTCGACAAAATACCTTTTACATAAAAAATTTAAATTATCTCTGTTTAGTGAAGTCAAATGGTTTAAGTCAATTCCATCCTAGCGCCAGTTCTCGATGAATATCTCAAATTCTAAAGAAGTTGGCAAAATTTTCATAAAAATTTTTTTTTGTAAAGAAAAGTGAAGACTATCGACAAAGATCTTACAAAAATTTTCCTCTCTTAAATTCCGAGTTATTCACGAAAACTCAACAGGGAGCTCAGTCGACTTAACCCGACTGACCACTTCACCACTGAATTGGTAGCTCGGGAAATCCCCGAAAGGTCACTCAAGTCATTCAAAAATAGAAAGTCCGGCAATATAGTTCAAAATAAATTTATTTATAAATCGGTTTTACATCAGAAACTTCAAACGTCTGATGTCGTTTAATGCCAAGTTCCTTATCAATTCTAAAACCAGAAAAATCTGAATATGCGAATAGTATCGAACAATCGAAATTAGTACCCTCCGGTCCGCTCTTGGGCGAAGTGCTTTTCATTGAGAACAGTTTCCTCATGGAGTTTAGTTTCTTCCGCTGGTGGATGAGCGCGAATCCACTCAAGCCCTCTGGCAATGCCCGTTGGAAGTGGCGGTGGCGTTGGAAGATGATCTCCCTCAGGATGGAATCCAGTCTCGTCCGCGACGTATCTCAACAGGACTTGTTTACCCTCGTTGTCAACATAACTGATCTGTCCAGTGACGGTTTGCGATACGGTATTGTCATCGAGGAGCTTCACCGACGCTTCCTCCTGAACCTTGATGCCGTTCTCCGACTCCCAGACATTGTGGAAGGTACCGTCCGGATTTACCTCGGAGTCCTGCGAGATTATACCCACTGGAACTACCTGACCGTGCTCCACTTGTCCCTGAACCCCATGAACTGGATGCTGTTCCTGAACGCCCTGAGCAACATTAACCGACCCTTGTCCTTGATACCCATTCCCTGGATACTGTCCACTCACTGGAACATAACTCTGATCTGGTTTCTGAATGCCACCTTGGCTCACATGCCCCTGACCCTGAACCCCATGAACTGGATGCTGTTCCTGAACGCCCTGAGCAACATTAACCGACCCTTGTCCTTGATACCCATTCCCTGGATACTGTCCACTCACTGGAACATAACTCTGATCTGGTTTCTGAATGCCACCTTGGCTCACATGCCCCTGACCCTGAACCCCATGAACTGGATGCTGTCCCTGAACTCCCTGAGCGACATTAACCGTCCTTAGTCCTTGATACCCATTTCCCCGATACTGTCCATTACTCACTGTAACATAACTCTGATCTGGTTTTTGAATGCCACCTTGGCTCACATGCCCCTGTTCCTGAACCCCATGAACTGGATGCTGTTCCTGAACTCCCTGAGCGACATTAACCGACCCTAGTCCGTGAAACCCATTCCCTGGGTATTGTCCATTACCCACTGCAACATAACTCTGATCTGGTTTTTGAATGTCACCTTGGCTCAAATGTCCCTGTCCCTGAACCCCATGAACTGGATGCTGTTCCTGAACTCCCTGAACAACATTAACCGACCCTTGTCCTTGATACCCATTCCCTGGATGCTGTCCACTCACTGTAACATAACTCTGATCTGGTTTTTGAATGTCACCTTGGCTAAAATGTCCCTGTCCCTGAACCCCATGAACTGGATGCTGTCCCTGAACTCCCTGAACGACATTAACCGTCCTTAGTCCTTGATACCCATTTCCCCGATACTGTCCATTACTCACTGTAACATAACTCTGATCTGGTTTTTGAATGCCACCTTGGCTCACATGCCCCTGTCCCTGAACGCCATGAACTGGATGCTGTTCCTGAAGTCCCTGAGCGACATTAACCGACCCTAGTCCGTGAAACCCATTCCCTGGGTATTGTCCATTACCCACTGCAACATAACTCTGATCTGGTGTTTGAATGTCACCTTGGCTCAAATGTCCCTGTCCCTGAACCCCATTAACTGGATGCTGTTCCTGAACTCCCTGAACAACATTAACCGACCCTTGTCCTTGATACCCATTCCCTGGGTACTGTCCATTACCCACTGCAACATAACTCTGATCTGGTGTTTGAATGTCACCTTGGCTCAAATGTCCCTGTCCCTGAACCCCATTAACTGGATGCTGTTCCTGAACTCCCTGAACAACATTAACCGACCCTTGTCCTTGATACCCATTCCCTGGGTACTGTCCATTACCCACTGCAACATAACTCTGATCTGGTTTCTGAATGCCACCTTGGCTCACATGCCCCTGTCCCTGAACAATCTGCCCCGGTTGCCCTCCCACCTGCTGAACTTTGTCAACAGGCTGCGAGGCGCAGCTACCCACCACCACAATCATCAATAGCTGAAACATCAAATATTTTTTTTATTAACCCTTCGTTACTCAGGCCCACGGCACCGCGCCGGGGGAATTCTGTTTTTTAGTATAACCAGAGTCAATCAGCGCCGTTTTGGGGTATTTTGACGAGATTTGTGAAAAAGAAAAAATTAAAAATAAAGTACATGTAAGACGAAACCCAACTTGAATGACCAAACTCAAACTACTTGTTATGATTACAAAAATTACTGATGAAAAGACGAGACAAATAAAATAAAATAATTTTATTTTATTTAAAATAATTTTGAAAATGCAAGTTTCTCAACTTTTTTTTTGACAATTCGATATTATGAACACGTAGAGGTTTTCATAAATAAAAATCGGATGAATAGAACTAGAGTTATGGAAAAAACATTTTAAAAAACTTGATATCTCCGAAATGGGCTGTTGAACAAATCTGAAAAAATTGGAAGATAGTTTTTCTAGCCCCCCAATCGTAGAAAAAAAATCGAGATCAATGTCGGAGAAGCTGAGGGACAGCCATTGCCTCATTTGGCATGGAATACCTCATATATTTTTGTATTTTTTGCAACATTTTAACTGTATTATTTTGATACTTGAGACAATCCCACACAATGCGGTTGAATCTTCTTCTGCATGACCACAGGGGCATTTTGGGTCGTTTACAATGGGAAACATCGAATGTACAATCCAAATTACGTAATGCGCAATTGTCGTAAATACGTTGGCGTTGATCGATTACCAGTTGCATAAAAAACCCATGCTCCAATATAACGAGTCCTTGATCGTTCATTTCCGTTAAATTACTGAGCAGACTTACCGTGAAACTCCTCATTCTTGGGCTCGGATTGTTTCGACGCTGGAGGATACTTGGACTGATGCTTATCCGAAAATTCACCAGCCTTTTATACTCCATTTGTTATTTATAAAAAATTATTAGCGTCATGGAGCCGATCCGGTTGTAACAATTTTTTCGTCATTTCCCCTTGAATTTCAGGACGAAAAAATTAAATTTAGGAAGATCTCTGGGGAGACGCACCAGCGATGACAGAATCGGTTTGACTTCATAATGATTTCGGTTATTTATCGCTCGGCGTTCGTCTCAAGTTCATTGATTACTCATTGTTGTTTTTTTGGCTGAGACCAGATGGATCGGTTTCGAATTGGTTGATTCATCGATTAATTATTCCTGAGTGACACGGAAGTGCATAGCATCAAGCCACATCTGATCTAATTATACTGGACGTATTAAATCGTATATTATCGCTATTTGTCACTCAGGTGCCATTCTCATTATGCATATTAATGGATCGGGCTGTACAGAATAATACAAAATTGCAAATATTTCTGTTGAGTTACATGGATTATACACGGAAAAAATACGTTTGCTGAGGAGTCATTTTCTTGGGAGAATTTATTTTTTTAGGAGAATTTATTTTTTATGGCAAAATTTTCGATTTTTTATCAGTTGTAAATATTACAATTATGTTGGGAGATAGTTATGCTACATATGAGATAGTTATGCTACATATGGCATTGAATAAACTCCATTGACAATTATTATTAACGTGTGGAATTATCCCAAATTATTTTACCTCAGAAAATCTCAAATTAAAACAATTAAAAAATAATGAAGAGTCAAGGTGATATGTAGCATCATCATTTTATAATTCAATATAATTGTGATATTTGGAGATGGTCATGGACAACATGGAAATAACTGGCCTGGAGAAACACGCGTGAAAAAATTAAATAGAAAATTCTATTGGAATTCTACTAAAAAATTCTTCTTGTTTTTTGTGCTGATTCTATTAGAGATTTAATAGAAAAAAGTCAATATATTTTGAATTTCTCTCCGAATTTTTTTCTTGACATTTTTTCTATTAGAATTATTGGGCCACTTGGACAATTTTCCAAGTTTTTTTCTCCTGGTTTTTGATTTGTTTCGCTTTACCGAATTCGAGTGGAAAAAACTTAGAAAAATGATGCCCACGCATTCTTATAGAAAAAATCTTGAGCAAAAAATTCAAACAGAAATTCGAAATTTATTGCAAAAACAAATAGAATTTTTCAATAAAATTCCAATAGAAATTCTATAGAAACCCCATAGAATCCCTAGAATTTTCTAGCGAATTCACAGGGTTTTCTATTGATTTTTTTTATACGTGAATACGCTCTTAAAGAAATAAATTCTTCTCTCAAGACAATGATTCCTTGGCAAAAGTATTTTTTTTCTCTGTGTAGAGTGATACACCTTCTATACAGCTACACATCGGAATAGTTTACTCACTAAAACCAAATTTCGTTCCACTGGAGAGCCACTGCGACCCAGACTCGCCTGAGAACACCGAACGGCCTTGGGAGTCGCACCTCTGTATAATTCGCCCATGCAATAATGCATAGAAATGAGAATAAAATGGGTATTACATAAAAAAGGCAGACTCGAAAAAAGCCCGAATTTATCACCCAGCGGGTGTTCTATTTAAAGGATTGAGGAGGCCGTGGGAAACTATACTATCACGCATAAAAAAAAACGTAGAAAACAGCGGATTCAATGGAAAACCATTGGATTTCTATTGAATTTCTATTGAAAACGGAGAGGAAAAGAGTTTTTGGTTTTCAAAAAGAAAAATAATGGATTTCAGTGAAATTTTCCTGAAAATCAGAGAAAAAGTTCTAGCAACACGCACGAAACAATTTCATAGAGAACGGAGCGAATTCGATAGAACATTCTATTGGATTCCTATTGAACTTCTGCTGAAAACACAGAGAAAAAGAGTTTCTGGTTTTCAGAAAGAAAAATAGTGGATTTTAGTGAAATTTTCCTGAAAATCAGAGAAAAAGTTCTAGTTCTAGATGTCATGGAAAACTAAACTATCACGCACGAAAAAAAAAATCGTAGAAAACAGCGAATTCTATGGAACGTTCAATAGAAAATATTCATTGCAAAAGTCAGTAAAATTCGATTTTTCCATATAACTTATTCTTCAGATATTTTCTATAGAATTTCCTCGCCTCAAATTTTTCAGGTTTTTTAAATTCTCTTTTTCTTTTCTGGTCTTCAAAAACATCAAACAAAAAAATTGGAAAACTTGAGCTGAGGAAACTATAGAAAATATCTCAATAGAATAAGTTGTATAGAAAAATCGAATTCTTTTTACTTTTTCTATAGAATATTTTCTATTGAATGGTTAGGAATGGCTAGGTTTTTCTATTTAACTTTTTCATCCGTGGTCTGGAATCCAGTACTTGGGATTCTTAAAATAAAAACATTGAGGTTCTTCAATTGACATTCTTGTCCTAAAACGATGCACTGAATGTACCGATGACAAAAATTTCCCTCCCCGTTATTCATTTTCTTCATCCCCAATTCAGACTGCTAGATGAAACGAAATTGCGACTGTAGTGTCACATACATTGTCCTCTCCCGAAAAAAAAAATACAATCCTTAATTAAAATTACGAGCCCCGTGCAGTTTTCCACCCTTTAATTAATCCACAAATTCCACTCAGAACTTTATAACCCTGCACAATTAATTAAAATCAGATTCCCCGGAAAGGCGCTCGTCACGATTGTAGGATTAACATGAAAAAAAAACACCAAATCCTCAAAATTAGTAACAACAGATTTATTAATTCTCTAAAGAGCAATTATTAAAATTTGAACAACGGTGGTACATTTATCGCAGGTCAACAATTAAAACATCTACCAGATCATTAATCCTACCACTAAAACCCTAATGATTTCTGCTAATACCAATAACATGGAATTCGATAACGAGTCGAAAGTTAACTTACTACCCAAAGAACCAGTAAAAAACCTACACTTAAACAGTCTAACAACAGTCAGAGGTGGACTAGCAATTTCAAATTTGGCGTCGAATCCGAAAGGTTTGAACCTCGTTATCGTTCATAAAATCAATAAATAATCAAAAACAAAACAACAGAACATGTCCTCGGTGTCGCAAAAACAAATCAAAATAAATTATCGCAGTAATCTCGGGCTCTTGAGTGCTGGGAAGTAGGTGCGATCGACTGGAACGATTCTCTCTCCAGGTGGTGGAACGACTTTGGGTGCGTTGATGGTCAGAATACCGTCGGTGGAGAGGGTCGAGGTGACCCGGCGAATGTCGTGACCCTTGGGTAGATCGTACCGACGGTGGAACCTCCTGGAGACGTAGCCGAAGGGATCCTCCTTGTCCTCGTGGTTCACCCCAACGATGATGGAATTATCCAATTTTTTCACCAGAACTTTATCACCCCGCATAAAACATTAAATTCACATAACCAGGAAAGGAGCTCATGTCCCGGGTGAAGGATTAACATAAAAAAACACCAAATCCCCAAAATTAGTAACAACAGATTTATTAATTCTCTAAAGAGCAATTATTAAAATTTGAACAACGGTGGTACATTTATCGCAGGTCAACAATTAAAACATCTACCAGATCATTAATCCTACCACTAAAACCCTAATGATTTCTGCTAATACCAATAACATGGAATTCGATAACGAGTCGAAAGTTAACTTACTACCCAAAGAACCAGTAAAAAACCTACACTTAAACAGTCTAACAACAGTCAGAGGTGGACTAGCAATTTCAAATTTGGCGTCGAATCCGAAAGGTTTGAACCTCGTTATCGTTCATAAAATCAATAAATAATCAAAAACAAAACAACAGAACATGTCCTCGGTGTCGCAAAAACAAATCAAAATAAATTATCGCAGTAATCTCGGGCTCTTGAGTGCTGGGAAGTAGGTGCGATCGACTGGAACGATTCTCTCTCCAGGTGGTGGAACGACTTTGGGTGCGTTGATGGTCAGAATACCGTCGGTGGAGAGGGTCGAGGTGACCCGGCGAATGTCGTGACCCTTGGGTAGATCGTACCGACGGTGGAACCTCCTGGAGACGTAGCCGAAGGGATCCTCCTTGTCCTCGTGGTTCACCCCAACGATGATGGAATTATCCAATTTTTTCACCAGAACTTTATCACCCCGCATAAAACATTAAATTCACATAACCAGGAAAGGAGCTCATGTCCCGGGTGAAGGATTAACATAAAAAAACACCAAATCCCCAAAATTAGTAACAACAGATTTATTAATTCTCTAAAGAGCAATTATTAAAATTTGAACAACGGTGGTACATTTATCGCAGGTCAACAATTAAAACATCTACCAGATCATTAATCCTACCACTAAAACCCTAATGATTTCTGCTAATACCAATAACATGGAATTCGATAACGAGTCGAAAGTTAACTTACTACCCAAAGAACCAGTAAAAAACCTACACTTAAACAGTCTAACAACAGTCAGAGGTGGACTAGCAATTTCAAATTTGGCGTCGAATCCGAAAGGTTTGAACCTCGTTATCGTTCATAAAATCAATAAATAATCAAAAACAAAACAACAGAACATGTCCTCGGTGTCGCAAAAACAAATCAAAATAAATTATCGCAGTAATCTCGGGCTCTTGAGTGCTGGGAAGTAGGTGCGATCGACTGGAACGATTCTCTCTCCAGGTGGTGGAACGACTTTGGGTGCGTTGATGGTCAGAATACCGTCGGTGGAGAGGGTCGAGGTGACCCGGCGAATGTCGTGACCCTTGGGTAGATCGTACCGACGGTGGAACCTCCTGGAGACGTAGCCGAAGGGATCCTCCTTGTCCTCGTGGTTCACCCCAACGATGATGGAATTATCCAATTTTTTCACCAGAACTTTATCACCCCGCATAAAACATTAAATTCACATAACCAGGAAAGGAGCTCATGTCCCGGGTGAAGGATTAACATAAAAAAACACCAAATCCCCAAAATTAGTAACAACAGATTTATTAATTCTCTAAAGAGCAATTATTAAAATTTGAACAACGGTGGTACATTTATCGCAGGTCAACAATTAAAACATCTACCAGATCATTAATCCTACCACTAAAACCCTAATGATTTCTGCTAATACCAATAACATGGAATTCGATAACGAGTCGAAAGTTAACTTACTATCCAAAGAACCAGTAAAAAACCTACACTTAAACAGTCTAACAACAGTCAGAGGTGGACTAGCAATTTCAAATTTGGCGTCGAATCCGAAAGGTTTGAACCTCGTTATCGTTCATAAAATCAATAAATAATCAAAAACAAAACAACAGAACATGTCCTCGGTGTCGCAAAAACAAATCAAAATAAATTATCGCAGTAATCTCGGGCTCTTGAGTGCTGGGAAGTAGGTGCGATCGACTGGAACGATTCTCTCTCCAGGTGGTGGAACGACTTTGGGTGCGTTGATGGTCAGAATACCGTCGGTGGAGAGGGTCGAGGTGACCCGGCGAATGTCGTGACCCTTGGGTAGATCGTACCGACGGTGGAACCTCCTGGAGACGTAGCCGAAGGGATCCTCCTTGTCCTCGTGCTTCGCCTCGACGATGATGGAGTTGTCCAGCGTCTTCACCAGAATCTCGTGCGGATAAAATCGCCTGACATCGAGGATGACCTTGAACTTGTCTGCGTCATTCTCGATTTTGTCGAGCTCACTGAGACTGGCGTTGAGGGAGCGTCCCCAGGGCCGAAAGAACGACCTGAATGTCGGCCACCGCAGGGTCTCCAGGACCTCGGCGTGAGTGACGTTGCGCTCGAAATATTTGTCCAGGACCTTCCCCGGGCGCTCAAAATCGTCCCACCAGTCGCGCCAGTAGCTGCTAGGCACCAGTGCCATTGTTCAAATCGTTAAAATGAAATTATTTCACAAAAAAAAAATCGTTCGTTCGCGAACGTCGACAAACGGAATTCAGCGGTTTCGAGTAATTAAGGTGTGATCCGCTTGCAACGTAGTTTCTTACAAAACTGGGAGCCAAGCCCCCCCAGTCGGATTATATATTTAGTCCCCTACCGCAAATTTTCACGGACGTTTCGGCAGATAGACTGCACTGGTCGATTATGTCGTAGATGTACGCGTGCCTACAATTGCTCATTATGTACATCAGCCAGTGATTAATCGGGTATTATTAGAGTCAACATGCGCTGAGGACCAAACGGGTTATTGTCCACTTCTCAAACATTACGAAAATCATTGACTCTGGGGGAGTGATTGGGAATATTTTGGGAGTTGGCAGACGGGGGAAATGGTTATTAAATTTTTGGAAAGTCTGCTTGGTGTGGAGTTTATGATTTATGCCAGCGCGGCGAGAGAAAAATGCGTTCAATATTAGTTGGGAATTTTAACTAGAAGACGTAGAAGACGTCGACACGGTTGTAAAAATAGCAATCTTTCTGTGGAATTTTCACTTGACTTATTGCATTTTTTATTAAAATTTAATAGAAAGTCCTAGAAGTTTTTCGATGAAATTGTATTGAAATTGACCTCGTTTTTTTGTGATGATTTTCACGGAGAATTACGCAGTCGTGTGTTTTAAAGTAGATATTTTGTAGACAAAAAATTAGCAGATGTTGATTTTCCTGGATACACTATTTATTTCGCTGGAATGTGTCCAAATTTCCAATTTTTCATTTTGCAGTGAGAAATGAAAGAAGTCTAGAGGGAAAATTTAGAAATTTATACAGAATAATTGCTGTAGAAGAAAACTTCGAGAGAATAATTCCTCCAGAAAAATAAAAATCTATCGACTTTTTAAAAAATGTGATAAATATTAAATAGTTCATTTAATTTTTAATTAGCAACATACAAACATCATCTTCGTACGAATATAAATCACCTCGTCAAGTGAAACATCTACAACAAAACAAGATTAGCCACATTTTGCCGAAAATTATCAACTGAACAGTCGCGAATGAAAAAAAAAGATTTTTGTCATCAATTTTTCCGTTTTCCTCCTTCTGAGAAAAAAACCAAGAAATTCAGTTGGCATTCTCTGAAGAAAAACTCCAAACAAAATCCCACATGAAAAAAAGTCGTAAGGAAAATTAATCTCAATGAGAACAATTCGCCGAGAAAGGATTGTCGGGGAAAAAGTTTCCGGGAATTTTCCACGGAGGAAAAAACCCTGGGAAAAAACTCCACCTATTTTTTTCCACACGTCGCGCCCTACGATTACTGAAAAAGGGCCAGTTGTTAACATATTTTTTCTCCGTCACCGTAACATGACGACAGTTCCTCTCCAATGTTTTAAAAACAAACTACCAATTCACCAGCCGAATTACTCAGGCCAAAAAAAACAGATAATTATTGTTCTACGGTTCATCCAATTGCCGCAATACTCCCGATATTTACCCCAGTTAATTTTTACTTCTATTGAAATTGGATAATGTCTATTGGAAGGTCGCACGTGTAAATTACAGTTTTGGTGCTCGTCTGTGTGGCAATAATGAATCACTATTGAACGTGGGCAATGGGCGTTCTGAACTAACGCGACAGGTACTGCTCTATGTATTTACCATTTTTTTGCTTTATCCGTTGTTGCATCAATTATGCACGCATCGAAAAGTTAATTGGTAATAGGAAGTTACTGGTTTAGGTGCCCACAAGGATGGAGTATGCTAAGTACCGCAGGTTTGCCGTTATTAGCATTCCCTGTTGCACGTGGACGTTGATAATATTCTGCGCAATGGTTTTCATGCCCATAGTGGGTTCTTATGATTTTGGAGTTGGGGGAGAATGGAGTGATAACACTCGGGATTTGGGAGATTGTCCCTGACGACGCGTCGTAATGACGATGTTTTTTTTTTATCGGGCAAACAAACTTTCTATTTATATTTGTGGGTGATTCATATTTGTGGGTGGGGAATCCTGATGTTTCTGGCACCACGTGACATCGAATGCTCCAATTCTATTGGCTGAAATTAGACCGATGAAAATAATAAAAATAAAAGAATTCCATATCCAGCATTTTCTCCCCAATTGCCTCAAATCATAATTTTATTCAACTAACAAATTGCCCTTCCTCTTTCCCTCTGAATCCTCAATAAAATTGACTGATCTAAACCCTCCCCCCATATCAATGAGCAAAGCAAACGACCAATCCCCGCCGGTCGCCTAAATCGCCAAAACGGTTCCGCCACTCAAGAATAAACCAGCAATTCAAAAAAGTTTCTTTTCGATCGTAATGCCAGGGAAATAAATTCAGGCGAACATATTCTCTCTTTCTGTTCAAAAATGAGGTAATTAGAAATGGCATTTAAGGGGCACGTGACGTCGAATGCTCCAATTCTATTGGCTGAAATGAGACCGATGAAAATAATCAAAATAAAAAATTCCATTATTCAACAAACGAATTTCCCCCAATTCCCCCTCCCCCCGAATCCCCAATAAAATCGGCTAATGCAAAACCTCATCCCTATCAATACGCAAACGACCAATCCCCGCCGGTCGCCTAAATCGTCAAAACATTTCCGCCACTCAAGAATAAACCAGCAATTGAAAAAAGTTTCTTTTCGATCGTAATGCCAGGGAAATAAATTCAGGCGAACATATTCTCTCTTTCTGTTCAAAAATGAGGTAATTAGAAATGGCATTTAAGGGGCACGTGACGTCGAATGCTCCAATTCTATTGGCTGAAATGAGACCGATGAAAANAATGCAAAACCTCCCCCCCCTATCAATACGCAAACGACGAATCCCCGCCGGTCGCATAAATCTCCAAAACATTTTCGCCTCTCAAGGGTAACCCAGCAATTAGTGAGGATTGATATATATTTAGCATAAAACAACTGTTTATATACCATAAAACAATATCCCCAACATCTCATGCGTCAGGGGGGTTGAACTAGAAACTAACAGGGTGCTCTAGTGGGGGATTTGACCCACTTGACGCGGTCAGTGTGCAACTCAGTGGCGCGAAAGCATCGGTAGGGACAGTGTCGCTCGGTTCCTCGCGACCAGGGGGGGATGAAAAAATTCATCATCACTCTCTTTCACTAGATTAAACCCTCCCTCTGGGCGCATGAGGGGCGGGAGGGGAGGGGGAGTTGTGGCCAGTGACGCCTGCACAGCTGTTCTCTGTCCACACTCCGGCGACTCAGAAAGCCCGCGTGTGTGTCGGAGTGATGATTGATGTTAATTGTCGCTTGGTGGCTGTTGAATAAAAAAACTCATGAGGAGTTTGAGTGTCAGTGCTTGGTACTCGATGAGCGAGACGTTTGTCGTTGAGATAAATCGTCATTACGGATGTTTTCACTCGCTGATTCCTCGTGTTATCGGTAATAACGAGTCCACTGGCGTTAGTATGGTCTGTAAGGCTGTGCTGACATCCACTGATTTTTACGAGGTAATGGTAACACTTTGTTTTTATTGTTGAGTGGGGGGTTTTTTTTTCAATGGGGAGAGTAGTCTGTCGTCGTAATTCACGTGCATGCTCCATTTATCGCCTCGGAATTGCAAGTAATTAACCTAGATTTTCGTTTCTCGTGCGCAATAGACCGTTTGGAGTGATAAGGTTAGGTCAGACGTGGCCTGGTGCAATAATATTTCAAACTCCCCCCCTCGATGGAGATGTGTCATTGAGACAATTGATTTTTTGGGATCTTTTATTGGGCCGATCGCTCCGGGGAGTCGGTCTTTCGATCCAGTTAATTCGGAGCGGAAATTTTGGAGCGAATTACTTTGCGGGGGTTATTTTTTGCCTTGAGCACTGCGTGGAATTTTCTGGAGTTATGACTCATGAATTTGCGAATGGAATTATTGCTATTGACTGCTTGATGTTGGCTCGGGGGATTTTTGGGCAATGGGGTTTTTTTTCATTTGCTTGGCTTGGTTTGGTTTCAGATTGCTCTCGGGCCACTCCAGGTGTTTCAAGGAGGGACGAAATTATCTCGTGATTCATGATTTGTATCGGGATTTTTGCAGCAACAGTTTTCATACTCTCGGTAGACTCTTTCATGTTTAGGCATGCTTGAGAAGCCGAAAATTGTACGAGCGGTGAGTAGAGAGAGGAGGAAATGTTGGGAGACGTCAGTGGAAAAAAATTGGCGAATTCGCTAGGAAATTCGATTGGAATTCTATTAAAATTTTATTTTTTTGCACTGATTCTACGAGATATTTGATAGGAAAAAGTCAAAATATTTCGATTTTTCTATATGAATATTCTCTTGGAATTTTCCAAGTTTTTTTCACTCACATCGTGTAACAAAACAACGTAGAGATAGAGAAAGAAAAAAATTCAAACAGAAAAACCGAAATCTATTGCCTTTATCCTAAAATATCTAATAGAATCCACGCAAAAAACAAATAGAATTTCTAGAGAATTCGCTAAGGGTTTCTATTAAATGTTTTCACACGTGGATTGTAGCACTCAATAATTTTGGTTGATTATATGATTTTGTAGTTTGGTATTTTAATGTTCAGTTGTGGATTGGTGGAGAGAATATCAAATTGATTTGAGAAGAATTGTTGGGGGATATATAATGTGTTCATGAGAACTTTTTTTAGAGTTAAATAAGAGGAATATAAAAGGTTCTAGTGAAAATTTACTCATCTCCCTTCACTTCTGAGCCATTTCGTGACAGAAAACTTTACGATTGGAACTAAAAAATTGATAATATCGAGGATTATTCGAACTCATGACAGATTTGGCCTCACCAAAATTCTCGAATCAAGATTTTTTTAAAATTTAATTATTTCGTTCTCTGGGAGGGAGATGGAGACATTTTCATAAGGACCTCTTTGTAGAGGGAAACGAGAACAATACAAGGCAACGGTGAAAATTAGCTTGTCTCCCTTCACTCCCCACATAATCAGCAAAAAATAATGTTTGAGGGAAATTGAGTCATTTTGTTTCACAGAAGAAGAATTTTAAAAATCGTGGAAGTAAAAATGCTTGATTTTAGAGAATCGGGAGAATGCAATTCACTGTTATGAATAAATGATGAGTAGCCAGAAAATGAAGGATGAATTCATTGACGATGACACTGTTAAATTTTTTCCCTTCTATCAATTTTTTACTCACATCGAGGCCTGCATTGATGGAATTAGAATTCTCTTGATTCTATTGAATTCTTCAAATAAAAAGTGGAAAAAATTCCACCCAAAAGCCTTTGAAGATAATTGAAGCTAAAAAATATCTAAAAGTAGAAATAATTTTGCGATGTCGTTATTACCAAACGCACGATAGATTTAATCTCATCAGATTTCCCAAATCAAGAATTTTTCGCTATTTCATTATTCCTTTCACCGCGAAGGTAAATAGAACAATTTTCGTGAGGACTTTTGTGTAGAATAAAATAACCGCAATAAAAGGTAACTGTGAAAATTAGCTTATCTCACTTCACTCCCCACATATTCAGCAAAAAACTAAAGTAAAAGTCTGAGAGAAATTAAGTCATTTTGTTTCACAGAAGAAGAATTAAATAATTGTAGAAGTAAAAATTTTTGATGTTGGAGAATTGCGAGAATGAAATTCATTATAATACATAAATGGTGAGTAGCAAAAAAATGAAGGATGAATTCATTGATGATGACAACGTCAAATTTTCTTCCCTTCTCTTAATTTGATTAAAATTTCGGAAAAAAAAACGGAAGAGATTCTACTAAAAAAAATTCTGATTGGATTTGAAAAATTGATAAAGTGAGAATAGTTTTGCATTCGCCGTTGTCATCCAATAAATGCATTTTTTCCCTCTTTTTGTTTTCTCTGTGAAGGTAAATAGAGGAATATTCATAAAAGCCTTCTTTGTAGAGCTTTTTTGCAAGGTATAAAAGGTACCTGCTAAAATTTCGCTGTTTCCCTTCACATCCGATATTAATATTCAGCAAAAAGCTAAAAGCCTGCGTGAAATTGAGTCATTTCGTTTCACCAATCCACTGCTGCAGTCTTTTTTCACTCACATTTACTGTCACTCACCACTATGCTGATGGAAAATGTATTTACACGTGGAACATATTCTCTCGAGACGAGGTATTTTCCCTCAAAACAATTGATAGAATGTGATTAATTTGTTAATGAAGCTTGAGTGAATTGATGCGCCACACAATGATATCCGGGACTGAAATAAAATGCGAAATCTCTTGAATTACTCTGCCTTTGCTTTCATACTCAATAATGCTAAACATTCTCATTAGTTATCTCAATAATGAGTTGTTTTAACAAAAAACTAAAAATAATTCTCGATATCTTATTCTAAGGAATATTCCGAGAAAACAGGTTTTTCTTACGGTTGTCCTCCTGTTTTTCATAGATATTGTCTATAATATTTTCAATCAATCAATATTTTCAATCTAATTTTTTTTTGACATTAAAAAAATTTTTTCTACCGGTTCAATATCGAGATTCAAATTTAGACTTGCAAAATTTAAATAATAAAATCATTGCACAAAAGTAAAAATCGTTTCACTGGAGAAAAAATAGCCGAAGTACTTGGATATCCTCAAGTCATTTAGAATATTTTCTGTTTTTAATTACTACGGCATTGCTTTAATATTTAACAATGCAATACATTTTTTTAATCACCTCAGTGGTGAGTTATTTTCAGCGAAAACGTCAGTGTTATTTTTCGTTGGAGTTTTTCTCCCCCACAGAACTGTCTCTTAACATCTTATTTTAGAATCAAAACAAGAATTGACAAACATCTTTGTTAATTCTCAAGTTATTTAGACCCTGAGTTCTTCAAGCAAAAAACAGAAGAAATTCTAGTCCATCGTCTTCTCCTCTAAAAACCCAATTAATCAGACTTGAGCTTCCGGAAAAATGTCTTGCCTCAACAGAATAAATTCCACTCATAAAACCCCATTTCTCTCAGTATAAATCACTGCTTATTTTTTTTTAGTTTAGTCATGGTATAATTTATCGTGAAAGTATTTGAATAAAGTCAAGATGGCTATTGGAAGTGTTATCTGCGGGGCGAACGTTCCAAAAACAAAGAAAAAGAAGGCAAAGGTACACAAGTCAACTTCATTATTATTTATTTAATTTTTTTTCATCTCTCAGTGATATCGAATGGGTAATCACACTAGGAAACTTCTAAAAATTCAACGAGAAATTAATTAATGAGGATTCACGCACGAAACAAATTATTAGAAAAACCTAGCGAATTCGCTAGAAAATTGTATTGGATTCCTGTTGAAATATTCAATAGAAAAAGCTAATAGAATTCGGTTTTTTCATAAATTTTATTCTATTTTTGTTTTGTTCTCATCAAGAAAATCATAAAAATTCTCTCGACTTTTCCTATAGAATATTTTCTATTCAACATTTCAATAGAAACGGCCAAAAATTAATAGAGAGTTCAACAGAAATCCAATAGAATTTTCTAGCGAATTCGCGGGGTTTTACAATTAACTTTGTTCGTGCGCGTTCTCTAATCCTCGCTTTTGAATATTCCATGACGCCTTTCCTCGAATTTTCAGACCCAGGAGCGCAGCTGGATCGAGGCAACATTTCAGAAACGAGAGTGTACTAAATTCATACCCAGTGCCAAAGATGAACATAGGTTTGTTCATGCCTCTTTCTATGACCAACATTTCAAATCATTAGAAGGTATCAAAAATTAATGACTGGCATTACAACGCCGAGTCCAATGACGTACTTTTACCTGCAGTAATACCATATTTTTATGAATTTTCTCTCACAATAACTACAGCACTGGCAGTTTATTACAATATTATACAGAATTAGAGACACTTTATGCAAGTTAATTGGAACACCCTAACGCATTTTCAATAATAGTTATCATTCGTTACGTTTGAAGAACATTTTAAGCTTTATTAACATCATTACGAACGTTTTGTGTTTGCTATTATTACTCTTTATTATAATTTCATTTAATTGACTATTAAATCCCTCATTTGGCAAAATGGCTCACCCGAATTCGAATTTTTCTCCCAGATTGGAATTAACTCTAAAAATTAATGGGCATTGAAACTCGATAGGTTTTGATTTTGTTTAATTTCACCAGTTTCGTTTTATTTATTTTTCCTTTACTCTTTTTTTTTTTTCATTACATTCATAGGCTTGAAGACATACAAGGAGATAAAAGTGCCGAATACGACGTGATCACCACCTCCAGGTGAGATTATTGGGGCTGTATCTTTGAAAGAAATGAAAAAAAATTGCACAAAGTAATAAAGTCTCACGATTAAAAATAAATGAGTAACATGGTTTTGTTTTGAAGAATTTGTAAATACTTCCCCTGTACATGGAAAAGCAAAACGTCGATGTGTGATCGAAGTTGACATTGTTTCGCTAACAAGTAACGACTTCCTCTGTTCCCAGACAATGTGCTTGCAATAGAGACTAACAATGCAAAATATTCACGTCTTCATTCACACACAGAACATTGCTTACATGACATGCTTAAAAACGCTTAACAAACTGTAGTAACAGATGCATCGGTGGGGAAATTGCTCGATAACATCTGAAATATCAGAGGTTTAACTGGTGATTACTCATGGGATAATGCATTTGATGCATCTGTTTTATTTCACAGAGGAAAATACACGTTTATCTATCTCCGCTTGATCTTGTGTTCACGTTGTTCTGTTTTTATTATTCGCAGTATGAGCTTGAGGATGAATGTTAATTATTGATGAGTCTCGGTGGAATTTCAGGTGTTGCTGCGGTCATTCTTACACCCACCACTGTGGAACTGGAGCGGATGTGCAGAATTTTGCAACCGGCACTGCAGCTGAGGCCGAGCGGGAACAATGGTCACCTGGGAAAAACACGAAGCCCGCACCGACCGATGCATATGGAACCATCGAATTCCAGGGGGGACCGCATCCGACGAAAGCTCAAGTGAGTTATTTGAGAATTTCATTAATAGGGGCCCGGCCCTTTCATTATGCCCTTTTCGGTGTCGGATTCGATACCCGTTTGTCAATTAATTGTTTATAATTGTCGTTATTGCAAAATGCAATGCGATTGATGAGATTCATATGCCTTAATTTATCAGCTGTTGAATTTTCACGTTACAACTAGAGGGCTACGCCCCCTGCTCGCTCCGCTTGCCAACCCCCATATGACCTCCATGATCCTCATTATGATCCTTGTAACCCTTAATCTGACCCTCGTGGCTACTTATTATACCCCTCGTGACCCTTATTTTAACCCCTCATTTCTGGCCCGTAATTTCTAGTACCAAATTTTCATCATCAGAAGTGGATTTGGATGTTTATAATATAGAGACCCTTATTTTGGCTTTTAGTTTCTGACCCCCATGAACCTTATTTAGACTCTTGATTTGACCTTTGTGATCTTTAATCTGACCCTTTTGACCATTATTTGGATCCTTAATCTGACTCTTACTATAACCCTCGTGACCCCTATTTCTGACCCTCATGACCCTTACTATGGCCCTTGTGACCCTTATTTAGACCCTCAATTTGACCCATATGACCCTTAATCTGATCCTCATGACCCTTATTCTGACCTTTTTTTACCCTCGTGACCCTTATTTTGACCCTTGAACCCTTGAACCATTGCATGGTTCAAAAAATGTCTAAAGGGTCTAATTTTTCCTGTAATTCTATAAATAATTGATAAATAATCCATTTTCCAACATGAAAATCATTTGTTCAGAATCATAACAGATTCATTCCTTTTTAAAATTTTACCAGAAATCGATTTCATGCCTAAAAAAATTAATTTCCGAAAGTTTAAACAATTTCAATTATTTATTTATAAACAACAGATGTTTAAAAAAATAATAAAACTGACAAATTTGATGATTGAAAAGGTTTGAACCTGCAGTGTGGTCTATACCAAAATAAATCATTTTAGATCACTTCACTATTTTAGTGTTGAATTTCCTCATCGAATACTCTGAAAATTTGTGCAATCCGATGGCAGGTATAAAAATAATCCACTCATAATCTGGACAAAGAAAAAAAATGATGATAGAGCACAAAAGGTCTAGATTGCACGCAATTCCTTTGCGGTTTTCCGAGCGGATAAATTGCTCTGTTTAAAACCAATATCCTCGCTGCAAAGTTTTCCAATAATTCTCCTCATTAGGGAGGAAGGATTTTCCTCCAGTGTTCCCAGCAAAGTGGATTGTGGATTTTTTTACTCTGCTAATTTTCCCAGTATGTTCGAATGGCCCACGACACTCGGCCCGAGCCAATTGTTCAGCTATTGTGCCGAGAATGGAACCTGGGCTTACCCCGTTTACTGATAACAGTGCACGGTGGCCGCTCCAATTTCGAGCTTCAGCCGGCATTGAAAAAAGTATTACGCAAGGGTTTATTGAAGGCCGCCAAGACAACCGGGGCATGGATTTTCACCGGTGGAACGAATACAGGTGAATTTTATTTTTAGACTCATTCGAACATGTTTATTCTTCTTCGTAATCTCATTTTTTGCTTACGAGTGGAAGCTACAATTGTCTAATTTTTCGATCTTATAATTTTGTCTGGAAATTATGTAGAATTTTATGGAACATCAAGATATGATTCTTCCAGAAAATGTTGTTTTGGAAATTTTTCATAGGTCTTTACAAAAAATGAATGAATTCCATCTGTTTATTAGTAAACAATCAAGGGAAAACTTTGTCACGTGCGTAAATACGCACGGATGGGCTTAAAAACTATACTTCCGGATTTTTCAGATTATAATGGGTTGATGTAACGTTGAAAATCCAAAACTTAAATTTGAACAACTACACTGTTGAAAATTTTTGTCTGAAATTTTCGGTATACCTTTTGGAAATTTTTATTAGAATTTTTTATTCTGAATATCGCGGAAAAATCAAAGAAAACTAAATTTTAGTTCCATTTTTTCCCTGAAAAAGAATAGAAAACCAGAAAATTCCGGTAAATATGTGACACTGAATGCCATTTAGGGGGAAAGAAATCATGACATTTCAGATTTTACTGAAAATTTAATGTAATTTGGCACTGAATATTCATATTAAATTAGAAATTCCAACAAATTAAGGGATTCTCGCCTTTATGCTGCTTAAAATTCTTCAATTTTACTGAATTTTCAGTGGAACCTGAAATTTTATAATTTTTTTCCTCTAAATCGCATTCAGTGTCACTGTCATTTTTTTTCTAACAGTGAATGACTCTCCCCTTAAGAAACCCCTTAAACGTCCATTTTTTTGTTCTCATGCTCATCTCAATTCTAATTACGATGATTATTTTAGGCGTCACACGTCAAGTTGGAGATGCGTTGTTGCTTGAACGATCGCAGCGGCAGGGTCGAGTGGTTAGCATTGGTATAGCTCCCTGGGGAATACTTGAGAAGAGCCATGAGCTGGTTGGTCGCGGTGGAGAGGTGCCTTATGATTCCATGGCCTCCCCCTGGTAAAGACTCTCTTTAATTATTTTTCCTCGGGCAATAATCACTTCAACTCGTTAACTGGAGTTGGGAAAATGAAGTTCAGAACTACTGGTGATGAACAGAACTTCATTCTCGCTAGTTTAATGAAACATTAGGGGGTAATTTCCAATGGTGGTGTGAAATTTCATGGAAAGAATACGTTGTTTTCATTATTGTTTTTTTTTTGTAAAAATAATCTTGAGTATCGTTAGAACTATTTAAAATCGGATTTTTTTAACTGTCAATATGAATAGATTTGTTATACTTTTAAAACAATCAATATCGAAGTGAAAAATTGCTGTTTTATCAGTCAATTGTGAAAACAGATTCTGATAAAAAAATATGAATTTTTAATTATTTCATAAATTTTCCTGAAAACGTGAATTTTTTAATTTCTTCTGATTTTTCAAGAGTTTTCTGCAGAATTTGAACGAAAATAGAAATCTTCCTCAGTGTAACAACGTGAAAGAGCTTGACATTCCCCCAAAATTCTCCAAATGTTCCCTACTTCATTTTTCAGTTAATAATAACTAAGAAAAACTCGCTGATTGACGCTTATATGCATCACAAAGAAGTTTTTATTATTACTTATTCACGGTTTTTTGATACATGATATCATTTTCACTGTGAGAATCCTGATAATACGAACAAATAGAAAAATCGAGAAACATATGCCACAATCATAAACTTTTGAAACTACTTGAATGAACTTTTGAAAACATTCATACACTCTTCATTCGAAAAATTGAATAAAGAAGCTTTATTTAACCGCGATCACGAACCTCCTAAGCACCACTCATCAGCTCCCTAAATAGTCCCTTCATTAAAAAATTCTGCCCTCCCCTTTCAGGTCAAAATTCGCAGTACTAAATAATCGTCACGCCTACTTCCTGCTGGTTGACAACGGCACAGGTGGTCGATACGGTGCAGAGATAGTTCTCCGTCGTAAACTTGAGAAATATATATCAAACTTGAAGCTCCAGCCATGTAAGTAAAAATATCTGCACGTACATGTTCGAAAACCCCCCGTAAAATCGATAAAACGACTGAATTCCTAAGCTGACATTCCGCCATAACAATCAATCAGCCATAACAATCAATCAACCGTTCACCGTCGTAAACTTATGTGGAATCTTCTCTTTTCCCCCTTGATCAGACACGCACAGTAGTATCCCAGTGGTGGCATTAGTTATCGAGGGTGGAACAAACACAATACGTTCAGTGCTCGAGTATGTCACAGATGAGCCACCTGTCCCCGTTGTTGTCTGTGATGGTTCTGGGCGTGCAGCTGACCTTATCGCCTTCATGCATAAGTATGAGAATCTAGAATAACTTGAAATTAATTCATCACTGATAGCAATCAATGAGAAACACCATCACTCGTCTATCCAATTATCCCTCAACATTGAAACCTTTCACACTCACTATTTCCTGATACTCTACGAGAGATTTGTTCTTTAGATATGCCACTGAGAGTGATGATACTAAGGGTGGAAGCACTGATGGACCATTGGAGAGCATGAAAGAACATTTATTAGAAACAATTAAGCACACTTTCAAAGTATCACCTGAGCAGGCAGCCCAGTTGTACTCTGAATTGCTTCAGTGTACTCGTAAAAAACATTTAGTAAGTGTTGAAAAAAATGTAGGTGCATTCAAGGGTCAGGACAGACGACTGAGTGCACAAATACTGAATTTTAGATGTAGTTACGTTATCGGATTGTTGAACGTGAAATTTTTTGAGCATGTAGAACGTGAGGAGTGAATTAAAACATAGTCACAGTCCTGGATGTAGGAATAGACGTGGGGGTGCGAGAGAATCATTCATTTTAAGTTAATAGTGAGAAATTAGTAGATCTGTGACGATTTTAATTTGTACCCTGTTCTTTACCTAGACTCATTCAAGTAGTATGGTCACTCACCAAACGAGCACTCGAGGATTATGAGTATTATTAGGACTTGATGAAATTATTATTTATATAAAATCATCAAACAGAGTAGTATTTTACGTTATTTGAGATGTCAGTTGCTCTGGAAAATCATGGAATGTTCTAACCCGTTGGAGAATAGGAATCGTTTAGAAAGCTCTTCAATTTACCAAGCTGTTATAATTCTAATGTATTTAAACTAGTTCTGGAACTCGAGAAATTTCTGAAAACTGCTCCATTAATTCCAGAGCTTACGAGACCCTTTTAAAATTGCTGAAAGTCAGTATTTTTTAATTCTCAAAAAGGATTTGTGACCATGCTATACCAAGCATTGGTTTCTTGACTAACAAACTTTCTAAAACAGTTGAAAAAATTACTAAGGATCATATTGTTGTCACAATTGGAAGAAATTAAATTGAATTGTGAAGATAGAAGAAAGAAAACCTCATAAAATTCAGGCCATGTTTTAAGAACGGCAAACAAACGCGGTGAAAGAAACTTCGTCAAATCAACTGATGACTAAAAAAAACTTGAACAACTGGAACTTTGAAGAAGTTGAATAAAAAAACACGAAAACAGAACATGAATAACGCTTCAATGAATACCCACGAACGAATATAACACGAATATAACGAAATAACAAAATGAAAAAAAGTACAATGTTCAATTCTCAAACATCGTATCCAGAGTAAACAACATCGAGTGATTTGACAGAAATTCATTTCACAACACAACAAAATATAACAAATGATGTCATTCAAAGCAGAACGTGTTATTGGCGGAAGTTCAATTTTCCTAAAGTTGAATTAACCAAAAATTCACTTTCCCAAAGTTGATTTACCCAGTTTTTTTTGACGAAATAAATAAATAAATAAATAATCCATTCATGCATTTTCTTACTCCAAACAAAAATCGTCAATAAAATGGGTCGAACCTGTCGTGGGATAAATTTGTTTTGCGATGAAATTCATCCCTTTCATCCTCACAATTCAATCAAGTTATTTGCAATTATGACCGGAATATACCCCGGAGTGGTGGAGATATCACCATGCATGGAAGCGGTTTGAGCAGTAATTTATTCTTAAAAAAAAACAACCTCCCCAGTTTCGCTCCAATCCCCAAATAACTCGAGCCCAAAAACTTGCAGATAACTGTGTTCAGGATAACTCAAGATCGACCACAAGAGCTCGACCAAACGATCTTGACAGCCCTCTTCAAATCCCAACAATTATCCCCCGCCGAACAGCTCTCCTTATCACTAATCTGGAATCGTGTAGACATAGCAAGAAGTGAGATATTCGTTTACGGTCAAAAATGGCCAGCAGGTGCCCTAGAACAAGCGATGATGCAGGCACTGCAGCACGATAGAATAGATTTCGTTAAACTACTGCTTGAGAATGGTGTATCAATGAGAAAATTTTTATCAATACCACGTTTGGAGGAGTTGTACAATACTAAAGAAGGACCATCCAACACTCTGGGATATATACTCCGCGATGTGAGGCCACATATACCAAGGGGATACATTTATACACTTCACGATATCGGTCTTGTGATTAATAAATTGATGGGTGGTGCTTACAGGCATCAGTACACACGTCGTAAATTTCGAATGATCTATGCTAAAGTTATGAAACGATCGGGGGGACATCTCCAGCAGCACAGAAACAGCATGGCAACTGGGATAAAGTTTTACTCGGGGTCTGGGGAAAAATCACATGGACTGACCATGAGCCTTCTGGCTGAGACACTGCCAGCTAATCGGGACACACCGCTGTTCGATTATCCGTTCAATGAGCTTCTCATATGGGCTGTGCTCACCAAGAGACAGCAAATGGCGTTGCTCATGTGGCAGCACGGCGAGGAGGCACTTGCCAAGGCTCTTGTTGCACTTAAATTGTACAAGGCTATGGCGCACGAGGCTGCAGAAGACGATCTTGAGACTGAAGTTTATGATGAACTGCGGGGGTATGGGAAGGAGTTTGAGAATATCGGTAATTATTGATCTTAGGAGAATGGTAGGGCGGGTTTAAAGGGTTGAAATTGAAATTGAAAGGGTTGAAAATAAATTGCGTGAAATGAATTTGAAGACAAGTGGGAAATTAGCAATTTGAGTGTGAATGGGTATTCTGCGCATCATTTCTTTCTATCATGTATAATTCATTGTTTATTTCATTTTATTAAATTGAATGAGATTTCTTTTCAACTAATTTTTTCAGATTTTCAACTTAGTTGAATGGTATCAGCATTATTATTCTCATTATCCCTTTCTTCTATACAACCGATTGTCTTTTTTACGGTTCTATCTCTCCCCTCAACTCGTCGATAAAATGTTAATAGAAAAATTTTATTTATACGTACGTGAATGAATTTGAAACATGACATTTGAAGAAACTATCAGAAAGTTCACTTTCAATCATCTTCGAACTCGCTGAAAAGGATATCCAAACAAATTTTTTTAGCCATCATTCAATCAATTCAGAACATTTTTTTAGTTATCGCGGGACAAGCGATTTTTGAAAAAAATCGAAAATTGGAAAAACTAATCGATGAATTGAAATTTAATTGAGGATGTAAAACAAAAAATGCAAAACTTAAGTTTCAACCATTAAAAAGCTTCCATTCGGAAGCAAAAGTCTGAAGTACTTAAATATCCTGAAGCCGCACTGCTACTCGAATTCATTCATAAAACTTTCGATGAATTCGCAAATATTTGTGATTTTGACGTTGGCTGTTGGCTGTCATGACTCATGAGCATACTTTTGCGAATTAATGAAACCCTCAGGCAAAGTAGCCTTTCAGAGCCGTAACTGGGTCACATACTCTTTCATGTACACCTTATTTGCACATTAACATGTATGCATTTTCATGTCTACATAGAATCAAGAAGGGAATGAGTGTAGAATTAACCCCTTTCGCCTTTCCAAAAATGTACATAGCCCATTGAATTATCCATGAAAGAAAATGATGTTTTCATCCATGAAAATTGCACATCTTTCCCGGCACGTGGAAACGTCTCTTTTCCTCTTGAATCAGGCAATTAAAAACTAATGAGAAATAATTGAAAAATCCCAATCAGCGCAAACTGCCTGAACATCCTCGATTAAATTTCCGTGAACTAATTTCTCAGCTTATTGAAAATTACGTCAGCCCTTTAGCGAAACTTTAATTGAGTTTAAATTGGGTTTCATCTAGCCCTGGAGTTATTGGACTACTGTTACCGTCAGGACGATGATCAAACACAGCAATTACTAACTTCTGAATTGCAAAATTGGTCGGGTCAGACTTGTCTGTCACTGGCTGTCACCGCAAATCATCGTCCAATTCTTGCGCATCCATGCAGTCAGATTATTCTCGCCGACCTGTGGATGGGGGGTTTGAGAACCAGGAAGAATACGAATCTGAAGGTGATTCGGTAGCACTGAATTAAAAAAAAAAATCTGTGTTTGTGAACAATTGTAAATGTGATTTGAGTTATTTTATGGGGGGATTTTGGTAGGGAGTTGTTAATCTTGTTGGTTCTCCAGGTGGTTTTGGGACTGGTTTGTCCTTTCTACATCATGAAGTTGGACTTCAAGACGAGGGAGGAGCTGCAGTTAATGCCACAGACACAGGAGGAGCACTTGATCGCTCTGGAGGATGAGAATGAAGACAGTGAGTCTGAGCAGGGGACGCCTGTTGGTCCAGATGTAGAGGTGAATATCTTGGAAATTCATAAGTTCTTATTGCCTCAGAGAGAAAAATTTTCTAGCTTTCAGAGCCAAGTTCTGTAGTGCTTTGTTCTTGAAATAAGAAACTGGTTAGTTAATTTTAAGAGGTAACTATTTAGAACTGAATAGGAAAATCTACTTATTTTGAGGGAAACATTTTCTTAAATGAAGAAAAGTGCAGAGTTGACAGTTTGGTACAGACTCCACATAATATATTCAACCATTTTTAATCATCAAATTTGTTAATTAAATTGCGTGAGGAATATTTGAACAAAAATCATGAATATTCCGTGTCATTTAAATTACATTTTGCACAGAATTATTGTTTAAAACATTCGTTTTTTATAAATAAATAATTGAAATTATTTAAACTTTCAGAAACCTCATTTTTTACGCATGAAATCGATTTCTGGTAAAATTCTGAATATGAATAAATTTGTTAAGATTCCGAACAATGATTTTATAGTTGAAAATTGACTGTTTATAAATTATTTATGAAAAAATGCTCGTAATTTTCAGAAATTGCAATTTTTAATTATTTCATCAATCTTTCTCCAGAAATAAACTCCGATTTTTTTTTTCAGATTTGAATTTTTTTTTTCAATGGTTCAATATTGAGATTCAAATTCAAACCTGTAAAGTTCAAATAATAAAATCAAATGGAGCTCAAATGTAAGCTCTGATGTTCGACTACAAAAGTAGAAACGCATTTCACCATTAATCCAACATTGATTGAGTCTAAAAATCAGATGATTCACTTCTAATTTCAAAGCAGTTGTGAAAAAAGCATGAGTAGACTAATTGCACAACCGGGAACTGATTATTTCAAGACCTTTAACATTCTAAATTCAAAAATACAGGTCAGTTCAAGCACAATTATGCTTCATTTAAAACAAAAATGATTAATAATTAGAAGCCTTTCGTCTGATTTTTGGAGAAAAATTCCTTAAAATAAGGGAAAACTTTACACATTTCCTGTCAAATTCACCTATTTTTACTGGAAACTCCCCATTTGTAATTAATAACTCGATAATTGATTCAACTGTGCAGCTAACCCTACCCCATCAACACTTACAATAATCTTAACAAATGTTAATCGACCAAGGTGTCTAGCTTTCCCTGTAAATAAACTAGCTCGGCATACTGTTGAATATTTTTATAGAAACGTCTGCGCAGGAGTCTCAGCATTTGCAACAAACCCACCAGCCAGCAGGCCCCAAAGGTACATAACCCACGGGCTAGAGAAAGAATTTATGATCAAATGCCTACCCTTTGTCCACATGTACTCCATTTATTTTCAATGAAGAATTTGTCTCATTGTTCAAGTTTATTTCAGCACTCATTTGGTAATGGGAACATTTTTCATTCTTTCAATGCTCAGTGCCCATTGTCTCCAGTTACTCTCCCTCCAAAGTAATGAAAAATGTAGTCATGAAGTAGATTAATTACTCACGACTCGTCGTTTACCAACGTTTCCTAGCTGTCTAATTTGTTTTTACCTAACGAATAACGCACTGTCTCCCGATACTGTGATGTGAAGTGAATATCATTTGTTTCCGTTTAACTTTCAGTGATGCCACCTTATTGTTGAACAGATATTATCTTTCACTGTTATGTATTCACCGCTGGATTGCACTCTAACTCCAATATTTCTGCAAACTATTGTCTCTCAATTTCTCTGTCTTTCTAGAATACCTGATGAACGCCCACTCCGAATGCATCTCTCTTTAACACCTATCATAATACATCACCTGAACTCGAAATATTCTCGTTACTCGTATAATATTCCATGTCGTTATAATTATGTAAAGATAGATGTCGTACACTCAGAGAAAAACAGGGGAATTCTCCAACAAGTTTACTTGCACCAAAAAAAATCGTCTGTTAAAAATGATCAAAACAGGATTTTCTTATGCCAAACATGTGAAGCATGCGTCGAGATTAAATATTTTTACTAAAGACAGATTTAGTCTTTTCAAAAAAAATTATTCTCTATTCAATGATCACAGACAAAAATGAATTCTTAAATGAAATAATAATAATATGAATTGACAAACTTCTCTCTGTAAAAGTCTTTTTTTGGGAAAGCCGAGTAATTATTCACGTTTGACACTTTCAAATTCGAATCAATTGTTTTTTTCGTAATTTTCACGAAACGATTTTGTTGGCCCAAACAAGACTTGTTTGAGAACTTGTTCGTTTTTCTCCCAGTGTAGTCTTGTTTCTTTTATCCCCTCGACATTATATCACTAACTGTCTTTCGTTTGAGTTTACTAACACGTGTAATGTCCTTTGTCCAGGCTTTAATAAGCAATGAGCACAGTACGACAGTTGCCAAAGAGACTATTGTTCAGGAGAATGGAAAAGTACTTACGGACAACGATGACAATCTTCATCGTCCCTACGGCCTTCTATCGGAATATTATGATAATAAAACAAATCGACCATTACGATTAAAGAAAAAATTGTACGAATTCTACACTTCGCCTATTACTAAATTTTGGGCAAATGCTGTAAGTATTTTTAATTCTACACAATTTATTTTTTAATATTATTGTTTTCTTACTTGAAAAATTATGAAATTTAAAAATCAATTCCAGTTCTCATTGTTTTTTTCAATTAGCATAAAATTTATGGGGTAGAAAATTCATTGTCTATCAATTTTTCATGGAACGAGTTGGCAATTATTTTATAACAAAAAAGTTTAAACTTCGTCATTGATTTTAGATGATATCTTCAATGATAATGTTCACAATTTCTCTTTCACAGATAGCATACATGGTTTTTCTAATGCTCTTCTCATACTGCATCCTCGTAAGAATGACTGAATACCCAGGACTTGCTGAGCTCTACGCAATAGCTTACATATGTACCCTTGGCTGTGAAAAAGTTCGTGAGATAGCAACGTCCGAGCCCGCAACAATGTTCCACAAATTCAGTGTATGGTCGTGGAATATGTGGAATCCCTGTGATGCTGCTGCTATTATATTCTTTCTTATTGGTCTAGCACTGAGAGTTAGACAATCGACATTTGATATTGGACGAGTCATGTACTGTGTCGATTGTATCTACTGGTACTTGAGGATTTTGAATATTCTGGGTGTTAATAAGTACTTAGGTAAGATCAACATTAAAATAATATCTCGTGCCAGCAAATTTGACAACAATTTTAATTCGGAATGTAAATGAATTGAAAAATGTGTACTTCCACGTTGATGGGATACAGATAGCAATTCAATAGGAATTCTGACTTGAATAATTCTTTTTTATCAGTAAAAAAAACAAAATTTTAATGATCATTATGGTTTCACCTCGGACATTCGCAATTTTTAATGAGAAATAACGTGTGTACACTTGAGTTAATGTTACAAAGATGAACAACGATATCAATGAGATTATTAGACAATAAAAATGGCTCATACTGCTTGACTGAATATTCCACGAAATTAAATACTCAATAAATAGAAATTGTTGTTCATATGAACTACGATATGATTAGACAACAAACAACAGGACCCTAATAGATAAACCCCTGCTGCAGGTCCCCTAGTTACAATGATGGGCAAGATGGTGAAGAATATGATCTACTTCGTTGTCCTTTTGCTGGTCGTATTGATGAGCTTCGGGGTGTCTCGACGAGCTATTCTCAATCCTAATTCAGATCCCCAATGGATAATAATTCGAGACGTAAGTAGTTGAACCGCCACTTGAGTTTCCATTAATGTTCTTTATCAAATTATGAATTTCCAATGACGAAATGCTTGGGATTTCCCTGAACCCTCACTCGATGAAATATAATCAATAAAAATTCACCAAATAACCCCGAATAATTCTCCCCAGATATTTCTACAACCCTACTTCATGCTTTACGGTGAAGTATACGCAGATGAGATAGCCCCAGATTGTGGTGACGAGCCCTCAATGATCCCCTGCCTTCCGGGTCGTTGGATAACCCCAATAGTGATGTCAATGTACCTCCTAGTAGCCAACATTCTCCTCATAAATCTCCTCATCGCAGTCTTCAACAACATCTTCATCGAGGTGAACGCTGTGGCCCACCAGGTGTGGATGTTTCAGCGTTTCACTGTCGTCATGGAGTACGAGCAGAAGCCCGTTCTCCCCCCTCCCTTCATAGTCTTCTCCCACATCTGGCTCCTCGGCAGATACATATTCCGTTACATAACGCAAGGAGAGATGCGCTCCCTCGAGACATACGACAACGGTCTGAAGCTCTTCCTCGAGGCCGACGACATGGAGCGCCTCTACGACTTCGAGGAGGACTGCGTCGAGGGTTACTTCACCGAGCAACAGCTCAAACTCCAAATGTCGACAGAGGAACGAGTCAAGCTGACGACAGAACGAGTGGAGAATATGTCTCAAAAGCTAGAGGACATCGACAAAAAAGAGAACAGTCAGATAGCTTCGTCCCAGGCTGTGGAGTTTCGCATGCGCAAGCTGGAGGAATTGAGTGAACAGACACTGGCTCATTTGGGGGTAATTCACAGGTTCATGGCGACGCACATGCAGAACGAGAACCTTTCAAGTTTGGATATAGAAATTCGGTCGAGAAGGGTGTCAGAAAGATCTGAAGTGATTTCAGAGGCAGACTCCCACCCTCATCTCCCAGGATTATTCCCAAGAAGAAGACTCCTGAGGTCTTTGACTGATGCCCCAGTGCTCCATATGAACCCCTCAGCTGACGACGACGCGATAAAGCAGTCGGAGACAGCGACGTCTCGAGAGAATCTCAGCAGGAACGAGTCGTCGTCCAGTGGAGAGGTGCCAACGACTGGTCCCGATGAGAAGAAGACAGCGACAACCAGTCAGGAGGAGAGTGGAGGAAGCAGGGACATCCCAGAGGGCGACGTGAAGAAGTCGGAGGTGGAGAGAGACACCAGCAGTGATGTGCCAATCTCAGACATACGTCAGGACTCGTCAGAGCGTCCAACCAGGCAGACAAGCAGATCGAGGTCCGAGTCTGACGATGCTATGCATCTGGCACCACCTGGCACGCAGAAGGGGGTCAAGTGGGCGGACCCCAGGGTGGCCATCATCACTGGCTCCAGTGGGGGCCATCCCAGGTCGACTCTACTCGCTATGAGGAACGAGTACACTAGCATTACTGATGAACTCGAGGGATACTGTGGATTACTCAGCCCTCCGAGGACTCCTCCTGTCTCACCACCTCCCAGCAGAGCCAAACATGTCATCGATATGTCGGATCCGGAGATTGCACTGGAGTTTGAGAATGAACATCTCAGGGATGCTGAGGCCTGCGATTATCAGCAGATGGAGGATCTCATTCAGAGGAGGTACAGGCAGGAGGACGATGACTCGGATACTGACGATGTTGTACCACCACCGTTTTACGTTGCCAATGAGCATCGATTGAGGAGGTCCACTGCCATCGACGAGGAGAGCAAAACTAGTGTTCATCAGAGGAGGAGGGTTCCACCCACTATCAGTGTCACGAGGGAAATCGAACAGACTTTGTCGAGACCACCGGCTATTAGGGATTCTGATGCCTCGGAACCTGATGATAAAAATAATCCCGGCCCTGCACCGGCTTCGGAAACTATGTGCTGAGGCACTATGGCTTGCTATGGTTTTTAGAAATGCTAGAACAATCATGGTTTAGTATTTTTATGCAATTGTTCAGGTGGGGAGTGAAGTGGTAGATTTTTGTGAGGCGAGTATTTTTGTTATTTGGGCATTTAGGAGTTAATTTGTTGCTGATGAAATTATTAAATGATTTTTTAGTGTAACAGATGGGGTGAGAGCAATTGTATAGCAAACAAATTCGAAAGCATTGGTTATCGAAAAAATCAATATCTGTTGATTCACTACAAATTTAATTTTCCATTTTTTACGATTTTATATTCATTAAAATTCAACAGTTGAATTATTCTGTTAAATTTTACCACTTCACAACTGATCTTTAATGATTTATTCGCTTGTATTAATCCAAAGTTGCATTCAGCATTTTAGCTGAATTATCAATGAATTGTTTTTATTGTCTAATTATTTTAGCAAAATATCGCATATCACTGTCGTGATTAATTTTTAGAATTGACTATATTCGACGTGATGAGGAGGCCCACATCAACATTGAATTTTACATTTGAAATTGTAGTCTAGATTATGTTTTGCTATCAGGTACAATTTCACGATACTTAGATGAATTTTACTCTAGTCGACATAACACGATTAATTGAATCGAATTTTTATCACTCAATCTGATTTACTTCTTTTAGCCTTTTATTGAGGTACCACAATCTTGTACAAAAGAAGAATTCGTAGATTTAGATTAATGTATCCGAATAATTGGCAATTTATATTTGAGAGCCTGATTGAGCTCTCAGACTGCTCAAGTCATGTATTGGCATGGAATTTAATGAGTGACAAATGAATAATAATGTACTCCATCTATTTTTTAATCAAATGCAAATTGTAAATATGAAATTCTATTTTTTTCGCATTCTTCCTCGCACATTTATAATATTTCAATGGGATAGATGCCAATTTTGCTCAAATGATGATAATTCGCTCTGAATTCAGCAGCATACGCTCTTTATCTCGTGTTATTTTTAGTTGAATAACATCTTTCATCTTTTCTATGACTCAGTGGGAGAGTAACAATATATTTTCATGTGATTTATTTGAATTTTGTGGAATAATAAAATGTGTAATCTTGAATGAATGGAGAAACTAGTTGATAATTATGTATATTCATTACTTAATAATGGTTTCAAAATGACGTTTAAAATATGAATTTAAAAAATTGCAAAATTATTTCAAGTGTGACCGTAAATACGCCATATGGAAGAATTTAACGGAAAAATCGAGGGCTTTGCCAATGAAATTCTATGGAATTTTTGCATCAATTCTGTTGAAAATTACAGTATAATTCAATAGATTTTTATTTTTCTACAGACATCCCTGGACATAAATTTTCTAATGTTTCTGAAAAGGAATTCCGAGAATTCATTCAAAATCAACATCTACAGCCTTTTCTCTAGAAAAAAAATATTTATTGAAAAGCGCATGGGAAATTCGCATAATTTTTCATAGAATTGGCACAAAAAAAATAGTTTTCGGCAGAATTCGAAAGCACTGGATTTATCTATCAATTTTATTTTATAAATGACGTGACTCTGCAGATAGATTGTAATTGTATTCTCCATGAAGAGTCCTATTTTTGATTGACAAAGTGTTTGAGAAATATTTTGGAATTGTCACTTATTATCAGACTGATCATTCCACCAAATATCTAATAAACTTCTTTCTGAACGTAACTGACAATTTGTTCTGAGCTTACTGTTACCATCAAACTCTGAGAAACGAGTGAGTAGAATGAGTCTGATCGATCGAATATGTGATACCCACTAAAGCACGAGAAACCAAAAAATATAATGTAATAGTCGAAATGAATTAATCATTTGCACGCGGAGAATAACAAATAATGACAACGAAATAATTATCAAATGGATTATCTTCATAATTTATTTGCGTCGAGATATCTCTGTCAATTAATAAACAAAACTCAGGGTCGCGCAAGAAAATAATGGAAAAATTTATTGTTTCGTTGATTAATTATGAATGAGATGATATCATAATGTAATTTAATTTAGCTGAAATTGAATGTATTAGTTAGGACATTCGATCGATCGTTCCATTGATGACGTGTGGCAATTTGAGATTGAAGAAGAAACATGTAAAATTATTGAGTTGAATAAGAAACTAGTGGGTTTCTGCAGACGATTGAATTCACCCAGCCACAAACAAAAGTACAAAGTTGAATTGCAAAAGTTACTCGCCAGTGGTTCCAGTGAAGATAGTACTAAAAGAAAGGAACTCAATGAACAAAGGAGATCGAATAGGAATAGCGATGAGGGTTCACTCTACAAATTTTATTTTTCGTAATACCGAAGAATTACATTTATCCTCGCCCGATCATGAATCACATATCAGGATGGCTGATCTCGCACTTCAGCAACGACGAGCGCAAACTCAATCTACGAAACAAACTGATTTCCCCTTTTAGGGGGAGCTTGAATATTCCGAAATCATGATCTAACTGAATAATCGTTCGTTTTATTGTGAGATTGGACACGGGGATAAGAAATTAACGAAGAGAGGGGAGTAGAAATCACTGTAAAATTAATAATAGCATCGAAAGTTGTGGATTGATAAAATAAAAAATGCCAACATAAGTGTCTTGTGGTCTTGTGTTTTATTCATAATTGGTTTTGTATGTCTTATTCATCACTAAATATGTCAGGCGCAAGCTGCTGCGTCACTGCACGGAAGCTGGGTGACCAGTTCCTATTAAGAAAGTTGCCAAATTAATCTATCTGAAGTTAATTCTAAATTAATTCAGTAGCAAAGTGGTAAAACAATATGAGATATCTCTTTTCCAATAGCCGAATTTTTTTGAACATTCCACGTTTCCCCTGAGTCTAGCAATTGTTATATTGACCCACATTTTGGTAATCCATTCAGAGGAACAAATGGACAAACTTAATAATTCCAATTGAAAGACTGCAATGCTACTCTATGCTATTACATTTACATTCTCATCACTGAATTCCAATCGTATTTCCTTAATCCCCCTGACGTGCCACATTCAGTACATAATGCAAAATGTATCCCGCCGGCAATCCCTCAGGAGGTGACCTACCTAGGCTTAATGAATAAATAAATAAATGCAGAATGCTGTATCACTCCACGAAAAAAACGGGTGATTTTCCCCAATTCCGAGCAAAATTGAGTCATTCCGTTTAACAATCCTCTCCCTGGACAATTTCTCTGAGAGAACTATGATGATCATCGCACGGGTGAAGGAAATGTGCAACTTTCTGCGTATCACGTATCAACGAGTACTATCGACAGCGCCAGGGAAACATCCAACCGAAAAGTAACGTTTCCTATTTCTCAAAACAACTGTTCATTGATTATTGACGAAATTTCAGGGCACTGTGGATTACAGTTCACGTCGTCGCAATTGCGGCATTCGCATTTATGATTTTCGACACTACAGAGAATTACAGAAATACTCCAACGGCGACGCGTATGGCAACGGACGCGTTTCCGACAAGTGAAATTAATTTTCCAGCTGTGGGCATTTGCAATGTGAATCTCATTAGTAAAAGAAAGGCGATAGCATTTGTAGAGGGATTGTAAGTCAACAGCGACGAAATGTGATATGATTTCATCTCAAAATCAAGTCATTTCACGAGGAAATTTCAAGCGACTTCCTTTAATGCAGACGAAATTTCCTACGGAAAAGTCTCTTGATATTTTCTCCTGAAATCATTCATCGTGAAGATAAATTTCTAGTCAATAATTATTCAATTGAGGGAATAAAAAAATTGACCCAATCGGCCTTCAGGAACACATAGAAGAAGCTAATATATTTTCACATTTAGATTGCAAAAGGAAAGGATTAAATCAATGAACTTAACAAAAACCAGACTCTTGGAGTTGGTTAAATACGTTGGACACCTGTACACATTTTCGATTCAGGAGGAGCGTCCAGGCGACATAGATCTCTTTCAGAAAATTCTGGAGAGCGCCTACGATGACAATAAACCCAGGCTTTCCATACTAGCAGAGTCAGTTGGTGTACAGTGTGAACACTATATCGTGCGCTGCCAGTGGGCAGGGATTGTGCGAATGTGCTCTGACATTCTCGAACCTAGGTTCACCTCAGATGGCCACTGTTGTGCTTTCAATTATGCTAGATGGAGGGATCATTTTTCAAGGTGCATATTTTTTTTGTGCTCGTATAAATTCTTCGAGAGCAGAGTTGAATTTTTAAATATCAATGGATTAGTTTTTTCTTTAATGAGAGTTGATGAGGTTTTTGCTATAGTGGAAATTGCAAGGCAATTGAAAAATGGAAAATTTATGCAATTTTTTGTGGTTTCAACGGCAATTCAATAATTCCTGTAGAAAGATACAAACGAATTGATTTTCATTTCTCGATTAAAATGTACGTTATCTATTCAAGTGTTCAGGATGATAATTTTATCGCACCCGTCCTGAAATCCGAAATAGCCGGCTGGGATTTTGGACTCTCGTTGCTACTGGATGCCAATGCAGAAGATTATTTCTATCAATTGCTTCCGATGGTTGGATTCAAGGTGCCTTCCCCTATGAAAATCAATAGCGAAACGGTAAAACAGTTCAGTCGACTTGGCCCTTTTCGAGTTTTCGAGGAATATCTCCGAATCTATGGGGGATACCGAAATTTTCGTAACGATCTTTTTTATAGAGCGAATTGAGGACTACAAACGAGGTCATAACAAAAATTTTGCTATCTCCCTTAGATTTCGAGATATTCATTAAAAAACCGTCAATAGTCAAAAACGATTTAAATTGATAGACCGTTTCGCTACTGAAATGTAAACCGGATCGATTTATTGGGTTTTTTTCTCTCACAGGTGATAATTTACGGGTCCACTGATTTCCCTGACCCACCCAGTGGCAGTGCGAGGGAGGTTTTAGTGGCAACCGGCACGGAAACATTTCTAAACATCGGAGCTTACGTTTTCGATACTAAAAAAGTATGAATTCATCAATAAACTTTGCACTTTATCAATGATTGCAATTTCATATTTACCTTCAGTACTCGCGTGGCAAATATGATAAGTCAATTTTAAATGGGGGAAGGTGGGGCAAAATGGACACTTCGGGCATTTAAAAAAATATTCATTACTTACTCCATTTAATCAACAATTGAATGCGGTTTTAACATTAGAAAAAAATTCTGAAGTGTCTCTTGTCAAAAAAATTTGACCTGGAACTGCTCTTATATTTTTAAAAATACCGTTTTATCACTTCACTGCTAAATTTATTGAATTTGAACTTACTTGGATTATTTGCCGCAGAATGTTGAGAACATTGACGCATCTAAACGCATTTGTCGCTTCAAAACCGAAATGGAAAATCGGTTTGGTGGACGGTATTCCTTCAGTGATTGTATCATGGACTGCAGAGTCCGTGATATTGTCGAGAAATGCGGGTGCATTCCATTCTTCAATCCCCGTCCCAATGGCCTTGGTAATAATAATTTTCGTCAATTGAAATCGTTGCAAAAAGGGACTTTCTTCGCAATTAAATAATTAATTATTAATTATTATTAAATTATTAATTAATTATTAATTTATTATGTTAAATTTCAGATAACATTGCGCAGTGCAGTCATGGGAACCTCAAGTGCTTGAATCGTTATCAAAGTACGAGTAACATTTCAGTAGTGAAGCGATAGAACGGTTCAAGTCGATTTACACGTATGAGAAAATTCAATAGAAAACTTTGCGAATTCGCTAGAAAATTCTGCTGCACGGAGGGAAATTTTATAGAAAAATTCTAGTACGAGTTTTGGAAAAAATAATCCACCGGCTGTGACAAATTCTAGTGCTGTTAACGTAAAACTTCTGGGGATTTCTGTGAAATTTTCACAGAAATGCGGGGAGACATTCACGTTTGCCCCAATAAAATTTTAATTGAGAAAAAGAACGTTTGCCCCAAATATCTTTAATAGAAAAAATCTCAAGAGAACAATTTTAACAGAAAAATCGAATCTAGTTACAAAAATAAAAAATTTAATTTTAATTTGAAATTTAATTTATTTTTTTATTTTTCTTTATTTTCCAATTTTCACGAGAACTCCCTAGGATTTGAATAGTATTCCCATAGAATTTTCTAGCGAATTCGCTAGGTTTTCTATTGAATTCTCTCATACGTGTAGCTCTCAAGTCGCTGAGTTTTCGAGGAATATCTCCGCATCTAAGGGAGACAGCGCAATCTTCGTAATAACCTTTTTCGTAGCTCTCACTTCGCTCTACAAAAGAGCTTATAACAAAAATTTTGCCATGTGCCTTAGATTCCGAGATATTTATCAAAACTGATCAATAATTAAAACGAACTTGAAACGTTTTACCGAGTCCCCACAGATTTCTGTTCAATAGTCGACGATTCCTCGTCAACTGAAGAGGCAACTTAATATTTCCAGCTCGATGGTGGGGTATGAACCCAATTTCTGAGAAAGATGGGTCTTACCCACCCGGCGCATTCTCAGAAATTCGAGAGGGGCATTTAAACTGCGACTGTAAACCCACTTGCGACAACATCAATTACATAGTTTCCGCGAGCATTGGGAATTTAAGAAATGAAGTTATCGTTTGGGACATGTAATTATCCGACTGATTCGCGATATAACTCTTTTGTTGGCCTCCAATTTCATTTATATGATTTTGTCTTCACATTCAGAGATGAAAATGCGTTGAACAGAACTGCTGATCACGCTGTCCTGAACGTCTACTTCGGAAATCCTGTAGCAATGAAACTCGAGCACGATGTGCAATATTATTGGTATGAATTGATGAGTACGTATCTGCAAATGTATCGAGTAAATTGCTCGACTCGATAGCCATAAATCGACATTACGTACTTGACTTCTTTGATTATTTTTCTCAAACTTTTTCCACCGTGCAGGTAATTACGGAGCACTCTGCAGTGTGTTCTTAGGCCTGAGCATCATGAGTGGAATACAAATGATCTACAAATTCTCCCGAAATCTCCTCGGCAGGCATAAAAAAATCGAAGGAGTTTCAACGACAGTCAAGCCAGCGAACGAAAAATTGATCTCCGTCATTTCGGAAAAAAATCCTCAAATCTACTGGCAGGAAATTGACACAGGGAACGGCAGCCTTCCCTCGACAGATCTAAATTATCATTTCAGGCATAAGTTATCACGTAGATAGTACTAAGCATTGATGCGTCATAATGTCTTGAACGTTGAATTTCATTGACTTATTCCACTGAAATCAAATTCAAAATCTGTTTCCGGAAAATTCAGCCAAATTTTTTCAACAGTTTACTCTCATTTACGTTCTCATTCCTGATCTCCAATCATATTGCCTCAATTCTAAAATGAATACGTATTTATGACTGTAGTGCAGAGTGAATTCGGTAACGCTGAAGTAAAAAATAACACGACGGCAAATCCCTTGGGAGGTGACCTAACTAGGATGAATGAATAAAGTAATGATTCCAAATATACTTGTGTATTTATTCGTCCCGGAATATGCTACATCATTTCACGAAAAGCATTTGTTCCAAATCCGAACGAAATAAACTCATTCCATCCTACAATTCCGCCACTGAACTTATTTCTCTAAGAAAATTGGTAATCATCGCAAGGATGAAGGAAAAATGTAACTTTCTGCGGATCACATGTGAACGCGTACTATCCACTGTTCTAGGGAAACATCCAATCGAAAGGTAACGTTTTCGTATTTCTCAAAACAACTGTTCATTGATTATTGATGGAATTTTAGGGCATTGTGGATTACAGTTCACGTCGTCGCACTTGCGGCATTCGCATTTATGATTCTCGACACTACAGAGCATTACAAAAATACTCCAACGGCGACGCATATGGCAACGGACATGTTTCCGATAAGTGAAATTAATTTTCCAGCTGTGAGCGTTTGTAATATGAATCTCATTAGTAAAAGAAAGGCGACGACATTTGTAGAAGGATTGTAAGTCAACAGCGACGAAATGTGATATGATTTCATCTCAAAATCAAGTTATTTCACGAGGACATTTCAAGCGACTTTCTTTAATGCAGACGAAATTTCCTACGGAAAAGTCTCTTGATATTTTCTCCTGAAATCATTCATCGTGAAGATAAATTTCTAGTCAATAATTATTCAATTGAGGGAATAAAAAAATTGACCCAATCGGCCTTTAGGAACCCATAGAAGAAGCTAATATATTTTCACATTTAGATTGCATAAGGAAAGGATTAAATCAATGAACTTAACAAAAACCAGACTCTTGGAGTTGGTTAAATACGTTGGACACCTGTACACATTTTCGATTCAGGAGGAGCGTCCAGGCGACATAGATCTCTTTCAGAAAATTCTGGAGAGCGCCTACGATGACAATAAACCCAGGCTTTCCATACTAGCAAAGTCAGTTGGTGTACAGTGTGAACAATATATCGTGCGCTGCCAGTGGGCAGGGATTGTGCGAATGTGCTCTGACATTCTGGAATCTAGGTTCACCTCAGATGGCCACTGTTGTGCTTTCAATTATGCTAGATGGAGGGATCATTTTTCAAGGTAAATACTTTTTGTACACGTATAAAATCTTCAAGAGCAGAATTCAATGGAAAAAAATCAAGACTTCCCTTTCAATATAGTTAAAGAATGAAATATCTACCCAGATAAATTTTAGTGGTTTCAATCTCAATTGAATAATTCGTGTAGAAAGATAGAAATTTATTGATTTCCTTTTGTTTTACTATTTCTCTACTAATACGTGTTCTTTGGATCTTCAAGTATTCAGGACGATAATTTCGTTGCACCCGTCCTGAAATCAGAAATACAGGGCTCAGATTTTGGACTCTGGCTGATGCTCGATGCAAACGCTGAAGATTATTTTTATCAACTGCTTCCCATGGTCGGATTCAAGGTGCAATGACTTCAAAAAAATTCAATTTTATCGATTTTTAAAATTTTTTCTATCATCTCAGGTAATGATCTACCATGCCACTGATTTTCCTGATCCACCCAGCGGTAGCACGAGGGAGGTGTTAGTGATGACTGGCAGGGAAACATTACTCAATATCGGAGCGCGCGTTTTCGATACTACAGAGGTGTGAATTCACTGATAAACTTTGCAGTTGAAATGAGTGTAATTTGGTATTTCACGCTCACTAGTCCAGCAGCAAAATAGGATTTTTTTGAGTAGGAAAAAAAATAAAAATAAAATAAATAAATATTGATTTATAGGGTCATTTCACTCATTTATAGGGAGACATTCTAATTTTTCGGAATATTTCACTAAATATTAGAGAGTTGTGTTTGTGAAATTGGAACGAATACGATTCCTTTGGATATTTCAGAAAATCATTTTTTATGTGTCAAGCTAGAACAGATATCTTCATAGAAACTTTACAATTTCTCTTGAATACAGAGATTCATGGGAAAAAATCCCATTTTAACTTACTTGAATTGTTCGCTCCAGGATGTTAAGAACATCGACGCATCTCATCGCAATTGCCGCTTCAAATCCGAATTAAATGAGAAATTCAGTGGGCAGTATTCGTTCAGCGATTGCATCATAGATTGCCGAGTCCGTGACATCATAGATAAATGCGGGTGCATTCCGTTTTTCTACCCTCGTCCCAATGGCCACGGTAAATAATCAATTTCAACTCTCGCGATTTCGCTGGACATTGCTATTGAAATGTTCAATAGAAAAAATTTTACAGAAAAAGTCACAACAATTCGATTTTTCCATACAACTTATTTTATTGAGATATTTTCTACAGAATTTTCTCGATTCAAAATTTCCAAGTTTTTTTTGTTTGATTTTCTTAATGAGGAGGAAACAAAAATAGAATTAAAAAACTTGGAAAATTCGAAGCGAGGAAATTCTATAGAAAATATCTGAGAATTCTATTGACTTTTTCTATTGAATATTTTCTATTAAACATTTCAATAGAATCGGCAAAAAAGTAATGGAAAGTTCAATAGAAATTCAGTAGAATTTTCTAACGAATTCGCCAGATTTTTGTATTAAATTTTTTCGTGCGTGTGAAATTGTAAAAAAAATATTTTCCGCGTGTTGAATTTCAGATGGCGTTTTAGCGTGCGATCATTCGAATCTCAAATGTCTGAACAAATATCAAAGTATGAGTTCCTTTGCTGTCCAATAATCGGCGATTATTCAGGTACTGAATGTGTAACTTGATCATTGCAGCTAGATGGTGGGGAATGGCTCCAATATTCGACAAAGGTGAGTCCTATCCTACGGGAGCATTCTCGGAAATTCCAGAGGGTCATATGACCTGTCCGTGCTATCCCGCTTGTAATAACATCGATTACACTGTTTCCGTGAGCTACGGAAAAATGAGGGATAAATTTATTGTTTGGGACACGTAATTATCCAAGTCATTCTCAATATAATTACTCCTGTTCATCAACTCCGGTCCATTAACATGACCTTGTCTTTACATTCAGAGCTGTACAGGCATTGAACAGAACCACTGACCACGCCGTCCTGAACGTCTACTTTGGTGATTCTGTGGCGATGAAACTGGAGCACGATGTGCAATATTATTGGTATGAATTGATGAGTAAGTATCTACGAATGTACACACACAAAAATCTAAACGTAAATGACGATCTTAATGAACGTATTCGACGATTTTCATACGCGTAATTTGCTAAAAAAAACATCGTGTTTTGCGCTTGAAGTACGTTTTTTCCACATTAGGTGATGATTCATTTCAAATAAATTTTTGTCGATTTCTTTTCACAATGAGTCATCTCGACATATTTTGAAATTAGCGGATAGGAAAATTAGGTAGTCAGAGACTTTTTTTTGTGAAGAAAATTGTAGCTATAAACTTATAAAATTATTTTCAGAAATAAAATTGGGTATAGGTTGTTGACCTATAGTTGTTAGAATTCAATAACTGGTTATCAATTCAGTTTTTCAACAACTACTTGATGAATTTCAACCCCAAACTATTTGCTGAAATTCACCAAATAATTTTCTCCGTGTGCATTACCGATCATTTCATCCAGGTGATTACGGAGCGCTCTGCAGTGTATTCCTAGGCGTGAGCCTCACGAGTTTAATAGAAGTGATCTATAAATTATCCGGACGTCTCTTCGCCAGGCGTAAAAAAATCAAAGGAGCATCAGCCAAAGTCGCACCAATGGACGAAAGACTCATCGCCATCGTTTTGGAAAAAGATCCTCAAATCTACTGGCAGGAGATTAACTCCGGGAATCCCAGCCTCCACCCTGTAAATCTAAATTCTCACTCCAAACATAATTTATCGCGCAGGTAATACTTCACCGTGATGCGCCAAAATATCATGAACGTAATTGATTCGACAATCTCGTGATAACAATATTATCGGAGAGTGTAAATAGGCTTGTGTTTGTTATCTTCGGTCGCTGTTGATTGCTGACTGCTGTGGTACCATTATCAATTTAAGAGATCGCAAAGGGGAATCTTTAAAGACTTCAATTGATGAAAATAGCTGTCGAGCAACTCTTGATATATCATAGGGTACCCGAGAAAGCAAGAAATTTCAATCTTTTGTTTTTTTAAAGTTCGTTCAATTCCGTAGAATAAAACTGGGTATTTTCTTCGATTATCGCAATTAGATCATAAATTTTTTTCGGTTCGATCATTTTCTATGACATGCATTGACAATTCTACTAGTTTCTGACCGATTCTATTGATGAATTTTGTAACTGTATTGTGCTGTTTTTATTTTTTTCTCTTTTCATTAAACAATCAAACAAAAACATTAGAAAATTTTATCTGAGAAATTTTTATGGAAAATATTTCAATAAAATAAGTCGTAGAGATGAATCAAATTGTGTAGATTTCCTCTGAAGAATAGTTTCCATTGAACATTTCTATTGAAAAAACTAATAGAAACTGCAATAAAAATCCAATAGAATTTTCCAGCAAATTTTCTGGGTTTTTCAATGAAATTTTGTCGTATCCGCAATCATGTTTCCTCAACCTTCCTCCGCAAACTTCATTTAATAGATAACACAAAACACTTATTCACGGCCATGCGAAAGTCCTATGAACCCAAAGTCAATATTCGCTCTCCTACGAATCGAGAGGAAAAAAACCTCAACAGATCTCTATACCTCTGGTACTGGTTTAATTTACACTGTTTTATTTCATTTTATTTTCTTTCCATTTCCGTCTTCCCAATGACATTAATTTAATTTTACCCTTTCTTATTCTTATTATATTTGTTTTCCTTAATTCACAAGCTACAATATTGAATGAAGAGAAATTATGTTAAAGATAAATAAAAAATATTTTTTTGTGATTAAAACGAACACAAAACGAAAGTCATTCTAAATTTCATTCGCGTAATCGAAATATGTGTCTATATATGCCTGAAAATTTTAAAAACCTATTCCAATCATTATTCTGCACAGGAAATGAAAAAAAAATCAGAAAGGGATAATCGGCTAGAAAATGGATTTTTCTTCTTTTATGGCGGAGGGAACTTCGAATTACTTTTCTTCTTCAAGCATTAATTTTTCAAAAAAATTAATTTTTCAATGTCTCCGGAAAGTTTCAAAATCGATATTTTTTGCGAATAATGAAAGAATACCCATCAATTTAATTCCTTTTCTTGTCTTTTGATAGAATGAATAGAATTACATAAATGGCAATGAATTGCAAAAATCACAAATTGGAGACTGATAATTTTTTTAACAAGACGATCAGCTAGAAAATGGAAAAAACTTGTTTTTCCTCATTTCAAAAATATATTTTGAGTGTCTCCTTAAAGTTTTAAAATCGATATGTTTTCACGAATAATGAGAGAATCCCCATGAATTCTTCTATCAGTGTCTTTTGATAGAATGAATAAAATAAACGACAAAAATTAAGAATTGGAGACTAAAAATAGTGTCGGATTATTATCATGCAGTTACGCCTGTTCCATAACAATTCATCACACGCGTATTCTCATCCTGACTAGACGCCATCGTTACAGACCACTCTCTCAAAACGCGCGGAGAACCGATCACGTATCCCCACCTCGATTCAAAGGAAGTCGTTCATCCAAGGCTGGTGCCTAGTTCACCAGACAACGGCACGTAACATTCGGCCAGTAAAGAGACCGTCTCTGTTGCAGCCGTGTCAGTGTCCGCAAAAATGTCAGAAACACATCTGCAAGACTTGCAATCAATTCTCCGCTCGCAGTTGGGCGATAATACAATTGTCGAGAGCTACATCACCAAAGATTTGCTCCCCCCGGGTGAAAATTACGGGAGTAAACTCGTGAGTGTGCACGCGGTAATAAAACGAAGCAAAAATGAAAAGCCGGAGGATTTGTATTTAGTAGCAAAACTGCCTCCACTCACTGAATTCCAACGAGACATGTTCGACAGTCCTTTCACATTTCGCAAGGAGATCTTCATGTACGCGGAGATCCTACCATTCTACCGCAAACTCGAGATAAACAGTGGAGTGATTGAGCAGGAGGCCCTCGACATAAGTCCAAAGTACTACGGTTCAAGGCTGTCAATGAATCCTGACATTGACTTTGACGATGACGCAGCAATTCTCCTGGAGAACTTGAAGGCGAAAGGGTTCTACTGCACAGAACGTCGACTTGGGTGTGACCTGGCTCACGCGAAATTGGCGGTGAGAGCAATAGCGAGGTTCCACGCCCTCGGGATGGCGACCAAGGAGAAGGATCCAGACTTCTTCGAGACCCTGAAGGCCCGGTCCAAGTGTCTAGAGATGAAGAATCCGGATCAATGGGAGAAATTTCTCGGGCAGAGGATCAAGAACATCGAGGACGATCCGGAGATTGCGAAATACCTTGAATCTTGTGTCAAGACTGTTCGAGCGACTGATCAGAGCGCTTGGACTACTCCTCCTGATGAACCCTGGTCGACAATCATTCATTCGGATTTTTGGGCGAACAACATACTGTTTCATAAGAGTGCGGCCGGCGAGCCGGATGACGTCAAGTTCATTGATTATCAGAACTACCTGTTCCTCAGTCCTGCCAGGGAGTTGGCATTCTTCATCGGGTCGGGGCTGAATCATGAAACTGCTGGGAGTATCGATGAGCTCCTTGATCTTTATTATGATACGTTGATCGAGAGGTTGAAGATACTTGATTGTGATGTTGAACCTTACTCGCGGGAGTCTTTTGATGAGGTTCTGAAGGTAGACAGTCGTGTGGAGTTCACCCACTGCTTGTTTATGGTGAAGATTCTCACGATGGATGTCAATGCTGATGATCCGGATGTTCATGATGTGAAGGATTTGCTTGAGAGGGGGGATTGCGGAGAAGCGTATCGAAGCAGACTGAGGGATTTTGTGAATTCTTTTCATGAGAGGGGGTGGCTACTACAGTGATGTTAGTTCGTAGTTTATGTATTGAACAATGGTGCTTAGAAAATACGAAAATAAATATTCTTTATCTGAGTTACTTTTATGATATTCCTTCGATTTGTCATTTAATCATTGTTTTAATAATTGGATTGATGCTCCTGAAGAATTCTGGTCGACCATCATTCATTCGGATTTTTGGGCGAACAACATATTGTTTCATCATAATGCGCGTTGCTCGGTGGCTTGGCGCAGTAGGTAAATCCGTTGCCTCACATGTGAAAGGTTCCGAGTTCAAATCCCGGCCGGGTAGAATGGTGCGATCTAACCATTCAAAGTCTTGATCGTCATCGTAGTATACCCTAACCGGGTCGAAGCGATGTAAAATAACGATAGAAAAAAATAATAATAATAATGCGCATATTGTTTCATGAAACTGCTGGGAATATCGATGAGCTTCTTGGTCGTTACTATGATACGGTGATCGAGAGGTTGAGGATACTTGATTGTGACATTGAACCGTACTCGCGGGAGCCTTTTGATGAGATTGTTAAAGTAAACAGTCGTGTGGAGGTCGATAGTCGTGGTTATCTATTCTTTTGGTTTCGTTTTTCCTTCATTTTCTTTCTGTGTTCTATAATCAAAAGATCAAAACACATATCACATGTCAATACCAGGCTGAAGGCCCTCGCGCGATCGTCAGTCACAAGCTTCTTGTGACAAATTCCCTTAAAAAATGGAAAATACCAGGTTGAAGGGTAAATTTTCGAGTTTCGTGGTTATCGTCCTACCTTCAATTTATCATATTTAAAATTACTATGTACCCACACTAAAAAATAATTTGGCATTCTTTTCGCATATGCAATTTGAAATGCCTTGTTCACCAAAACGGGAGATTCAAATTGAACCGAGACCGTAGAGGTACCATAATTTTCCCAGTTATTAAGTGGCATTCAAAGATAAAGACCTAAATGAAAACATAAAACATGTATATTAGTCAGAGCAACCTCAACATAGTTCCATCCAGTGTATGCAGTGGACACGACCAGTAAAGCCGCTGCGTCGAGCCAAGGTCGGCACACCCACTAAAGAAACTATCATCTACATTATCCAATATTATCCCATCAGTGGCGCGCGCACTCTCACACCAGCAACATCACTTCGCTTCAAGAATGCCGGAAACTCTGAAAGACCTGCAATCACTCCTCCAATCATCTCTCAGAGATAATTGCACGATCGAAAATCACGTAATACAGGATTTGCTTCCGCCTGGTGAGAATTATGGGAGTAAAATAGTGAGTCTCGACGTAATAATAAAAAATCATGACCAAGGAACAACTGAGGATTTACATTTAGTCGGCAAATTGCTGCCGACGAATCAACAACAGCGGGCAATGGTCGACTTCTCCGTGACATTCAAGAAAGAGATTTTCACGTACACAAAATTGCTGCCATTATACCGCAAATTGGAGATTGAAAACGGTGTGAAGGAGGAAGAAGTCACGAACTTGACGCCTAAATGCTAAGGATCACGATTGGGCCTGGGTCCCAACGATGATTTCGACGATGACGCTGTGATTCTCCTCGAAAATCTGAAGCCAAAGGGCTATTAGTGCGTAGAAAGAAGAACCGGGTGTGACTTGCCGCGCGCGAAATTGGCGGTGAAGACGTTGGCAAGATTTCACGCCCTCGGGATGGCGACCAAGGAAAAGAACCCAGAGTTCTTCGAGGACCTGAAGATCCGAGGCAAGTGCATTGATTTCGGAAATCCGGAGCAGTTGCAGGGAATGATTATGCAGCATTTCAAAGAAATCGGTGATGATCCTGAGCTGAAGGAGTTTTACGAGACCTGCGTGGGCCTGATGTCCACGAATGTATTCGAGATCTGGCTGACGCCGCCTAGTGAGCCCTGGTCTACAATCGTCCACTCGGACTTCTGGACCAACAATATCATGTTTCACGACAACAGTGATGGCGAGCCGGATGACGTCAAGTTCATTGATTTCCAGAATTTCATGTTCACCGGTCTTGCGAAGGAGATTGTATTCTTCGTCAGCTGTGGACTGAACCACGAGACCGTTGATCATGTTGATGAACTCATTGATTTGTACTACGACACTCTCATCGAGCGGTTGAAGTTACTGAACTGCAATGTAGAGCCGTACTCTCGAGAAAGTTTTGATGAAAAGATCCGAGAGAAGGCAGGCCCTGAATTCATCCATGGTATGGGCCAATTGAAGATCAGTACTTTAGATGGTGCTGAGATTGCAGCCTCTGATAATGTAATCAATGTGCTGCAGAACAGTGGCAGTAACGAGATGTATCGAGGGAGATTGAGGGATATAATTCAGATGTATTGTAGAAAGGGCTGGTTAAAGGCGGGTGAACAGAATCAATAGAAAATGTAATTGTTTTTTACCTATTTGTGCTGAAAATTGTGAGATTTGTCGGGTTATCTTGTTGTGATTCTTTATACAAGGGCCATTCCGTCAAACATCGTACGAGATCTGCACTGAGAAAAATTTCAATGGTAATTTACAACTACAAGGGAATTGTCAACGAAATTATATTTACAGTAACAATAAATTTTTTAGATTAAACTAGGTTTCATCGTTCGATTTTTTATGACAAACCGTGTCATCATTCATCAACATTATGATGTAATTTTCACTTGTAATATTGCAATGTAATAGTTGAATCTACAATGTTTATTGTTACCGTAACTATTATTTTTTTGACAATTCCCTTGTAGTTGAAATTACCACTGAAATTGCTCTCAGTGTGGCCCCAATATTTTCGATAATTTTTTTTTCGGTTCTTGTCAATATTTATGTATAGAAAAGAGGATTTCTCGCCTAGCGGAGATCGCGTGGTTTCATTCAGTGCGCTTTGCGTGATTGAGCGGTTTCGACTCGAAATTCTTCGCTCTTATTTAACGTGTTAAAAAATGCTTTAAAAAATTATAAACAGGTTTTGATAATATTTTACGTAAATTTTACTGTGCGAAAGGTAATCGTGGAGCGAAAAAAGTTGGACATGAATTACCAAATTTGTTCTTTCTGATTTCTTGGTTCTTTTTTCTTACAAAACCCAATAAAAATACAATGAAAACACTTGAAAATTTACTCTAACAATATTTTGAATAAAATTTCCTTGATTTAGCGCCCTATTTTCTTCCATTCTTTCTATAGGTTTTAATACGTCACTGCCAGGTATTAGCAGTAAGTCAGTTCATTTCTCATTAACAATTAATCAATAAATGTCATAAGCATATGCTACCTCAAATGATATCAATGTTTTATCTGTATGAGAAAAAAATATACATGTTCAAAAAAAGATGTTGATATAATAGAAGGCGAGAAGAATAATCCTTTTTCAATGGGTCACTTGATGCTACTGTACATAATAAATCATCCATCACTCCATTCAGTCAACAAGTTAGCAGGAAATGCGACGTTAGTTGAGAGACCCGCCCCACCTACGTTCATCTTATCACGTCATAATTCGTTCTTGAACTAAAATAGAAACGGGAATCCCACTGATCTGCAATTGAAAAGCGAGAGAATGATCCATATTTTCGAGAATTACATAAAATTCGAGAATTATATAAAAATTGAATGAGAATTTTTTACTATTTTTCTAGCATATTTTTTGTATTGACCAAGTTTTTTCAACTAAACTTTTTTAAACATGGACCCTTTCAACTACAAAAACGCGTGATAAAGCTGCGGAAGTCATCACCAGCCTCGTCTCAAAACTAACAGAATTTTCAGCAAGAGTTCAACAGAAAGCCAATAAAGTATTCGCCAGAATCAGTTGATTTTTTTCACGAAAATTTTTTCGCACGTTGCATTGCACTAGTTACCCAATGCAAAAATTTCCTGAAAAGGAAACATGCGCTCAGAGCATTTCATTGAATCATTGTACATCATCAAGAATCTTCTCAACACAATATGTCATGAATGCCACGTTCACACGTCAATAAGTCACAATCAATCTAATGGAGGGCCTTGGAATATTTTTCCTCCACTCATGTATGCCTCACTAGTAACGAAAAATGTATGTGCAATCTGCCAACTTTGTCCGTGTGCACACATCACCTAAACACGTGTATCATTGCTATCATAAGAGTCCGAGCGATAGAGCTTCCGCGTACCACACAGCCCAGTTGCCTCAAAGACTACCTTAGTGCTCCGTCAGTTCACCAGAGAAGCAGCGTCTCTCCAAAAAAATGACATCGCTATCTCTCCAAGACATTCAATCACTCCTGCGATCAACGCTGGGCGACGAATTGACAGTTGAAAGTTACATAACAGAGGATTTACTTCCACCCGGTGAAAATTACGGGAGCATAATGTCAAGTGTGCACGTGATAATTAAAAATCATAAACAAGGAAAAAGTGAGGAGTTGCAGTTAGTGGCGAAATCACCTCCCCCAGTCGAGATGCAACGAGAGATTACCGACTGTTCGATTATATTTCGAAAAGAGATTTTCATGTATTCAAAGCTGATTCCATTCTATCAGAATTTGGAGATTGCGAGTGGTGTGAGGAAGGAGGACGTCTTCAAAGTGAGTCCGATGTGCTATGGCTCAAAATTATCGGTCCACTCTGGCGACTCAGATGATTATGATGCAGTGATTTTGCTTGAAAATTTGAAGCCAAGTGGGTACTACTGCGTGGACAGAAGATTCGGGTGTGATCTGGCCCACGCTAGACTTGCGGTGCGAACTATGGCACGATTCCATGCTCTTGGGATGGCAGCCAAGGAGAAGGATCCTGATTTCTTCGAGGTTGTGAAGGCCGAGGCTAAGGCGATTGATATAGTGAATCCGGAGATGTGGGAGGCACTATTTCAACAGAGGATTAAGGACATCACTGATGATCCCGAGTTGGAAGAGTATCACGAGGCCTGTCGTCAAGCTTTGAGCCAGAAAATGTTCGAAAGCTGGAAGGCAGTGCCTTCTGAGCCATGGTCGACCATAGTTCACGCGGACTTCTGGACGAACAACATGATGTTTCGGGATAACAGCGAGGGAGAGCCGGAGGACATGAAGCTAGTAGACTTCCAAACTTATCTCTTCGCCAGTCCCATGAGGGAGCTCACTTTCTTCGTTACTGGGGGGCTGGAGCTAGATGCCATTGATCACATTGATGAACTCATTGATTTGTACTACGATACTCTGATCGGACGACTGAAACTGCTGAGCTGCAATGTTGAGCCATACAGCCGGAGGTCCTTTGAGGAGAAGGTCCGGGAGGACGCTTATGTGGAGATCGTGCACAACGTGGCCATGATCAAAATCGTGACGCAGGACATTCATGAGAAGGGTGCAGAGGCTCCTGATCTGATAAATTTGCTGCAGTCTCACGATAATAATGAGATTTATGAGAGGAGGCTGAGGAAGTTGGTGCGGACGTACGGTGAGAAAGGCTGGCTAAAGAAATAATATTCGCGGTGGTCCTTCGTTGTTCCTAATAGGTGTCAATTTGTACTGCCATTCGTCGGATGTAAGCTGGCTTATGCTTTAAGCTAAGATCATTATTGTTATTGTGATTAATAGTAATAATGTATGTAATGTTATTGTTATTTATCAAAAATGTGTCTCAAGAAGTATATTTCTTCGTGTGAACATTGAAAGAAAAATGTATTAATGCCAACAAAGTTTGTTTGAGGTGAGAATTTGAGTGGAGAGCTTCGGTGGAAAATTCAATCAATAAGAATCAAATCATTTTCGTATCTGAGATCCATGGAAATTATAGAAAATTGTGAAAACTCAGGCGGCTATTATTCTGTATTTAAAACTGAATTTTGTCGAATTATAAAGATGAATAGAAAATTTTAAAAAACTTCTAATCCAGTAGAACAATTGGAAAGTAATCAGTGTTAAAATTTTCTATTTTTCACGAAATATAATGAAGTTCGATTCAAAAATAATATTGATGGACCAACAAATATACGCTTGACCTTGATGTATTTAAGCCTGTACGGGTACACTGGATTTACTTACAACCCCAGGGCATTTTCTACTACAAAGATTTTTGGAAAGACATTTTTTTCAAATTTTCCCCATTTCTCTAAGTGATGCAATAAATTTTTCGCTTTGGTCAGTTGCAGTGAATTTGATTGAATATCATTCGGACATATGATATTTCGATATTTCTGTTTTTAATTAAAATAGATTTATTAAAATAGAATTTCGTTTTTAATCACATCCAGAAATGTTTTATAGCCTGAACAAATGTTTCACCTTTGTTTGGATCATAAATGATCCAAACAAAGACCTCATTTTTAAAAAACGGAATCATTGTTTAAATCCGGCGAGAACAAATTCAGAACATCTTCAGCGAAATAAATACGCAAGTTTATTCATTAATATTTCTTCACTCAAAACATTATTGAAATGAGTAGAAGAATTTCGAAGAAATAGTTTTGTACGTTCCGGAAGCGTCCCGTCACGTAAAATGTTAAATGCTACCTTATCGAGCGCGTTATTGAGCCGCTGTCTGCAACTACATATTATATCTGCACGATCCACCTCATTCAATATACTCCCGATGTAATGATACCTCCCACCACATAAATCTAGTAGACTCGTCCGGCCACACTGGGATCAATTCCCAAACCATGATACTGTCTCAGTACCCTCAGTATCTCCAATAAAGCAACATCGTCCCCCAAAATGGCGAATTCAACACTAAAAGACTTACAATCAGTCCTGCAATCAACTCTGGGAGACAATCTAATAGTCGAAAACTACGAAATGCAGGATCTACTTCCACCCGGTGAAAACTACGCAAGTAGAATTGTGAGTCTCCACGTCTCAATCAAAAACAAAAACCAAGAAAATGAAGATTTGCATCTAGTGGGAAAATTACCGCCCCCTACTAAAGAGCAGCGAGAAACATTCGACACCCCAAGCACATTTCGAAAAGAGATCTTCATGTATTCTAAACTTCTCCCCTTCTACCGGAAATTGGAGACGGAAAATGGCGTAGAGGGCCGCGAAATTGCGCCAAAGTACTACGGATCGAGATTGGGAGTGAATTCCGATGATGATTTCAATGATGACGCGGTAATTCTCATCGAAAATCTGAAGCCAAAGGGGTATTATTGCGCAGACAGAAGGTACGGCTGTGATTTGGCCCATGCGAAATTGACGGTGAAGATGATGGCGCGGTTACATGCTCTTGGCATTGCGACGAAGGAGAAAGATCCCGCGTTCTTCGAGACTCTCAAGGTTTGTAAATTCTTGATCATTTCAATTTTACACTGAAGAAAAATTATCTTTAGCAAGAAACCATTTTCTTAGGAGAAAATTTCATTTTTTTAGAGGCGTATTTCTCCAGCTTAACTTCATCTCCAAATATTATAATTATGTTGCATTATGGGAGCATTATGCTACATATGACTTTGAATGAACTCCATTGGCAATTATCAACAGAATTAGAATTATTCAAAATCATTTTACGTAACGAAATCTCAAATTTGAAAAAATTGGAAAATGGTGAAGGGAAATTGGAAAACCATTCAAGGTCATATATAGCATAATCATCTCGTAGCTCAACATAATTGTAATATTTGGAGATGGCCATGGACCACTTGGGAATGACTGGCCTCGAGAAATCCGTTGCTAAAAAATAGTCTTCTCCCAAGAAAATGATTCTTTGCCAAAAATAATTTGACTTGTCACAAAGATGAGTATAATTAGTTTATGACAAGAAAGTGATTAATCAAAGCTAGGCTAGTTGAATCAATTTATTCAGTAATTTTTGCGTCTAAAATTCGGGATATTTCAATACAAAAACCACCTGACTTGATTCGAGAAGTGGTTTTCTTATTGTGAACAAATCGCCCCTCATCTTTCAGACAAGTACAAAAGCTCTGGAGCAAAGGTTTCTTTTCTCAGTGCGAGATATGTTCGGCTTGTCAACTTTCGAGCCATGAGTTTCTTGATACAACCAAAAACGTACTCAAAAACATTTTTTTTCGCAGTGTGCGAAGTTATAAAAAGTAGTTACATTATATGAGCTGAAACTAGCAAAAGATTCGACAGTAGAAGATTTCTCTTAGGTGAATCTAGGGGTGTACAAATCAGTAGCGAAGTGGTAAAAGGAGATAAGTCAATTTTGACTATTGACCAGTTTTCATTCAATATCTCGGAATGTAAGGGAGAATGCGAAATTTTTGTTATAACTTTTTTTGTGAAGCCGATTGAGTGCTACAACAAGTGTAATTACAAAAATTTCGCTATCTCCCTTAGATTCCGAGATATTGATTAAAAACTGGTCAATGGTCAAAATTGACTCATCTCTTTTCACCACTTCGCTACTGAAATGTTTTTAAGTAATGTACAAACTCTTTGGCACTTGAAAAACATTTGTACATATGATTATTACACTCTCCTCCACTCAAATACCCCCCAAATTGAATTTTCCGCTGGCGAATCTTCTGCTAGTTTCAGCTTCATTAACATTGTAGGTTCAGTCTAAATGCGTGGAGTTAGCGAATCCAGACGAATGGGTCCCCATCATAGCCGAGAGGATTCAGGACATAGCGAGGGATCCCGAGATAAAAGAGTACTTCGAGGCTTGCGTGGAAACTCTGCAGAAGGGTAAATACGAGACGTGGCTGGCGACTCCGGATGAGCCCTGGTCGACCATAATCCACGCTGACTTCTGGGCCAACAACATCATGTACCGAAGGGGAAGTGATGGCGAAGTGGATGACGTCAAACTCATTGATTTCCAGAATTATCTCCATCTCAGTCCTCTGAGGGAGTTGACTTTATTCGTGACTTGCGGACTGCGTCGTGATGCGCTTGGTCACATCGATGAGTTGATTGATCTGTATTATGAGACTGTCATCGATCGGCTGATGGCTTTGCACTGTGATGTCGAACCTTACTCTCGGGAGACCTTCGATGAGAGAATTCAGGAGGATGCGCCGATAGAGTTCTCGCATTGCTTGAGTATGGTGAAAATCATCACTTTGGATGTTGAGGCTGGACATCCGGATTGCCGTAACGTCAAGAAGTTGATGCAGCACGGGGAGAGCAACGAGGCTTACCGGAGGAAGTTGAGGGATTTGGTTGTGACTTACAGTAGGAGAGGATGGTTGGGGAAGTAGTTTACGACGTGGGTGAAGTCATTTTACGTCCGCGGCGAGAGAAATATCGACATAAAATCACAAAACTAATTTCCTGCATTAAATATCCCATCTCAAGGATAAAACGCTTGGGATAAGACGTCCGCATAATGAGTCAGAGCGTGTAAGAATCCTGTGAAATATTCATCAGCTGAACACGAACACTTGACGATAAAGTGAGAGTTTCTTGTCTCAAGAAATCGGTTATTTTGGGGCAAAAGATGAGAAAATTAATGAAAATACTAAAAACTCAGTGAATCATGGATTGGAGACTTTCATATTGAATGAATACGGAATTTATACGAGCGAAAACCTTCAGATATTTCAAAATATAACCGTCACGTGCTCTCAATCGCAATGAGATTAGTAATTTGTAAGTAATTTCCAGAAAAAAAAGATTTTTTCAATCAGTATCATACTCTTTTGCCCCGAAGAGCACCGATTTTTTGACTGAAACCTACTATGAATTGATCGAATACGTCTGCGATGTTCTGCAAGACGCAAGAAATTTTTTTGGTCATATTATGTTGATTTTTCTAGCAGTGTGCAAACACTCAATGCTCGCGGGAAAAAATCAACTGCACTGTTAGGACAAAATTAAAATTCCATGGACACTTGACTAGTAATTTTCAAGAGTGGGACATTAAAGGCCATTTGAAGAGAAAACAAGGGGGGCGATTGCTTTCGCCACAACGTAGTCAATATATTTTCGGTAATAAATAGGCAATTTGCTTCCGAATGGAATTTCTATGACGACGTATTTTAAATTGGATCCAATTAAAAACTAAAAATATTTTTCACAGTTGTAAAAATTGTTGAATGTCAATCTTAATGTAAATTTGTTATTTTTTCAAAAAAGAATAAACTCAAATTTCGAAAATACCATTGACGCAGTTATTTATATCACCAAAAATGATGATAATGTCTGATTTTTTAATGTGTGGATGGCTCAATACAATTGTCTGGAATTGATCGAAGATGTCAAGGACATCTCACCACGGAATTCGATGCTAGTTCAGAGTAACGAGATCACTTTCACCTCTGGTTAAACATTCTAGTACCGTGAACAATTTTTTTTCTAATATTTCATCAAGTAATCTCTCTATAGAATAAAAAAAATAAGGAGATTAAAAAATTTTGGAGAAGCCCCTTTTTCTGACCCTTATCAAAACAAAACAAAATTAAAGAAAATATAGCGGAAAAAATTTGGAAAATCCGTGTCCAATAATTTTGATAGAAAAGTCTAAAGAGAAAAACTCAAATAGAAAAATCGAAATCTATTGCCTTTTTTTTCCCCAAATATCTAATAGAATCTGTGCAAAAAACAAACAAGATTTATCGAGAATCCCCTTGAATTTTCTAGCGAATTCGCTACGGTTTTCTGTTGAATTTCTTATACGTTTGCCATTGAAAATGAATTATTATCTCTATCTCTCTAATACGTTCATATCTCCATAGGTTCATATGGGGTCATATGGGGATTATAGGGGGATCAAATTCTTACAAAAATAGAAAAATGAATGGAAAAATGCAATCTCAATTTTTCAAAGGCGATAAACAATTTTTTTTCTCTACAATACGAACATCTAAACATACCCGAGAAGATTGGGAGGCGAAGCCCCCTAGTAAATAAATAAAATATGAAAACGAAATGAAATGAAATTTCCGCGTGAATTTTTCCGAATCACGTTCAGGAAGAATATCCAGACATTTTCTAGTGATCTAATTAATCAACAATTGCCAGACAAGAGAATCCCCATTCTCTATTTTATCAACCCGCCCCGATAACACAAACTCGGCAACAGAATTCACAGTCAATTCTAATAAATTCAAAATATGAAATTGTTCGTCAAATACTCTGTCGAGTTGTGAACACCGCTGAATAAAAAAATTCACAGGACATGAGAAATTATATTTTCTCGTCAAAAACACCTGTCATATACTAATACATATCTTCCACTTCGCACCTGACACCAATCCTATCTCCCCACACAAGTTCCTCAGGGCAATTGCACTTCTCCCTGGATTACCGTGGCATTAATTCCAGAGCAATTAATACATCGACTGTGATAAGAAATTTCTTCAGCAGTTGCTGTCAGATGACAGACTCGACTACATCATCAGATACCCGACATGGAGAAATTTTCTAATGGAGCACGTGTGAGTGCAATTCCCGCAACCATTGAGTAATCCCATCCCTGAATTAATCGGAATTAATTATTCTCAGAACGGTCACGCTAACGAGGGCTTTGATGCCGTCGAGAAGCTTCCGGACGATCTTGAAAACTTAGGCTGTCAGGGAGAGACTCCACCTGTGAGTCCAAACACACGTGATAAAGTTTGATAGACAAACCTAGTGAATTCGATAGAATTAGAATTCCATTAAATTTTCATTAAAGTTCTGTTGATAATTCCAGTAGTTTTTAGCCGATTTATAGCGCTTTTTTTGAAAGAGAAAAGGTTCGGCATAAAATCAGTAGAATTTCATCCTTCTATACAACTTTTTCTATTGAGGCATTTGCTATAGAAATTTTTCGCCATAAATTTTCCAAGTTCTATTCATTCTACTCTTCTTCTTTATTCATTGACAAAATTAAACAAAAAAATGTGTAAAAATTGAGCCCTGGAATTTCTATAGAAAATATTTTAATAGAATAAGTTGCATAGAAAAAATCTAGTTCTGCTGCCTTATCCTATAGAATATTTTCGATTGAACATTTCTGTTAAAAAAATGCGCAGATAAGCTTCGATTTTTTTGAATAAAATCGTCCAAAAATTAATAAAAAATTCAATCGAATTATCTAGCCAATTCGCTATGGTTTCTCTGATTTTTTTTCGCACGTGAACTCTCAGAATTAATTTTTCGAAATTATTAAAAAACGAGGAGATGCCTAAAATTAATTTTCCAGGTGATACAATCGGAGGAAAAACCAGAATGGAGTGGAAATCTGCAGTTCCTGATGGCCTGCATCGCGACATCGGTGGGTCTGGGTAACGTCTGGAGATTTCCCTACACAGCCTATGAGAATGGAGGTGGAGCCTTCCTGATTCCCTACATCATAATCTTAGTCCTTGTTGGGAAACCTTTCTACTATCTCGAGGCAGCCATCGGTCAATTTACCAGCAGATCCTGCACAGGATTGTGGAATATAACTCCAGCGATGAGAGGTGAAGGAGCAATGATCTTTCTCCTCTATCATTCTTCCCTTGCGGGGGAAAATTTATTTTTAAAATTGTTTGTGATATCTAGCAAACGATTTTTCAGGACTTTTTAACAGGACTTTAATGAAAAGGACAATAATTCTAGTCAAAACCACATTATTTTGAGCCCAAATTAAAGTAGTTTTGTGGAAATTCCACCTTAAATATTGGGATTTTTCCTAAAATAATAATATTTTCAGAATCATTTCTACTGAAAATTAAACCTGAAACCTAGTAATCGACCTTCCAGGAATTTTCATTAGATTTCTATGAAAAAAGTAGAACAATTTAGTAGGGAAGCGGTGGAACAATTTATTTTTGCAGGAATATCTCCGAATTTAAAGGAGATATCGACATTTTTATAATAACCTTTTTTGCAGCTCTTAATTTTCTCCACAGAAAACGTTACAACAAAAATTCTGCTATCTGCCTTAAATTCCGAGATATTCAATGAAAACTGAGCAACTGTCAAAGTCTAGTTGAACCGTTTTACCGCTCCGCTACTAAATTCTGGTGAAACTGGCAATATTTCGAATGAAAAGTTATTTTTGTAAAAAATTTACGAAATTCAAAATTCAGTTATTCATGATCTATTGCGAATGAAGTAAATGGATGCTTAACTTTATTCTTTGGCGTGTAACGAACATTCAATAGGAAATAATGAAATTTTTCCCCAGTGATTCCCACATTCCGTCGTATATCACAAACTGTTCAACAGTTCCCAAGGCCCGGTGAATACTTTTTAATTTCACCGACGTATCCCCTTAAATATTTTCGTGTGTATAATGCATCGAAATGGTCGTACAATGTTGTCACGTAGATAGCCTTCGTCATTTATCACCCAGGATTACTCCGGATTTACCGTCTTATAGTACTACGTATATCGCGGTAACAATGCTGATAATTTTTTTTGTCTTCTCAGGATTAGGATTCGGCCAGGCGTTCGTCGGAAGCTACGTAGTCAGTTACTACTGCTCATTGATGGCCCTCGCCCTTCTGTACCTAGTCGCGAGCTTTCAGAGCGAACTACCCTGGTCTTACTGCTGGGATGAGTGGACTGATCCCTGCGTATCTCAACATTCGAATTTGAGTGAGATACAGGCCTCCGGTCAGAAAGTTACCGGCTCTGCTGAATTATATTTTCGGTAAATATTTTATCACTCAGAGGAATAAAATACATAAATCCCATAGACAATGACAAAAATTTTGCAAGATTTAAATCCAATGCGATAAAAATTTCTTTAGAAGAAAAATTTATGGACTAATGCAGGACAGAAAGAAAGTGCTTCGAATTTTTCGTAAAAATTTGTAAATTTTAGAAATTTTCCGAACTGAAATTTAGAGAACGAAAAGTTCATAAATACAATATTTTCATTTATTTCAGGGCAATTTTCATCCTTAAAATTAGAACCGAAAAATTCTATATATAAAAATATTCTCGTTTTCTAACTGATGATTTTTCAAATTTCCGTTCTTTTCTATAGAATATTTTCTATCGAACATTTCAATGGAATTGTCTAGCGAATTTACTAGGTTTTTCTATTAAATTTTTTCATCCGTGTTCTTCTGAAATTAAGTAACTAGTGCCTTATTCTCAACACAAAGCTTTTTAGAATTCTAATTTTTTGTTTTGGAATCTATAATTTGATTCTGAAAACTACATAATTTTTTATCCGTGGAGATATTTTAAGAAGCTTACTTTTATAATTGCAATCATCAATCATAATTTTTCAGTTTCTTTGGAGGAATTGCTCTGGATAAAAAAACCAAATCAATGATTATAAAATGATTTATCGTTACATTTGTCCTACCCAACGCTTTCTAATCGATATTTCGTACATTTGTCCAAAATTCTTCAATATATTTCCCTAGAATGTTTTCATAGATGCTATACTTTTGTAAAAATCCCATCACATTGAATCCAAGCGCATTATTTTTTCGTCCCGTCAGGAGAGAAGTCTTGAAAGAAACTGATTCCATAGAATCTGGAATAGGCCTACCTTCCTGGAAGTTGACAATCTGCCTAGCTCTGACCTGGCTGTGTGTCTTCATCGTCCTCCACCGGGGGATCAAGGAGACCGGAAAGGCCGTGTACTTCTTCGCCATCTTCCCCTACATCATCATGCTGGCTTTACTGATCAGGGCAGTTACTCTGGAAGGTGCTGTCAATGGCATTCTATTCTTCATTACACCTAACTGGAATAAACTCTGGGATCCAAACGTCTGGTATGCAGCCATCACCCAGTGCTTCTTCTCCCTCTCCGTTTGCTTTGGACCAATCGTCACTTACTCATCTCATAATCGTTTCTTCCACCCCATGCATCGGTGAGTTATTACATTCTTCAACGTACGACGGAATTGAATAGAAATAGCTAGCGCTTTCACTAAGAAAGTGAATTTTATATTGAATTTTGAATATCCAGACGGAGAAAAAAATTAAGTAGATTCCGAATGATCATTTTGGACATCATTTTCTTCTATCGTATGTAATTTATCGTTTTGTTTTGTTCGAGTGAATGATATTTCTCGTTTAATCAATTGTGTTAGGTTTCAGGAAATTCATTTTTGGGGAAATTTTAGGACATAGTTCACATAGGTTTTATTTAATACTTCAGGCTGACGCCCATCGAAGAATTTAATTCACCAGAATTTCTTGGAGAAAGTCTAGGCTTTTCTATTAATTTTTTTCCACATATGTTGAGAATCGAGTTGAACGTGAAAGAGATAATCGAACGTTTTTGCGAATACATTCAGCATTCGCAATTTTTTTAATCTTCAATCATAATTTTTTTATATCTTTTATTACCCTAATCCACTTTGATGATCACAATGGAGTATGAGAGATAAGTTAATCGAGAACGAGGATTGAACTGTTGTTTTTTTTCGTCACTACACGGAGAGAAAAATACATTGAAAAGTAAAAAAAACTTTCCTTAAAAATTAGTGTATTTCATCAATGAGAAAACAGAATGCTGTTCACCCAGTTGTTCGGAAGAGTTACATGAGAAACTACGGAAAACGCATGAAAAATTAGTGCACGACTCACCAAAATTAGGGTGCCATATATGAATTTTTCAGTACGGGATACCACTTTTTCAGTGTCTCCTTCTACTTTCTTGCGCCCCATTCGGTACGTCCCATGCGTTGGTGAGAAGGTACACTAATTTTTGAGAGATTTTTCTCTCCATTTCTCCTCTTCCCTCTCCAGTTTTCGGGCCCAACGACATAATAGTATATTTCGTAACGAGTGCAAAAAACTTTTTTTTTGGCGTGGGAGGTTAATATCACGAGCCGAAGGCGAGTGATATAATCTCACGAGATAAAAAACATTTTTTCACGAGTTACGAACAATATTTTTCATCACAATGTGGCGGAAATTGGACTTTTAGGCACGCGGAGCGTGCCGAAAAGTTCACTTTTCGTCACAGCGTGATGAAAAGAACTTTTCTACCTCATATGATCGAAACGGATCTCGATATATCTCGAAAATCTCGAGTAAGCGTAAGCGTAGGACTGAAACCAAAGCGCCACTACGTGGGGAGACGATATGGCGCGGGCGTAGCACGCGCAGCCGATCTCGTATACAATAATAAGAAGTTAAAGATGCCAACTTCACAGCCCTATTTTTGCAAAATTTCGTCTAAAAAATTATGATTTTATCGACTGCGTGGGACACTCGGAAAATTTGTGAAATCCCTCGCAAAATTCATATGGCCTCTGCGTGTGGCGCTCATGGTCTGCGTGTCACACAGGGGAATCCCCAAATATCCTGCGTATAGTACGCACAGTGCCACAAGACATCCATACACAATCATCAAATCCGAAATGTCTGATTTTTTATGTCAGGATAACTAATTTTGGGCTTTTAACGATAACTGAAAAAATAATTGTTTTAATGATTCCAATTGTGATTTAAAATATTCTTTCCAATGCCAATTTGACCGAGTTCGATCATTAAATTGATTGCATCATCTGTTATTCAAAAAATGTATTTTGAAATCAATATTCAGGGAAAGGTAAAACATTTTCAATGTTGAAGTAATGTTAAATCCAATGAATAATTCAATTCAATTTAAAGATTTTAAATTGAAATGAATTTGAAAACATCGCGATAGAAATTCCATTCGGAAGTAAATTGCTAATTTATTAGCAAAAATATGTTGTGATGTTGCGATGAAAGCAATTTTCCACTTGTTTTAATCAACTGTAAATTCCATTCGGAAGAAAATTGCCAATTTATTACCAAAAATATATTGACTATGTTGTGAAGAAAGCAATTTCCCACTTTCTTCAATTAATTCTCCAGGGATGTGATGATTGTTACAACGTTGGACACTTTGACGAGTTTCATGGCGGGATGCACGATATTCGGAATTCTTGGGAATTTAGCGTATGAGATGGGGACGGATGACATTGGCAGCGTGGTCAGAGGTGGCTCAGGACTGGCATTCATCTCGTACCCCGACGCCCTGGGGAGATTCAGCTTCGTTCCCCAACTTTTTTCAGTCCTGTTCTTCGTCATGATATTTGTCCTGGGATTGGGAACTGCAATGGCACTTGCTGGAACGCCATTCCTAGCTTGTTGTGAATACATGCCGAATGCGAAGAAATGGGTTATTACGCTGGTCATTTCGGTGATTGGATTTGGTGTTGGACTTGTTTATATTACTCCGGTAGGTTTGGATTGGTCAGCAAGTGGTGAAACGTAAAACCTCGCGAACTTGATAGAAAATTCCATTAAATTTCTGTTGAACTTTTTTTGAAAACTCAGTTTCATTGTAGAATTCTGCAGTTTACTGCGCGTTTTTGTATACAAAATGTCCAATAGAAATAATTTTACAGAAAAAAATCTGTAAAATTTGTTTTTTCTACAGAATTTGATCAATTGAGAAATTTCTATAGGAATTCCTCGATATGAATTGCGTACCTCATGGAAATAAATATAAAAACACATCAAATAAATAAAACAGAATAGATGTGAAATATATTGAAAAAATTTTTTCATCTAATTTTTTTCCTATGAATTTTTCAAAGTCTACACGGACTTTCAGACGTTTCACCATTTCACAACTGAATCCATTTCTTTTCTTTCTGTTATGAATTTTCTCTCAAGTATTTGTGAGTTCTTCAGGGAGGACAATGGCTGGTCGCTCTAGTTGATTACTACGGGGGCACTCTAGTTGCCATTGTCATCGGAGTGCTGGAAATAATTTCCATTTTCTGGATTTATGGGCTGAATAACTTCCTGGACGACGTGGAATTCATGCTCGGAGTGAGACCAGGAATCCTTTGGAGACTCTGCTGGCTGATCATCACTCCCGCGCTCATGATCGTCATCATGATTTACACTTTTGTCATTTACTCGCCGCTAACTCACGATGGGAAATACTATCCTAATTGGGCATATGGTGATTATCCATCGTAATTGCGAGAGTAATAATGTTTTACTTTCCACTGATGGCTTTCTTTTTTTATTGGGGATTGCAGCGACCGGGTGGATTCTATTCTTTCTCGCAATGGTCCAAATTCCAGGATGGATCTTCTATTATGTGGATAAACATGATAAATTACCAATCGGGAAGGTAAAAAATTCATTCCAAACATCACCCATAATTAATCCAGTAACTTTTGCATGAAAAAATTTAGTAGAAAAAGCTAATGCTTTCTTTAAGAAATTCTGTTGAATTTCGATTGCAACACTATATGAATTCTTTCGAAGTTGATTAGAATTCTATTTTTAAAAATTAATTGTTTTTTACGCCGTTTTTATAGGAGTTTATGCAATTTTATTCTCTCATTTTCTTAAGAGATATTCAATAGAAAAAAAGTAAATAGATTTTGATTTGTCTATAAATGTAGATTTTCCAAGTTTTTTTTTAATTTAAAAAATAAAAAACTTGGAAAAATTATGTTCAAGAATCCTTATAGAAAAATCGATATCTGTAGACATTTTTATATAAATAAATATTTATTTAAAAAGACGGGAGGCGTTGCGTAATTTTCAATATAGAATTGCCACAAGAAACAAATAGAATTTCTCATAGATAGAATTCTCATAGAAATTTATCAAATTTCTGCGAAAAGAGCTTGGTTTATTTAATTAGATTTCTTCATATGTGGTATTTTACACAAGAATTAAATAATTTCAGGCAATTAAAGCTGCATTTGCGCCATCACCCGCTTGGGGCCCGAAATGTCAGGTACATCGGGAGAAGTGGCTGGAGTTCATCAACGACAAAAAATCTACACGCAAAAAGGGATTAAGACAATTATTACTAGACTAAAAGAATAGGGGGAATTCAAAACTTCTGACTTTCCTTGAAATATTCATAAATCAGAAATGAATTCATCGATTGAGTTCAATTGATGGAAAAAAAATTATTTACACCTACATTAAACAAAACATTATTGTAAATGACGAAAAATGACTGTACCATGTGACTAAAAAAAATATAAACGACAATAATTATTCCAAGAATTAAATTAATAAAATATCATTTGTTCACATTTTTTCAGCCATTATCAAATGTAGAAGGAATGAGGAATACGGAAATAAAAATCTGTCAGAGTTGAAAGAATTTAAAATCAACAGAAAAATTTAAGACTTTCGTAGAAATTCCCTCAATTTTTTTCAATTTCAATGGAAATTTTTTCATTTTTTCACAGACATTCATCGAAAGAAGTCAATCGATTTTAATATTTCTATATAATTACGTATTCTTTTGAGATTAAAAAAAAAAATTCCCTGCATTTTCACTTGATTTTAATTTTTTTAAATCATGAAAAAACTTATTCCCACCAGCATCAGTTGTTTTAATTTTTTTTACTTTCTTCTACTGAAAATCTATTCAAAAATAAGCGAAAAGCAGTCATAATTTCCAATAGAATTTCCCCAGACTTACGATAAGAAAAAATCAAAGAAAATCACCAATAAAAAGTGCAAGTTTACAATTTAAATTTTCTCATACGTGTAAAATTGCATCAACAATGATAAAAACCTGACCCAAAAATCCAAGTGAAACTGATTAATTTATTAACAACATTACATCCGCGTATATAAAATAGTTTTCACATTTCCATCCCTGTAAGCATGGAAAACTCAATAACTCCCCCACCTCTCCGCTTAAAAGCTGAATGCCTCATAGACATTAGCCCCAAACGACTTGAGCATCTCGTCCATGATGAGCCTCTGCAGCCAGTCCGTGGGTATATCATTCTGAGTGGGTGCATCTGGCACCTGTCCATTGACAATAGGAATGATCTTCGCCATGGGCATGGTAATTTTATTGACATCTAAAAACCCATACTTCCCCTCCAACTCCTTAAGACCGGACATTCCATTCTTCTCAAAAGGAATTTCAATGAAATACTCCGATATTTTATCAACCAAAGCAACAAATCCAGTCCTGATATTGGATTGCATGAGGCTCTGCAGCTCCTCAGTCTCCAGAAGATCCAGCGTCTCAATAACAATCTTCTTAAGCAGTGGATCATTTTCCTCCTCGACATTAGGTGGTAGCATATAGCTCGTGAGCCTCTTGACTGGATTGCAGGCATCATCAGCGAGAACAGTGGACATAATGGCTAGATAAATCTGCTCCAAATCCCTGATGCTCAACTTATCAGTCAGTTTGATAGAACTAACTGTCTCATCCACTTTCCTCTCAATGAAGGCACTCAGCCTCTGGATTCCTTCGTCAATGAAGTAGCTGCACAGTGTCAGGTACTTCTGCTGTAGCTCCTCACTCAAATGTCCAGTGTCCAGAGTCTTCTGTGAATTCTTGAACATGTACGCCCCCATGAGATTCAGCTGCACCCTGAGAGTCGCCACCAGCATTGTATTGGCGTATATTACAGTAGCTGAACGAGCTATCGAGAAGACCTTCAGCTTGTTCCAGGCTGTTATTTTATCAGCGGAGCCATCTCGAAGCTCATTCACCACCTTCTCTGTATCCAGGGACTTTATCACTGAATTTCTGACGCACACCGCCAGATTTATTATCGTCTGGTTGCAGGATCTCTCGGTACTCTCAAAGTGCTGACTCCTCCTCGATCTCTGCAGCAACTCCTGCACCTCCTTCTGCTTCCATTCCAGGAGCTTCTGTTTACTGCATCTCCATAGGACCACAGCACTGCCCACAATTATTCCACTGACTATGAATTTACGTCTGTGATTGCTCAAGAATCTTCGCAAACTTGAGAACATGGTGGAACTCTTCTGAGGCACTCTCTTGACCCATTAACTAACTCTAGTCTTAACATTAATTTGTTTCGTGGGACTTGTTTTTTTTTCTCTAGTCGGACTCGAAGGAGGCGGACTGGGCGACTTTCTCAAGACGATTTGTTATGTAGTTTGTTGTGTCGATGAAGCGTTCGATGCAATTAACGAGGCACCTCTCGGTTTTTGATTCTAGACGGGGTGTTGGACGGTCAACGCAAGTGTCCCAACAGATTTCTGTCAGGCCATGGACTAGACCCTGGAATCAATTTTTTTTTCGACTATTGATTATGTTGGATTTTGGGGCTATGACAGCTACAATTCTTCGTCGAATTGTCGTCAGGGAGGGCTTATATTTAGACTGGCAGATAAGAAAACGATAATATGGCGACATGTTTTGGTCGTTAAAAAATGTTGAATGAAATCACTGCAGTCAGAATTTTGACTCGAGTAAGAATTTGTTGACATGATCAATTGTCAATATGTCGACTATTTGTCGTTAATGTGTCGATGATTTGTCGTTAATATGTCGACTATTTGTTGTCAACAAGAGAATGGTTTATGTCGTCAATGTATCGATGATTTGTCGTTAATATGTCGACTATTTTTCGTCAACATGTCAATTGTTTATCGTCAATGTGTCGATGATTTGTCGTCAATATGTTGGTGGCTTGTCGCTAATATGTCGACGATGTGTCGTCAATATGCCAGCACATTATCTTCAGAATGTCGACGAATAATTCACTGTCGACAACATGTTACATTATCGACAACATATAATTTAAAGATTGTAACCCCGTTATCGAATTGTCGAAAATATGTCAACGATTTGTCGAAGGATTGTCGACAAATAGTTGGCAACATTTTATTTCAATTCTTCTACAAATTCCAGTTGATGAATTATGAAATTCAAATCACTGGGACATGACCATTGAAAAATTGTTTCTAAATGTATTTCTCAAAATTTGCTATTTCAGATTATGTAACTATTATTTCTGCTGGGTTAGAATAATGGGATTGTCAATTAGCTTAATTTGACATTGATGAACTAACCTGAAACTTTTGATTGGCAGATACAACGTCGATGAATTGTTTCAATTGCAAATCAGCAATTTCCTTGGATCCATCGGTATTGAAACTCATATTTTTCTCTCTCTGAGGGGATCAACATTTCAATAATCGGTTAATCAAGGGTAATGCGTAAGGCACGTGAAATTATGATTTTTTTTAATGTTTATGAGACAGGGGGAGAGGGGAATAACCTTATTCCTTATCAGGTGCAACACAAATGAATTATTTTTCGTTCTCTATCGGAGTACAGGCCTCACTGCGAGGACTCTCCTCAATCACCACAACTTGTCGTGGACTTTGCCACTACTTGAACGGTACTTCGTGATTAACCAATGTACACATGTGGAAATATACTACGTAATTGCACTCGGCGATGACTTGAGTTGGTAAAAATCCCCACGAACTGTCAAGATACTTGCGAGATATTATCCTAATGTGTAAGTTCCTTTAGGAATCAATAAACATGGGTCATAACCTCAAAAAAATCTATGATTTCGTCATTTTTAATTTTGATTGCAATCACATGCGAATGATATCATGCCAATTTTTATCATTTCTTATATTTGTGAATGGGTAAATACCTCTGCTGAAGGTCAACCCCGCTATTTATCACTTTTTCGTTGTGTCGTGACCTTTATAACAAATAAACACGTAAATAAACAACACTTGCGCATTTGTGTGCGCATGTAGAGACGAGCGATGCGAGGGTTATCGATTATTCTGAATATCGATGTTTCAGTGTCCGACAACCGGTAATCGATATTGAATAAAAAATTTTGTCGCGAAATTCTACTGAATTTCTGTTGGAATTTTATGAGAATTCTATTGGATTTCTACTAAAATTTTATTGAAAAAAATTTGTTTGTGCCAGTTTTATTGAAATTTATAACTTTGTCTCGTATTTTTCAATAAATATTTTTTGATCGACAAAAGTTTATAGATATTGATTTTTCTGTAGAACTTATTCTATTGGAATTATTTCAGAAAAAACCTTTGGGTTTGAATTTCCAAGTTTTTTTTCTTCAATTTTATTACCCCCGAGAATTTTTATAGAATTAATTAATAGAATTTTATCAAAACTCCGCTAGAATTTTTATAGACTTGCAAGAGAATTTTCATCATTTCTATTTGTTATGTCTTTCATAATAAACAACAACTACAGATTTTTTTCTATAAACAAAAATATTCTATTTAAAAACGCATGAAAAAGTTGCATAATTTTCAATAGAATCGACGCCAGAAACAACTGAAATCTTTCAATAAAATTCGTGTAGTTTTTCTAAGAAATAATTTCGCACGCGTAAATCTTCTCGGAAAATACGATTCAATTAATTTTTGTAAATTTCAAATACAAACGATTTTCAACATTTCTTCCATCGATGCTTTCACCATCGAAATTTTAACCCGCGATATATCAGCTAGTCGATTCGAGCCATCGATACTTTTTCAACATTGAAAATTTCACGAGACGTTCGCACGACACGTTCGGCTCGCTTCGGTCCATATCGCCAGTTTTCCATACTTGTCTGTGCACGCATTGTCAGGGGGGGTTGAACACCGTAACCACTGGGCTACACGGTGTAGCCTATTACCAAATAATAGATACCTAGAATAACAAAATACCCAGTAGACAAATAAAATCCTTCAAAAATGTGGAAATTCGTAAGCCGGGGAATTCGCGAGTCCATCGAGCGTCGTGCATGCCGCACCAACGTCTACTCCCAACCGACAGCTGATGAATGCAATGGTAGTGAAGCTAAAGCCACAGCTAACGTTAATAAATCGAGTCTGACGAGCTGTCGTAACACCAGTGGTTTCTGTGGTTTTTTCAATTATCGAGGTACCAAGGACAAGAAGAGTGGTCCACACTGGAGTGCAGATAGGACACTCTTTGATGTAATTGGATGGGTACAGTATCAGTTGAAGACAATTGTTGTAACTGGTGACAGGACTGTTTAACACAACAAAATCAATACGAGAATAATAAGTACTAAATTTGGCATCAAAGCCTGGCTACCACTACACTGATAGAACACATTATTTTTATTGAGATGTTTCTTCCTTGAAACAAGTATTACATACTTGAAGCAACTTCAAATAAATAAGATCTTACAGTGCAGATCAATTATCTCTTCTTGAGATACATTTACTTGAATCAAATAAAACAGTCCTTGGCGTCAAGTCACATGTATTCACCACAAAAATGGAAAAGTTCTATTTTTTTTTAACCTAATGTAATCTCCAGTCGAGAAATTTTCTACTCTCATGAAGTGATAAAAAATTCGTACCTAGGAGATGATTACATTGAGGAATTAATTGAATGTTGTTTTTTCGAGAGAAGCCGATGTTTAAATTGATCTTTCCGTACATCACATTGAACGAAATTTGTGATATCCAAGTTTGTGTTGAATTACCGTAATCTGTGATTCTGTTATTGCAAACTACTGCGATTTTTTTTAGTCAATAAATATAAACTTCTTTCAACTCAACGACATCTTTCTACAATCTCAAAGTTTTTTCCGCGTAACAATATTCATCCTGATTCGACATACGAAATGCTCACTTCAATTATAATTTCCTTGGAACAACGTATGATCGCGTTGATTGAGATAACAACGTATTTAGTCATGAGAATAATTTTGATTTTTGAGTAAACCAACGGATTTCTGGAGTTGGCAAACTTTTGGCTAGAAAAAAATTAAATGCTCTCATTATTGCGACAAATAAAACGAACTTCAATTCTAGAGAAGTTCGATTTCTCCCAATCAAATGTATCTCAAGAAGAGATAACTAGTATCTACTATGAAATCATGTTTATTTGAAAATTAACAACCAAATGATATTTGATTCGAATAAATTCTCCGGTACTCCGATGGAAAAGTGTGAAGTTTCATGAAGAAAATATTTTCTTCTGAAATTTTCCCTATTTAATCATATATTAATTTTTTTTGCCGTAAAGAGGGTCCAGCGGAGGTTAAAATTGTTAAAAACTCCTATTGTTAGTGTATATCACATAAATGTCACCAGAATCATATAACAGTATTTATATGATACTTGATATGTGAATATCAGCAGAGTCCAACATCGCAGATAATGATTTCTGTGTTGAATATTCATGGAGACGTAACTAGTCCCGTGTCCATATCAACTCTCAACATTTTGTTTAATGCGTTTCAGTCTAGCATCTTGGCCATCGGCTGGGCAATTTGCCAGACCCCATGCATCAGAAAGCACATTTTCGAGAGGAATAGAAATGACAAGTGTGCGTACAGAATTTTGAAGTGCCCGAAGACACAAGTGTCTTATCTGGTGAAACATGCACTCAGTTTGCAACCGAAACATGTCCTCCCAGTCACCAATTGCGTTGGGAGTGATGGGGGATTTGGACACGAGAGCGAGGGGAACTGGGAGCAGAGACGTTACGGTCCTATCACTGCTGAAGAGGTAAACATGTTCATTATAAAGAAATAAATGGGAAAATTAACGCTTTTTATGAGAAATTCTATTGAATTTATGTTGGAACTCTATTAGAATTCTACTGGAGGTTTATTGAAACTCCATTTATGCCCAAGAATTGCTATAAAAAAAACAAGACCTTGTAAAAAAATTGATCGGAAAATCTAGCGCTTTCTCTGAGAAATTTCATTGAATTTCGCATTGAAATATATTAGAATTCAACTGGAGTTTTATGCAAATTTTATCAAAGAATACCATTTTTTCGCCGATTCTATTGAAAATTATAAAATTTTGTCGTGAGTTTTTAAAATATAGATTTTTTTAAATAAATATCCAGAGATCGTTTTTATAGTAAATGAATTTCCATAAAAAAATATCTCTTGACTTTCACTGAGATGTAAAATCTCCACTTCTATTAGGTTTCACCAGTTCACCATTTTCAAATGTAATTCTCAAAATATAAAATGGTTAATTTCTAAAAAAATCTTTTTATATTAATGGTCTTATGGCTCTGAATGTAATTCATTATGAGGATGATTAGATGTATTCAACAGAATGAGAAGCTGATTTGTTCTCTCAAGTTTCACTATTCCCCTATTCAATTATCTAGGTAATCATCTCCATTTTGACCATGTTGTGTTTATCCTGCGTCAATAGGCACTGGGAGCAGCACGCGACGAGTACACTCGAACACACCGAGTAGTGATGGGCGAATTCGAGCTTCGTTATGGAATAAAAGCGCTCGAGGAACATCGATACAACGACGCGATGGAGCATTTTCTCGTTGGAGCACAACTCAAGTCACCAGGGAGCATGTTCAACTTGGGACTGTGCTATGAGTTGGGTATTGGCACGAGGATGGACCCAGTGAAGGTAAAATAACGTGAAGAATCGTTACAATTTGCAGCCCAATGTTCGAACTATTCACTATTCTAACACGACGCTCTACCCTATTTATGAATTCAATTACGTATGAACATAATTACAAATGAAAGAAATCCAAAGAAAAACTTCCCGCTTTCTTTAAGAAATTCTAGTGAATATTTCTAGTAATTTTATTAAAATTCTGTGGAGTTCTATTGGAATTATTCTATTCAATAATTTATTGGATTTTTGCGCACTTTCTATTGAAGATAAGTCAACTTTACAATATCATTTTGATAGATTTTTTTCTGCAAATCTATGGAAAAACGCACGACAATAGAATTTCGTTTATTGAATTCCAACAGAACTGTTGTTTCATTTTTAATAATATACTTATAATAATAAAATTTATTGATATAAATTTCCAAATTTCCATTGAAAATAGGCAAAAAACTACAACTTCCAATAGTCGTCCGTTAGAATTTAAATAAAATTCCAATAGAATTTTCCAACCCGCAAATGCCTCAGGTTTTCCCAAATTTGCAGATGCCATTTCTTCCCAGATATCACCTCATTGTTCTACAATTCCACCATAAAAATCGAATCCCTGCATCCAATGCGAGAAAACTAATAATCAAAATATTTCAGGCTGTGAAATACTACCGAAGTGCAGCTGAAAATGGTCACGCAGGTGCCATGTACAACCTCGGTGTCTTCCACGCCCAAGGAAGGGGTGGTCTTCCCATAAACCTAGCCGAGGCACGTGAATTATTCACAAAAGCAGCGAGTCTGGGTCAAGTGGAGGCTCAAGATGCTCTGAAACTCGACACAAGGCTGACTAGAGGAAAATCAAGGGACGAAACCACTACTAACGCCTCCACTGGTGTCTCGTCAATGGATCTACCATCAAAGTCAGAGGACTACTGTCCCTACAAACCCAACGATCCCTTCGCAGGCATCCCAGACCTCCCCAATAGCTCGTTGGAGAGCAGTTACGACTCGTTGTACGACAGCAGCAGAATGAAAAATCCAACCGAATCCTTTCTCGACTTCCTGGGGCTCCAGTCTAACAAAGTCCTCATGGAATCTGCTAATTGAGTGATACCTCTCGTACTTATTTGCCATAACTCGAAGTACTGTTATTTTTTGACTAGTCTAGGACGACGAGTTGCTGTGCAACTGTTGAGATAATAACAAAACTGTATATAATGTATATAAAAAGTTTCTGTAAATAGTGATATTTTGTTTCTAATAAATAGAGATGACATTTTTTTGAAAAACAATCGTCACAATGGATTCACCCTTCACTTCTTTCTCGTTTAGTTATTTCAAAGTTTTCTCACTGAATGAATTGTCAGAAAATTCAACTCACAATTGAAACTGTTTTAATAAAAATAAACAAGGAGATAGGATCTTTGAAAATCAATAATAGAGCAACGTTGCATCATTTTTTGAGAGAAATATCTTCATCATCAATTATTACACCCAAGCATGACAACACATGATAAAATATAATACAGAAATCTAAGAACTCTCAGAAATTGTATTGAAATACCAGGTTTTTGCACCAAGTCTATCATAAATTATGCACATGTATTTTCCAATCGATATTTTTTGATAGAAAAAGTCTACAAATGGTGATTTTTCTATATAACCAATTCTATATAACCAATTTTTTCTATGAGAATTTTTGGGAATGAATTCTCCAAGTTATTTTTCTTCAATTTTATTATGAGAAGTGAATAAAAATACAGCAGAAAATGCTTGGAAAATGCCCAAGAATTTCCGTAGAATAATAAAGATCTACTCCGTAATCAACAACCGAATGGGCGCAAATACCGATAGAATTATTTAATCGAACGTTAACAGAACTCCACGGGTACAGAGCACGTTGGAGCCGCGTGGTACTGCCCAGATTTGAACATTAAGAAATCCATTAAATTAAAAAAAGAAATGTCAGTCTTTACGTCCCAATGTAGCATTAAACCGTGTATTGAACATAACATTAGAACACCCAAAAATAAACTTTCTCATTCTCTCAGACTCCCTGAGCACACTTCAGGGCTTAGAATCAGTGAAATTCTCCGCGAAAACTAATGTTTACATCCTTGAAATAGAAAGGAAATTTTCCAAATTTCACAATGACGACAGGGATCATGGTAAAATCACGTATCCCTGGATACCTGTTCACGTAGGGTTCGAAGGGAATGAGACGACGGATGTGTCCGCAAAAAACGCAAACAGCGATGAGAATACGGTATACCGCACACGTATACTTTAAACTAATAAAATGAAAAAAACAGAACTCCAGTAGAATTCCCGACTCACTTAGAGTGACGTCGTAGGGCCTCATGCCTTTCGTATAAAGAAATTAGGAGAAAGAGCAGTTCTTTCATTTTATTTTTCTTAAAATTCCTTATTATTTGGTTAATCAACACTGAGAGTACACCGAGAGAAAAACAAACACGTAAAACAAGTCTTGTTTGGGCCCACAAAATCGCTAGTTGAAAATTGCCAAAAAAGAATTTGTTTGTTTCGAATTTGAAAGTCTCAAACATGAATAATTGTTCTGCTTTCTACAGCAACGAAATATTTGGCTCAAGGGGGGGATAATTCACACCAGACGGTGCCTTTTCAGGATGAAAATATCTCATGCAGAGGAAAATTTAACAACAAATATTTTATCTCTAAGTTACAAGATTGCTATCATATCATTATTATTGTTTCATTTAAGGGTTCATTTCTTGTCTGTGATTATTAGACAGCCGAAACGGAAAACTACTATGCCTTGTTTCGCATAAAACAAAGATTTTTCGGGAGCAAAATACGTATGAGAGTATCGAATAAGGACGGAGTAGTGCTAGAAAGAACATTTCTTGCGTGTACAAAGAATGCAATTTTTTTCAACTACTAAATCTATTTTTGTGACAAAAATTTTTCATTCCAACGCACTCTCTGCACGTTTGGCACAAAAAATCCTTTTTTGATAATTTTCAAAAAACCATTTTCTCGGCAACAAGTAAGACTTGTTTGAGAACATTGTCATTTTTCTCTCAGTGTATGATTGATTTACGTAACACCCCCTTAAAATTTCCAATTGACATTCCTTAACATCTCCGCGTAGGTGAGTAACATCCTATGCTCAGCATAAAGTTCCAAGCTCTCATTGATATCCATCCACTGAACTTGACACGCATCATCCCCAGCACTGAGGTGGATTGAATTAAAGGCAGTACCATCGTTATCATGAAAATTCACAGCAGTCGTTTCGATCCAGGCGTTATCAGTGTTCCTAGGATCATCGATGTACCCTTTATACACAACATCACCTCTCTTGAATAATTCATTAATTTTACGCTTGATCGTCATCACTGTGGATTGACTTTCCCTCGCGAGGGAGTTCAGGGCCTCCTCCATGAACTCTCGCTTCAGTGTGTTCTCAACTGGCTCTCCAGGGTCCACCATTCCCCCTGGTAGCGCCCACTGCTTTGTGTCTCTCCTCTGTATGGCAACGAATTGGAGAATGTCGTCGTCCTTTGGCTGTGAATTCTCTTCGGGCTCCGTCCAAGTTAGGGATTTAGGCTTCCATCGGGTAATTATGGGATCTGCTGCGTGATTTGGACCCCAACGACCTAGCACTCCTCGTCCAGTGATCCCTGTGCGTCCGAAGGGGTTAATCGGTCGTCCATCATCGGATATAACGTAGGAGAAGACGCCTTTGCCTCGACCGTAGCATTGACGGTCGATAGGCCCTGAGCAGCGATATTTTTATATTATTCTGATATTTTTATATGTATATTTTAATGAATATTCTTTTCATTTTGGTATTTGAAGAGCATTCTTCATTGAAAATGTAACAGAATATAAAAACTTGACGCCTTCTTGAAGAAATTCTTAGGCATGAATTCTCCATTTTTTCGGCAGTAGTTTCAATTTTTCTTTGGCTTTATTATTTTTTTTCTATAAAGTTCAGGAAAAATAAGTTGAAAAATTGATGTGCAAGAATTTTTAGAAAAGAAAATTTCAGAATTTCTTATAGAAAATCAACAAGTTGAAACTTTTTCCTGTTAAAACATATTCATTGAAAAATGCAAGTTTATTTTTCTTCGATTTTATCAGCGGAAAAAACTTGGAAAATTTGTGCTTAAGAATTTCAATAGAAAAACCAAAATGTATTGAATTTTTCGTATGAATTATCTCTTATGCAAAACAAGACAAATGAGCGAGCGTAGAGACATAGGACTTTCCAAGGATATGGACGATTATTTGTTAAAAAATATTAATTATCGTGATAAATACAGGTGAATTGTAATTTGCAAGTTTTTACTTTCTGATATCTAATTTAAAACATCGCATCTTTACACTCATTTCAGCAGAAATATTGGACTAACGAATGTGTTCACCTTATAAAATTTTTTCATACGAGGAATCATCATGCTTAGACAGCTACATCATCGACAATTCTTACCGTCCAGTGAATTCCACTGGGGCTTGAACGAGGGATCCGAGATATCAGGATCTGCCCAGGGTTTTCCATCAACAGTTGGAGATGTGTATTCTACAGGTGCATACTCAGGCCAGTTTATACACTCTATCTTTCTACCATAGGCGATTTTCGCCGTAGGTGTCCAACCAACAAAATCATCCGGTACCGGAAATCGTTTGACCATTGTTGTGGCGTAAAAACCATTCCTGCAGAGGTAATGACACCACTGTAACTCTGGCCATTTCCTCCATGTCCTGGGCATGTCGTGCTTCCACGTGGACGAGCCTCCAGTGTTCACGATTTACGGAAGGGAAAATTTTGTTTTACACATCACAAGACTGTCTTCTTCAATTGTACTGGCACTGACAGAGTGAATGGGGAAGGGGGGGGGGGTCGTTTGTATTCACAGATGTGGACACATACCGTTTTGGAAGATCCGATCAATTAGCCCCTCATGTATAGATATTCCAAATTTTTTTTTTTTCCTCATTGAAGTAGATTTGAAGGAAATTGCGAGCTAATAAAAAACATTTGCTAGTTGGTACTTTTTTTAAAATAAATTTTTGAAAAATCACGCCGGAAAAAAAGGCGTTATCCCCCCTATTTAATTATTTCCAAAAAATTTTAT